AACTTACTTTTAAGTTATTAATAAGCTATTTAATTAAATATTTATATAAAATATTACTTTTTTTTAATTTTAAGAAAAAGTTCTTATCTTTTTAGCGTTCAAAATATTTTTACTCCTTTATTAAAACTTAAAGGGAAAACTCTCTCTGTTTTTGTGTGCCAGTCTCTGTTCTGTTCTGCCCCACCCCAGCCGCACACACACATAGGTCCGCCATCTTGGAAAAACAACGCCTTTTCGTATTTTCGTATTTATTACAACAGCAGCAGCAAAGCAAAGGCAATAGGAATAGCAACAATGCAAAATACGAACGCAAATGGAGTTAACGAGCTAACTGCGGGACGTCCGCCGGCCACCCACGAAAAACCTTTAAGTCCCCATCCTTATCAACATCCCAAACCCAAACTGAAAACCCCCCCTAAAAAGCCCGAAAATTGTGTGTTTCCCCCGCGGCGACAAACAACCACCCAGCAGCCGAAACTGGGAGACAACAAGTCGAAAACGCAACCCCAAAACAAAAAGCAAGTCGTCGTCTCTCGTCGTTGTGTAACAACTAACAAGTTGGGTGAAAAGGCAGCCAACCCAGCCACCCCACCACCCCAACCACCCACTTGCCTTGCCATTTTTCTTTTACCACTTCTTGCTTCTTCAACTTATTTACGTCTCCATTACAAATAATTGCGCGTCATATTGGCTCAGCTAGCTATACTTAGCCCAGTCGACGAGAAGCCAACCCCCAGAATCAGCACACCCCCTGCGAAAACCCCCTGGAAAACCACCCACCCAATGGGGCAAATGTTGCCTTGGCGCAAATAAATACGTATTTTTCTTTTTAGGCAACCAAAAAAAAAAAAAAAAAAAACCTAGACAACCTCCCTCCTTCTACTCGTAAAAGTGTAAGTAGTAAATACGCTTGAGTATTATTAACGTAAATGCAAAATTGCCAATTTCGAGTGTATTTCCTGTCAAGAGAAATTCTTCTCTTTTTTTCGTCGCTCTCTACAGCGAAAATAAAATTAAAAGCGAGAAAAAAATAAAATAAAAAGCAAGAGCAGAGGGGAAATATAAATCGTTTGTAAAAGGGGGCGTCTCGGTTTGCCTTGGCTTCTTCATCTACTTCTTATATCGCCTGGTGGCACCCATGTGGCCCATCCACTAAATCGCTAAGCTATTACGCAATGCTGCACTGAAACAAAAGACCTCGTTCGGATTTAAAAAAAACGACACTTTTCTGGAAAACATCGATATTATCGATACAATATTGTAAAAATATCGAAATTATCATTATTATTTAATTTATTTAAATTCCTTATCGAGTAAGAATCTTTTTAAGATAGCGAGTTCCTCCGATTTCTCGGAGTGTAATCGGGTTAGGAAACGGCCCAAGACAGGCATAGATCCACTCCACTCCACTCCACTCCACTTCTGTTGCCAATGCCAAACGGTGGTTGGTGGGCTTTTATTAATATGTCTGGCAATTTCAATTTGACTTTATTGGTAATTTTACATTTCGTCTGTGGACGTTGGCAGCAGGCAGGGGGTCCTTTGGTCCTTTGGAGGATCTGCTACACTCAGAAAATGAATCGCCCTGAATTTTAGAAAATCGCCTATGGATTTGCTTCACTGGCGATTTTTTTCTTTAAAATAAAAAAATTTTCTACTGGTAAAGAAAATTTTCTTCCAATTAATCAAAATTCATTAAATTCAAGAAATATTCCAGAAATATAGAAAAAAATCGCCAGTAAAGCAAATCCATAGGCGATTTTCTAAAATTTTTTTTTGAGTGTACTTGCTACTTGGACGGCTGCCATTTATCAGGAGGAGTTCCTGGGGAGTCCATAAATCTCATTCGCTCAATGGGATAGGATAGGATAGGCTGTTCGAAAACAGGCACAAATTAAAGCCATAAATATGCATAATACTGCCCAAAAAAATCGAAAATAAAGTGAACAATTAAAGACGAAAGGGTTTCCCTTGATAATTAATCATTTGATTGCTAACTTAAGACACTTATACTTTCGGAGATAATCCATTATTAATGCGAAATCACCAAAATAAAGTAAGGTAGCACTGAAAGTAAGCCCCAAAACCCAATAAATGCCACAATAAATTGGCATATTATCGTAGCCGCTTCACTGGGCAGTTAATGCAATTCATGGAATGCCGCACAGCACAGAACAAAAGCCATTCGATCAAATTATTGCTTAATTGAACAATTAATCGAGACACAAAGGATCCCCCGAAAGGCTACTCGTCCAAGGGATAGGGCACAAAGGAGGGAGACCTATGCCGTATACATTTCACCCCCACTTTCACCTCTCACCATCCTCCGTCCAGCCACAAGAACACAAGAAGCAGGAAAATAACTACGAGTACATATCAAATTAATTTAGGCGGAAAACGAACCAGAAAAACTTGGCAAAATGAAAGGAATGAAAGTGGATAAGGAAAATGGCAAGCGGAAAACGAGGAAAAGTTTGGGGGGACGGCACAAAAATATCGCATGACCGAAAACAGAAAATCAAGCAACTCATGCCCCGATTGACTTACCCGAGTAGCAAATTAAATTAGTTGACGAACCGAACAGAACTGAGAACACATCGGTAGATAAGTGAGCGAGACCAGAACAAGCTGCGCACTGAAAGAAAAAAAATTTAACCATTATTTCATTGTTAAAATAACTTATAGTTATTATCGATATTTAAATGTTTTCTAGGAAAAGCAAGTAAAATTTAAAACACTATGATTTTTATGTTTTAAATAAAACGTCCGTAAAACATTATTAAGACTAACTATCGATATATTCAATATTTTCATAATATTGAATCGATAATATCGATGTTTTCAATGAAAAATAAAAAAAATCTTTAAAATTAGTATTTTTATGTCAGAAAAACATCATCTTATTTCACAATATTATACACTTAAACCCTTCAGCTGTTTTCCTCAGTGTAGACGACATCGATAGCTGGCCAAAGTGGCTGACCACTCATCGCCCTCTCCCCCTATACATATATATATATATATTTATATGTGTATCATTATTATGACTATTTATAAGTGTGCGAGTGCTTTTAAAGCATTTTGGCGAGGGTCTGACTTTGGCTTCGAACTGTATACGGTATACTGTATACTGTATACTGTATATGAAATAGGGGGGCTACAGTCGGTTGGTCAGCTGTCGTTCGCTGACCAGCTAATTGCTAATTGATGTGTGTCTAATTGTGCCGCCAAAGTAGCCAGGCAATAAAAGCACCACTCAAACACATGAGCTCGAGGGATGTATTCATGTATTTATAGAAACACTGGAGAGGATCCGTATTCGTTGGGCGGTGAAATCAGTTTCAAATTGGTTTAAATGTAGAGCAGACTTTTAATTAATGAATAGAAAGTTGCAAAAACTATATGTGGTGGAGTGGCGGATCGAGAATTTGGTTGTGTTTTGTTTTTCGGAACAAATTTTGTTGTTGCATACTTTTTGAATACCAATATTTGGGGGATGAATAGATCCGCGCAAATACTGGGTATTTATTCTAGGATTTTTATGTATATGTTTACTATTAGAAATTAAAGCTTGAAAATGATCGATATTTTCGATCTTTTGTCAATATTCGATTCGATAACTTCGATGACGATATCCGTTCAAACTCTATTTCAAATATATTTTTTTTGAATGAAGATACAAGACATCTGACCCCAATTTTGAACATTTTCAATAACAGTAATCTTTATTCAATTATCTAAAGGAGAATATATACCTCATCGATAGATTCGTTAAATTAAGTGGCCGGAAGTCCAGCGAGAGAGAATGAGACCTTTCGTGTTCGTCAACCTCATCATCATTACTGTCATAATCATCCCCATTATCATTATTATCAATCCTTGTGGATCGGCTCTTTTTCTGGTAATCACAATAGAACGCCCTGTGCAACACGCCTAAGCCGATTCGCGTTTAATTTGAGACCGAAAAAGGGCTAAACCACTTAACACTCTAACACCCTAATTGTCAAAACAAAGGCGGCACACGAAACCGACATTCGTTCCTTCGTCGTTCGTCCTTTTCTTCCGCCTTTCCGTTTTCCTCTTCAAGGAGCTAAGAAAATATTTGCCATCTGAGGGTGTGCGTGTGTGTGTGTTGCTATTTTCTCTAGGAAGGTTTTGGTTTTGGCTTTCTAGGAAGGTGCAAACACAAACACATTTAACCCTTCTCGCTGACATTTGAATAAAAATCCAGGCAACTTGTCAAAAAAAAAAATCTCCGAGTGAATGGATTTTCCAGCTGCCGCTTTATCGTGTGCGAAAAATCGACTTCTCGAATATCTGCTCGCCATTGTCTGCCATTTAAAGGAAATGGGATTTGCCACAGGGATTGGGTTAAGGGTTTTTGCCCGTTATCGGGGGCTACACAACCTACACGACATGTGTTTAGCAAGCGCCAGGAATTCTAGGGGAAGGGTGGAGGTCGAAAGTCTTCTAGGAAATATTATAGCTTACAAAGAATAAATGTAATCGTACTTATTCAACTCAGAAAGAGCTTTTCTACACTTGAATTTGTAACAAATATTTACATTTGCTTAGTTTTCTATAATACAATAATAAAAAAAATCTTTAAAATTCCCTTCCATTTATTTAAATTAAAAAAAAAAAATTTACTAAAAATACGTTAAAGTTCATAGGGTAAAAAATATGGACTTGAACCCATTTTTAGTCATTGTTGTCTCTAAAAATATATGGGAGGTGGAATTTTAGGTGCATAATTTATTCCTTAGATTAAAATCAAGTGACAAAGTAATCAAGACTTTTTTATAATCCGAGTGTACACACCTTATTTTATATCAATAAGTAACCGATGTGATTAACATCAAATTTATGATTCAAACATATCGATTAGATATTTAATCATAACAGTTTTTTCATGACTTATTAATTATTGAATTTTTTTAACAAATAATAAATTGAGTTCCAAATGCTAATGCTTACAATTAAATCTATTTATTTAACAGAACAAGCTGCCGCCCGAGGTCAGGAGTATGCGAGCAGTTTGGCCAATGCCAGTGGTGATGAGCAGTCGCCGAGCAAAAACAGCAGTTCATCGGGCAACGGAGGATCCGGAGGTTCAGGATCGGGCTCTGGTTCAGGTAGCTCCGGAGGATCGGGAGGCGCCAACCAGGCCAACTCCAATGGTCATTTGGGCTCGCCAACGGCCAGTAATGGTGGCTCCACCGCCGGCGGTGGTTCGGGAGGCACATCCGGTAGCACCTCCTCCACATCCGCTGGGGGAGGAAACGGAGGAGGAACCTCCGCCGGCAGCCGCTCCTCGCCCGCTGCGCCGCATCACTCGGCCGCCCATCTGGCCGCCCATCAACATGCAGCGGCTGCTGCGGCTGCCGCTCATCATCATGCCGCCGCCGCTGCCGCCGCCCATCACGCCCACCATGCCCACGCCCAGGCGCACGCCCATGCCCACGCCCATGTCCATGCCCATGCCGCCCACGCTGCCCATGCCGCCCATGTTCATCATGCCGAGGCATTTTTGGGCGGAGCAGGCGGTGCCGGCGGAGGTAATCCCAATAGTCTGCTGGCCGCCCATGGCGGCGATGTCCTGGTCGGTCCTGGCGGCACTGTGGGTCCCGGGGGCAAGAAGAAGAACAAGCGACGTCACGGCAGGACAATCTTCACCAGCAGCCAGCTGGAGGAGCTGGAGAAGGCCTTCAAGGAGGCCCACTATCCGGATGTGAGCGCCAGGGAGCTGCTGTCCATGAAAACGGGACTGGCCGAGGATCGCATTCAGGTGAGCAGTGATACATGAGTTATAAAAACTAAGGTTCTTAAGTTTAAAGCACCTTATTATATTATTATAAACTATTCTACCCATATATTTGATATATTAGTTCTAAAAACTAAGGTCCTTAAGTTTAAAACATCTTATTTTATTCTTATAAACTATTCTACCCATATATAAAACCAAGGTTCTTAAGTTTAAAACTTTGAAAGTATAATTGGCATTAAAAGGATGAGAATAAACTAATACATTCCAAAGTACATTTTCGGTTATAAATGTTTTTAAAACAAAAATATATTACAAAAATATTTAATATGATTACAACTGAATATACAATTTTTATAATATTTTAGTACATCAATAACACTTTTTTATACTTTAAATTGTATATTTTATACACTTTCAATTTTTTTAAACAGTTTTTTTCCCATTATAAGAGTTTAAAGGGAGTTTTTAGACCGTAGAACTTTTCGTTTTGATCCAATGAACCTGTTTTCAACTGACTGTTCGTAAATCAAGTGTTCTCCATTTTGTGGCTTTCTTTTTAATGGGGAAATTGGGAAATGGGGGATTTTATCAGGGGGCGTAGTCACGTAGCACTGCAGAATCAAGCTGAGGATACGCGAGCTTTCTTCTTCTGCTGACATTTCATAGCCATTTTTTATGGCTTTTTCTGCTATCCAGAAGTCGGAGAAAGGATTGTAATCAAAGGCGGCTTCTTCTTCGATTCGAGGCGAGTGATTCGTCGTCGTCGTGGCTCCCATAAAACAGAATTTTTAAAAAATGGGGAGTGCAACTGGCACTTGGCAAGTGTTGCCGCCACACGTAATGAGGCCTCGCTGATTACGTAATTACGAAGGCACACAATTGCAATTGCAACGTCCAAGTAGGCGAAACAAAAACGGAAACGGAATGAAGTAAGAAAACGTGGCACTCGGCACTCGCCGACACTCCAAAAAAAATTCACAAAAATTCGATACAAGAGCTCGCGAGGTGCGAGCTTCAAAAATTGCAAATTATACTTTTCAAAACCGAAACGAAGCCAGATATAAGGGGTAAATAAGGCCAAATTAAGAGGGCAATGAGTGTTGTTATATCATCTAATGAATGTGGATTTTAAAGGGAAAGCATACCATTTTATTGGGCCAGAAACTGGGAAATATATTTAAAAGAAAAGTTTAATCGAAATTAAAACTAATGAGTTTTGTTAGTATATTTAAAACCACACCCTTTAGTAACAGTTTCTGTTTAATAATAACAGGTGTCCTATTAGTTTATAACTTTCTATAATCATGTGATTTATCCCTAAAACTTATTTCAAAAAGAAAAGTCTAATCAATGAGTTTTTAGATAATATATTTAAAAACACAATCTTATGTGAATCTGTTACTACTATCTGTTAAATAATAATTTTTCTTTAGTTTATATTTTGTATAATCATGTCCTTTAAGCTTCCCCTAATAAATCAACACCCACTCTCTTCCGAAACTCCCGTTATGCCATTAACCACTTGAAAATCCGCAAGATGGCGCCACATCAAATGGACCGTATGTGTGTGGGTGTTTTTGGTGTTGGTGTGAGTGTGAGTGCATCCTGCTCTTTGCATTTGTGTGCGAAAATCAAATTAACAAGCACAATTGGCCGAAAAGCAAAAAAAAACAACAAAAAAGCCGACAGGAGAAGAGCTCCAGTAAATATAATACCAAACACATTCACACACACACATGCAAATACACTTCAATTAAGTGCAAATATGGCGCACAGCTGGAGAAGAGAAGAGAGTGTGGAGAAAGAGAGGGGATGGGAGGGCGAGGAGGAGAGGCAATCATTAGCAGCACTATAAGAATAGGCGGCGAAAAGGGGGAGGGGAGCGGCGAAAGAGGAAGAGGAAAGAGGAAGAGAAACGGCAGCCATGCAAATTTGCAGAAAAACAACGGCAAATATCGAAGCCACCATTCAAGTTTTCTCTTTCTCTCTCTCTCTTTTTTTTTGTGTTTTTTGCCTGCCGTTTTTAATTGCGTTTCATTTTGCGTGCATTTCGCGTATTATGTGTGTTTTTTCTGCAATTCTTCCCCTTTTTTTGTATTTTTTTTTTGCATAAATTTCCCCTGTTGAAAGGAAGTAAAAGAAACATGGCCAAACATGTTTTTCTGTCTCCCTCGCTCTTATTGGCCTTTTGGGAAGCACTTTTTGTGCTGAAACTGGAAGTTGCCAAAAATGTTGCCATCGCCAAAAGTCAACGTCCAGGCGACAAAGGCATCACAATCTAAATCAAAAATTTTTTTTACAGTGCATTTACAAAAGCAATTTAAAAAAAAATCACAATTGCATTTGTATGAGGATAAGATTTTAAAAGAAAATCACATTTAAGACGAGAAAAAAAAGGATTATTGCAATTGATGTCTTGCGACACAAAGAAGAATCGACGTGTGCCCAATGCAAAGATAAAAGTGTGACCGCAGGTCTGAGTTTTGCTTTAAAACATCAAATTAAATATTCACCATTATACCCAGTTACCAAATAAATGCTTCTTTCATTGTCTGCCAAGTTTTACCAATATTTTTCTCTTTTCTGTGACCCCCTTTTCTTGCTTATTTCCACACACAATAACAACAACAATCCATTTGAGACAAAACAAAAAAAGGGCAAAAACAATCGCGATTTAAAACAATGCAAATTGCATTAAATGAAGGAAAAAAATCAAATTGCACTCCACCGCATGTTCAAATTTTTGCAATTTGCAACAAAAAAACAGCCATGAAATGGCCACTTTCAGTTGCCGATTTTCGAAAGACAAAAGAAACTGCACTTGCACTTCAAAGAAAAATATTTAAGAGTACGAGATGCATTTTTTTTTTGCAAATCTTGAAGTGTTCTTCAACCAAAGTATCGATATTTTCAAGTTTTGGAAATTACGAAACAAAAGAGTGAAGCATTTTAAAAATGTTAAAATGAGAACAATTACTTGAGCCACTTTGCTTCAAATATTTCCAAATATTATTCCGTTTTTTAGGGAATTTAAAGAACCTTTTTCAAAAGTCGACTAAAAGTAGTGGTTTTTAAAAATATATTAAGTTTGGATATTTTTATAATGATATCCCAGATATGAAAATGATAATAATAGATTATGATAATGTAAATGGCACACCTAAAATGAAGGCAGCTTTTAATATAAAAGTGCACTTTTTTACAGCCATAAAACACGCTGACTAACAATTGCAAATCGCGAATTGCACCATCTATATTTATTTTTTTTTGCATAATTTTGTTGCTCCTTGCATTAATTACACACTTTTGCGTTTCTTTTCTCCTCTGCTTTTAATGAGCTGTTAATATTAACGCACACATACAGCAGCAGGAAGGGGAAAAAATGAAATTAAACATGATTATGCATAATTATGTAATTAACATTTAAACAAAAGAGGTTATGGGCTGTGCAACAAACGCATTTAACAAATTGCTATTTGCGTGTCCCTCTTATTTTTTCACTTTGAAAAAATCCTAAGTTTAATGTTTTAAAAATTAAATTAAAATTTTAAAATTAATATTTTTTTTATCTTTAAAAAATTTGCGAAAGTATTGAATTTAAATATTAAATCCTTGGACATACTACGTTTTTTTATCAGTGTATGTTTTTCAGTTTGCATTTTAAGTTTACATTTGTAAACCTTCTAAATAATAGTTATATTATAACGATCCAATATTTTATGAATTTCATGTTTGCAATTTAAAATATAGACATAAATACCTCGCTGTTTCCTTGGCGTTCATAATAGACCTTCTTGTTGGGCGCATTTTAAAAAGTCATTTATCATAGCATTAGCAACACTGATTGAGTTTGTCCGCCCAGGAACGTCGCACCCCCGGGCATTAGGCATTGGGCATTTCAGCATTGGATGGGCATCATAGATATATATCTGCGGATAGCGAGGGGGTGTTAAGTGTTGTCAACTCAAGCAGATTTAATTTGCCATGTTTTCGCTTTGCTTTTTTCGTGCTGCTGCCTGGCTGCCTTGCTGCTCAAGTGCAACAATAAACAAGGCAAACAACTGTAAATGCAAATGTTGACATCACACCGTCACCGTCTGAAATGAAATAACAAATAAAAAAAATAAATACAAAAAAAATCAGAAGGGAATGGAACACAGAACACAGGACAGAACAGGAGGCCGCGTGGCGGGGAATTTAAAGCAATTCGGTCCTTGGAGAATTGCGGCACATGTCGTTGCGTCGCCAGCAACCCTGGGAAAACTTGAACTTTTACAACAGAAGATTAAGTTGTCCCCGGGGATCGCAGGTTCGGTGGAAAAGGGGAAAGCGGCCGCAAACTTGTCTGCGAAAATTGAAAATTGACCGTTTAATGTTGTCGGCTGGCAGCATTTCTTGTTAATGTTAAAATATTATCACTAATGCTGTTACTAATAGGCACTTGAACAAGTGTGTTGTTGGAAGGGCAACGGAAAGGGGAAAGTCCCTGTTAAATTAATTAGATTTCGCTCGCTATTGTCCTGGCCTGACGAATTCCCCAACCCCCTCCCCAATTTCCTTCCTGATTTTCTCCATCGCCTTTGTGCGGCACTCAACAATCGCAGGATTCGATTATAATCCCCAAAAAAATATGCTCGCTGGCGCAAATAATTTCTTAATTAATTTGCACTTGTACAGGGAATGTATTGTCGAGTTATTTAGAAAGTCTACTAGTGTTTTGTAACCCTCTTCATTGATAAAATATCAACTAACAACTGATATAAGCACTTGACATCGGTTATTCGGTAAAATAATTTGGTTTTCAAATACGTTTTCAAGCCACATTTGATGGGTTAGAAATTTTTCTCATAAAACCATAATTAAATTTAAGCATTACTTAATTTCGGTTTTTATACAAAAAATTTGTAACCAACCAAAAAAAAAACATTTTTTTTTTCTTAAAATACTAATGGTAGTGTTATCATTAGACAACTTTTTATAAACTTTGGATATATAATCTTTATCACAAAATGTTCTGTTTTAAAGAAAAAAATTGAGATAGTTGACATGATTATTATTTTAACCCTTACTTAACCCTTTCTTACTTATTTTTTAAGCAATTCGCTTCAAAGAAAGGCCCTGACCCAATTATACGTTTTAATGGCATATTTGGTTGCAGGGCCATAAATAGATACACTTAAAATTAAATTAAGAGTAGTATAAAATATATAAATATTAATTTAAGATTCATATTATTAAGATATTTGTTTAACTCAATAGTTTGGAAACAATTTACAAATAGTTTAGTTTCTATGATAATATTTTTTCTGTGTAAAAAAACCTTGTTACTAATTTCGCTTACCTTTGTTTTGCTCCTTGCAGGTGTGGTACCAGAATCGCCGGGCCAAGTGGCGCAAAACGGAGAAGTGCTGGGGTCACAGCACCAAAATGGCCGAGTACGGTTTATATGGGGCGATGGTGCGGCACTCGCTGCCGCTGCCCGAGACGATTATAAAGTCGGCGAAGGAGGACGAATCGGTGGCCCCCTGGCTGCTGGGCATGCACAAGAAGTCCCTCGAGGCCGCCGAGCTGCTGAAGAGCGACGAGAGTGACCGTGAGACGCCCACTTCGGATGACACGAACACCAGTTACTCGGCGGGCAGCACCCACAACTCACCGATCTCAAGCTTCTCGATCTCACGGCTGCTCTTCGACGCCCCACCACCGCCGGCGGCGGGCTCCGCTGGGGGAAAGGGGCACGGGCACGGTCACGGTCACGGGCACCATCATCACCATCACCATCACAAAGCCGGGCATCATCATCACGCCCATGTTCATGCCCAGGCTCAGGCTCACGCCCACATGCTGTTGCACCACCAGCAGCAACAGCAGCAGCAGCATCATTTGCACGGCGGCGGCGAGCCATCCTCCTTGCAGCAGCAACAGCAAGCGGTTGGTTCCGGTTCCGGTGCATCTGGGCCACCGGCTCATCATCCCTACAATCAGCAGCAGCATCTGCATCACCTGCAGCAACTGCAACAGCAGCAGCAGCAACAGCAGGCGGCGCAACAGCAGGCGCAGCACCACCAACAGATCCACCACATGCACCACCACAATGCCACCGGCTATGCCGAGGCCGCTGTGGCTGCTGCGGCAGCTGCAGTTGCTGCTCGGAATGCAGCAGCAGCGGCCGCCGTGGCAGTGGCCTCCGCATCCGCATCCGCAGCCGCATCCGCAGTGACCATCGCGGAGTCCGAGGCGGAGGAGGAGCAGGACGACATCGAGGACATGGAGATGGACAAGGATTGTGAGCTGGATGAAGAGCTGGACGTGGAGCCGGTGGACCTCAACAACGATAACAATGACAACAACGAAGGAGATCCGCAGGCGGATACGGATGCGGATGGGGATCCCGAAATCGACATTTGCGACGATCACGACGAGGAGGTGCGTCTGCAGGAGCAGCTCCTGCTGAAGGTGAAACAGGAACAGCAGCAGCAGCAGGCCCAGCACCATGGACTAAGATGAAACATGTACATCGATGTGTTGTTCTAAAAGAACAACGATAAATGATAAATATATATATATATTCAGGATTCTCGAGACACAGCAACATCCGGCTAAATGCAATGAACATTTTTCTAAGGCATAAACACGATGAGCTTTTTACACTGGGCTGTGTATTTTGTATTCAAAATGTTTATAAAACAAATACACAGCCCAGGTTAAAAATCTTAAATTAAAGGCATTATATTCATAACACAAAAAACAAAACAAAAACCTAATCTTAAAGCCAACAAACAATTTTTTTTCATACACCTAAGCCAGCACACGTAATTAATCTATATACATATATATATATATAATAACATATATATTCTCTCATTTCTTCAGTGTAAATAATAAATTATTACAAAGAAAAAACAATACATTAGCGCGTAAAAAGAGCTGCAACGATTTGCAAACATTTTTAAAATATGCTAAATGTGATTTAATTTAGTTGTCAATTCTAAAAACAAGGCTTTTTATGGTTTAGGACTCTTTTTTTTTGCCTATTAAATTTAGTGATTTTTTTTTTCTAACTGTATTTACTTCCTGTAAAAAATGTACATACCAAATCCGAAATTCAATCAATACAACAACGTATAATATGTACATGTGTTACAACCTGAAACGTAAAACAGTCCACTGCCTCTGGCTCTCAAATTCTTCTCTACTCTTTTGTCTTTATAATTCAAATTTTTTAAAACACGAAAAAAAGATACATAAGTAACAGCAAAATGTGTATTTAAATGAAAAAAAAAACAAACGAACAAGAAACAAAACAAATCCACATACAATACACACATACTTATATATGAAAGTTAGATGAAATAAAATGGATGATATATAAATATAACTATAATTTTGTGTTATTTATTGGGGTTTTATTGATGATCAAAATTTAACATATGTGCGAGAAAAAGCTCCTAAAAATAAGGGGTTACTAAAATGATTTCCATCAAAAATACTCTTTCGTCTCACACGAAATGCTTACATCAGTTACATGAAAAACATAGAATACCCATAGCGCTGAATTTAAGTAAAATTCATATTGATGTACGTAAGACTTGAATAAATGCGAATACGAAATTACATGCTGAATTGTTAAATATTTCTTGTAAAAGTAAAGTAATTTCAAATAACAAATTACACGATGTAATGTAGATAACTTGAAATGCATATACACAATGTTATGTGAGAGATGTCGTGTAAAAGTTAACATTGTGTAATGTAATGTAATTCAATGTTACATATCCCTGTACATTACATATTGTAATGTAGGTATTTTAAAACGTATTTTACATGCTAAATACATGATATATTAATTTTTACTTTCATCAAAAAATGTCGTTATTTTGGTGATTATGTGACACATAGAGGGAGATCTATAAATAGAACAGCGTTTAAGTTAAATCGATTGCTTGCACTGCTTGCTCATAATTCATTTCATTTGCTCATAACTTTTAAATGAATAGTCCGATTTTAAAATTTTCTTCTGCTTTTCAATCGGTATTTAAATCTGTAAGGATGTGGCTACTCTACGACTAAGAAAAAAAGATCACTTGAAGCAGGATAATTGATTTTATTTCAACTTAAGATTTATTTATTTTTTGTTTTTTAAACGGGAAGCACTTACTCATTCATGATGAACTGCAGAAAGCGGCGATAGTTGATGCCCCTCTCGCACCTGGTGTCCTCCATGCCCTGGGTGAGCAGCTGCAGTTCCTCGGCGGTAAACTGCTCCTCGTTGCGATTGAGCAGCTCGAGCAGGCGCTTCGGCTCGATGAATCCCGAGCTCAGGGGATCCGAACGCCGCAGGGCGTCGATGAACTCGTCCCTCTTGGCCATGTCCATGTCGACGGCATTGCGGCCCACCGCCTGCAGGTAGAGTCGGGCCTGCTGGAGCCGCTCCTTCTGCTCCTGGGCGGCGTTCTTGGCGAACATCCGCTGCACCAGATGCTCGTAGTGCACATTGCCCCCGATATCGGAGGCGCAGTGCAGCGCACTGAAGACCTCCGCCTCGTCCAGGCGCTCCGAGCCCATCGAGGTCAGCATGCGGCGCAGCTCGCTGTAGGGCAGCAGACCAGTGCCCTTGGTATCGCAGCTGCGCAGCACTTGCAACACATCCTCGGCCGATGGTCCTTCCTCGTCCTCTTCATCGGCCCACTGGCAGTAGAGTGTGAGCACCAGCTCAAAGGACGCCCGCTGGGAGATCCTCTCGGCCGCGGCCGGTCCCATCGTCTCACGCCGACGTAGGTGCTCCGCCTCCAGGCGATTCAACAGCCACTGGTCGCTGGGACTCAGGCCCATGGTGCGCAGGCAGTCCGCCACATCCGACAGTGCGATGCTGGCGCCTTCGGGAATATGTAAAATATTTTTTACATTAGTTTATCATTGTTTAAAATCAAAAAGAACTATTAAACATCAATATATGTGACTGAAAGTATAAAGGGATATAATAATTATTATATTTATTTATAATAAAATATTTTTTAAAATAGTTTATCATGGTTAAGGCTTAGTACTCAACGCAACAAAAAGTCGTCCAAAACAAAAAACTTCATATGAAAAACAACGTCAACAAATTTTGTTTCATGTGAAGTTTTTGTTTTGGACGACTTTTTGTTGGGTTGAGTACTAGCCCTAAAAATCAAAAATAGCTTTTAAATATCAATATATGTGTCTGAAAGTATGCAGGGATATAATATTTACCATATTTATTTATAATAAAATATTTTTTTTAAATAGTTTATCATAGTTTAAGATCAAACCTTGGGAATATCATATATTTATAGCTTAAAAGGTCTTGAAAAACATATGTATATAAAAAAAAATTGTAAATTAAAATATTATAATTTATTATAATATATTATATTATTATTTTTTATAGAAATATATATCCTATATATTTACTTACCATCTACTCCTGATCCTTCTGCTCCTATCCCATTGCCATCAACTGCGAATAGATCGAAAACATGCCGCAGTTTGGGCACTTCTGGCATCATTATCATCAGCTCCGATTGCTTGTAAAAGAATCCGAGCTTGCGGGTGGATCGCTTTCCCTTCTTGTTCATATTGTTCGGGATAGAATATATTTACAGAAAAAAAAAAAAAACAATTTTGTACAAAATTTTGTTAGGAGAGCCAAATTTGATAATGAAGTTCCAAATGGGAAAAGATTTTGGATAACATCGAAGTCAATGAATGCTACGCTTTCATTTGTGGATGGAACAAATTCGTATTCTTTAAAAAACCGGTTGCTTAATTTGTTATTTAATAATTACTTAAAAACGGTTGTTATTCAGTCCAATATTTCACAATTGCTTTTGGTTTCAAAGTTTATCACTCATACTGTTGTCTTTGATTAACAAGTTAGTTTTATCTAAATGATTATGTAGCAATCTATATAAAATATGCAATGTTTTATAGCCTAAAAACCAATGTAGATGAAATATTAATCCGCCACATCCTCGATAATGCCAATTAAAGATCGTTGATTGTTAAATATTGATTGTTAAATACTGAGTATTAAATATTGACAACAAATGTTAATAAGGATTGGAAAATTATTAAATTAGTAACTATAAGACAACTAAATTTGTTATTCTGTTATATAATTTGATTTTCATGCAATGGCATGGTTTATTTGGTAAAAGTTAGTATAGTTAAAAATAGATCACAAATAAATTATTCAGTCTTTGAAGCTTCCATTTCTTCTCGTGCCGTTTTTTTGAGGAGTTCTAGAGTTCTTCTGGCGGCTTGTGCATTTGCCATTTCTTGCTCAAAAGAATCAGTGCTATTTTCACTAAATGGCCACTCAGGAGCTGTATCTATTGTATCCGACGCAGGATTTTGCAGCTGAGCCTCTCCTCCATCAACGTCCATGGCCTTTGATGCTTCCATTTCTTCTCGTGCCATTTTTTTGAGGAATTCTAGAGTTCTTTTGGCGGCTTGTGCATTTGCCATTTCTTGCTCAAACGAATCAGTGCTATTTTCACAAAATGGCAACTCAGGAGCTGTATCTATTGTATCCGACGCAGGATTTTGCAGCAGAGCCTCTCCTCCATCAACGTCCATGGCCATGTTTTGTTTCTGGTCCTCCGGCAAATTTTCTATGATGCCATCTTCGGATGTCTGCACAAAGGAAATTTCACTTTCCTGAGCGTCAAGGATAAAAATACGCGAATCATTGACGTCAATGGCCACGGTATCCTCGGGATTATAGACAACCTCGCCGTTGCCACCGGTCAATATGATCAGCTCGCCATCCTCGATGAGTATCTCTCGCATGGCCGCCATCTGCTGCTCCTCGGTAATCGGTGAATCTTCCGTGTAGAACTGATGAGTGCCGTCCGCTTGAATAACGAACTTGTTGGCTGTATTGTCCACTTGAATAAAATTGTTGTCGTCTGTGGTTTTATCATGGTCTATGGGCCTTGGTGTTTCGTTCCCAGCTGCGGTGGGTGGATCAGAGATCTGGCTCTCCTGCTCCTTCCTATGATAATGAGTAAAAATTAAATTAATTCAACATGCTTTTTACTTAATCTATAATTTCTAGACTATACTTTTGCTTAAAGATATTTATATTTATTCAACATTAATGGTTTATTAAAGTTTTAAAAAAAATATATATTATTATAATAAATCAATATAAGTTTTTAAGTAAATTAATCTTTAAGCTAATCTTTGAATAATTAAATTAAGTTTTTAAACAATTTTAATGTAGCTAAAATATTCTAAAGTTTTATATATTTTTAAGGTTAGGTTGGGAACCCTGTGAATATATACATATTGGGCTAAAATTCAATTAAATTCAACATGCTTTATACTTATTCTCAAATTTCTAAACTTTACTGGTTTGTTGGTATGTTCATATGTATAGATAGGTTCAACATTAACGATTTATTAAAATTATACAAAAAGGATATATTATTATAATAGATAAAAATAAAATTACATTCAATATGTAATTAACTTATTCTCCAGTTACTAAAAAATTTGAATGTAGCTACATTGATTAAAGATATGATACACATACATATGTATGTGTAAATATCTTTAAAAGTTCTAGCTTTTTTTGAGGTTAGGTTAGAACCATGTGAATATATATGTATGAGTGTGTTTGTACAAACTCACTTGTTATTGCTGTTTTTTGTCATGGTCTGCGCATTGACCGGCGTTACGAGATTTTGAAGATCCTGCACCATATCGTTGAAAAAAGTCTTCTGATCTTTTATCTCCTTGAGCTTTGTATCAATGGGATCGGATTCGCTGCGCTGCAATTGTATAGAACTCTTGGACAGTCCCAGCCCTTCATTCTCACGGTCGTCGTCTTTATTATCGCCCTTCATGGTTATATTTCTCTTATTTTTCGGTAACGCACAAAAGTAGAAATAGTCGACTTGTCGAAAGCGGCCTGAAAATGATGACTAGAAGATTCGAGACGAACACCTGACACTCCACTTGACGTCAAAAGGAAAAGAAAAAGGAAGCGCAGCCAACTTCACTCAAGTGTTGAAATAGTGTTGGAGATTTAGAGGCAACTCTACAGACTCCATTGAAGAATCTGGTCTTACACAAGTTGTGTTGAAAGCAACCCTGAAATAGGGTTTATAGTGTTTAAAAGGTTTATAAAGTTTAAAGAGTTTATAGGGTTTATAGAGTTAATAGGGATTCTAAGTTTTAGTAAAAATATTACCATATTACATTGTAAAAAGTAAAAATAAATACATATCTTTATTATTGTGACATAAAATACATCACCTAAAAAATATTTGTTGTGTTGAATGCAACTCTAAAATGGAGTTTATAGGGTTGCTAAGGTTATAGAGTTAATATGGTTCCTAAGTTTTAGTAAAAATATTACCATGTTACATTGTAAAAAGTAAAAATAAATACATATCTTTATTATTGTGACATAAAATACTTCACCTAAAAAATATTTCGAAAAATCGTTAAATTCGTACTCCTACAACATTCAATGTATTCTACTGGATTTTTGTGTGTGTGTGTTTAAAAAGAAGGGATTAAAAAGCATTGGATATTTGATCTTAGGCTACATTTTTGGTGGAATCGTCGAGTAAACCACATCTGGGTTCCGTTTCGAAAGAGAGGGCCTATCAGAGGGCCCCTGTGGACTTCATTTTGGCATTGGGCTGAGTTTAAAGTTTAAAGTTTAAGATTTAAGGCTTTCTTTCCTTTTCAGGACGTGGTCGCAAAGATGGTCTGGCAGTGGGCGATGAGCGAGGAAAGCATGAAGATCTCCTCCGTCAGGTTCGTCATGTGCTGGGGCGTGGCAATCAGTGTGGGCGCAAAGACGGTGGCCAGATTGTGCTCGTTCATCTTGTTGACGGCATAATGGGAGGCCACGCTGTGAGGATTATCTAGGATATCTCAGGGACTCTCAAGGCTAAACAGACAAACATCTTACCGCTTCAGGTGCTCCAGCATGTACTGCAAACAGGCGTGATGGGCGGGCGGCAGGCGACGCACTGCCTCCGCCATGAGCTGCCGCTGCTCCGCTGGCTTTCCGCTGCCTGGAAAAGGGAAAATATCTTTAGATATATATATTCCATTAAGAGAAGACCAGTTAAAACCCACGTCCTGCTGCCATGAAGCTGGGATACGCCTGGAATGTGATCAGCGGCACGGGCAGCAGGCGCAGATATAGCTTCAATGTCCCGGCAATCACATTCACATTCCCGTACGCCGTCTCCGACATGTCCGTCCGCTCACCCTCCCGATCGAGGGCCAATTTGAGCGCCTCGATCTCATCGGCAAAGCCCGATACTCGGTATATACCCTCCTGCAGCATGCCCCTGGCCTCCACCTCCTCCACGCAGCGCCGCACCACAAAGGGTATCTGATGGTGCGGCTCCAGCTGCACCATGGTCGTCAAATCCGTGCCAAATACGCCACGTATGCGCTTGAGATCCGGCACACACTTGGCCGGCACCAGTTCGGAGCACTTGCTGTGCGCCACAAAGCCGCAGGCCTCGCATTTCCTGCCCTGCGCCGTAAAGCCCCACAGGAAATTGGCACAGAACTCGCACCAATTGAGGCCTTTAAAAGTGTGAACCTTGAAATGATGCGGTTTCTCGTAGACCAACGGCATGGGATCTACCGTAGAGGCAGTCGCTGGCAGCTCCTCCTCCTCCTCGGGCTGCTGCTCCTCCGGCTGTGGCTGCTCCTTGGATTGCTTGCCCAGCTCATTCGAGAGAGCCCTCAACTTCCTTCCGTTCAAAGTCATGTAGGGACTCTGCTGATAGCAATTCTTGGTCTGCTGATTGATCTGCTGGATGATGGGGCTGGCGTGGAGCTGCATGTGGAAGTTGATGAGCCCATCGGCCACCATATCGTGGACCGTATCGAAGCGTTTGTCCTGGCCGCGCAGATAGTGACCGCAGCCCGTTTTATAGAGCAATTTGTAGTGTTTGGGGCGCTTATTGAAGCGGAGACTGAGCGTATAATAGCCATCGGACTGGGGACTGCGACGCACAAAGTAGCTGCCATCGCGGGCATTGGCCAGGAGCTGCTCCGCCTCCAGGTGGCCCATGAGACCATGATATTCGGAGCCGTAGAGGCGGCCGGCCAAATTGTTGGCCTCCACGGCCTCCGCGGTGCTTTTCGCCGGCGGCAGGGGCAGCGTGCGCTGGCAGCGCAACGGACAGGGAGCCGGGGCCTCCAACTGCAGCTTGTACACTGTTTTTGGGGGGATAATATAGGATGCAGTGCATCAGAAGTGCATCATAATTGCAAATAGGAGTGCTTTTCTACTCACATTCTGGCTTCCAGACCTTCTGAACCGGTGAACTGGGCTCGGGGGCGCCCGCCTCCGTGTTCCGGGGCATCCTCCTTCCGCCTGGCTGCTAATTAACTAATTAATTTTGTTGATAACTTTAGTTAATTCTTAAGTTAATGAAATTAAACTTAATGTTTTGCTTGGGCAGGCGAACAGGGTTGCCAGGCCGGCGAAATGCAGGGCGGTATTTAAAAGATACCAACATACCATTAAATACCAGAAATTAAAGCTCACGATCTGAAAATACTGAAATATAAATAAAAATTTTAAAATAATAATAAAAGAAATCAATTTAAATTATTGTTAATAATTTAGATCACAAATTTAATGAATTATCTTCCCTTTTCTTTTAATTGGTTTCATACCAATAAATACCAGAAATTAAAGCTCAGGTTCTGAAAATACTGAACTACAAATAAGTATTTAAAAAAAATAAATAAATTTAAATTTTAGTTAATAATTTTGATCACACATTTAATGCGTTCTTTTCCCTTTTCCCCGTTCAATTGGTTCCATACCCAATACTCAGGTATACAGTTCATAATATTAATCACCCATTTATTTATATATTCAATTCCCCTTTCCCAAATAAATAAAAACACCAGTTACGGTTCAATTGGTTTAATAGATTTAAGTACGTTCCTTTTGTAAAAAGACCTACACATTCATTGCTTCTCTTTGTTTTATTTATTATTAAATACAAATATTAAATTATTAAAAAAAATAAACATGTAAAACTTCAAAATGCGTATTTAAATTCGGACACGCGCCACCACGCGACGCATATCAAATTTAATTTCGAAATACTTTTTCGTGATACTCATCCTCGCTGTCTTTGTCTTCCATTGAAATATAATATAGATGTAATATATGTATCGAGTGTGATTGATTGGTACAAAAGAACGGCCCGCACTAGGTGATATATAATTACTGATTAACCTTCTAGTTTTCTTTTAGAATAATACGCATAATAATTCACAGACGCAGTGATTAGTTATGGTTAATCATGATGAATCTATGTGTCTACATCGATGGTTAGTTTTTGGAAGTGGGAATATATAGCTCCAATCTCGAAGTTTTAAGTTTTCTGTGTTTTTTAGCTGCTTGTGAAGCACTTTTCCCCTGTATTTATTGTGTATATATCTCGATATCCTTGGTCGTTGTCCTTGGTTTTAAGTCCTTCATTTTGGGGGAAAGGATGGCTGCTAAGTTGGAATCACGGAGTTGGAACTTCTGGCGGAATGAACGGCTGGCTCAGCTAGCTTGGCAGGTGTGTTTTAGTGTTGCTGTTGTGTTTTAGTGGTGTGTTGCTTCTATTGTCGTGGTGAATCGGGAATCAGCTCCACCCTAACCCTGCATGACCATGCGCACGAACTCCTCGTAGTTGATGTTGCCCTGCTGATCCTCCATATTGGCCAGCAGCTGCTCCACCTCCTCGTCCGTCAGCTTCTCGCCCAGCGTTGTCAGCAGGTGACGCAGCTCGGCGGAGGAAATGTAGCCGCTGGCGTCCTTGTCAAAGTGACGCAGTCCCTCAATAAAGTCATCGGCCGTATCGCCGGAACGGGCCTTTGAAATCGCCTGGTAAATGGGCAGGAACACCTCGAACGAGATGCGCTCATCGGGCTTCAGCTGGTGGGTGCACTTCTTCACATCGGACTCGGTGGGATTCTGGCCCAATGCCCTCAGGCACTCGCCCACCTGGCTCAGCTGGATCTTGCCATCGCCGCGGTTGTCGAACAGGTTGAAGGCCTCCTGGAATTCTGGCGAACAAAAAGGTGGGTAATTTGGGTAGCTTGAAATCGGTTCTTAGATAATTATACAATTGGAACTCTCATCACTCCCAGATGGTTGATTGTTTAAAATGATGATATTACTGATGATACTGCTGAACAAAAAAAAAGAAACAGAACGCCTCGACTAACAGATAAGCTAAAGGGAGTGCGAAGCAGATGAAGATATGCAAGCAGTAAATCGACTGCTTGCTTCGCTTGCATTCCATTGATCATAACTTTTCAATGAATGATCCGATTTTGAAAATTTTTTCTACATTTCAATAGGTTATAATCAACACAACCAAATGGCATTTTCACTTTTGAAAAATCTGTACAGATGTGAGCATTATGCTTTTTTGAAAGTAATTTAGATCTTAATCACACAGATCAATGGATCACCTTCCAGTGTGGTAAAGGTTTGCTTCACGTGCGCCGTGTAGTAATACATATTGAACCACTCCGATGACCGCTTTGCCAGCTACTGACTACTGACTGCCTCAAAAACTCCGACTGCCCGGATTTGGCTGGCCATTCGGATCGGATCCCCTACTCCAACCCGCCGCCGCCTTCCTTGGCCATGTGACACCGATATACCCTCACTTCAACAGCAACTCTCTTGAAGTCGGGGCGTTGAAGTTAAAGTACACTGTTTACAAAATTGACATAAACAATCCAGGGAACCTGGGAAATGGTTTGTTTTGCTTTCGAAGCTCTTGTTTCGGGGGAAAAAAAGAGTGCAGAACGATGAATCGCAAGCTATTTTTAGGAATAGTGGTTGCAGTTGGATTTAAACAAGTGAAGGTGTAAGTTCTTCAGCCGGAGAAGTTTAAATACAAGCGAAACGGATGCTAGAAAAGTGCAAAAAGTGGATGTAAATATTTAATTGATTTCGGAAGAGACTTCAAATTCTAATTCTGATGTGATTTTACGACAAAGAGCCCCGTAAACCCATAAAAAACCTCAAGGATTGACATAAAAATCTTTAAAAAAATATCCTAAATTCGAAATCATTTATGATAAACTAGAGTGTTCAGAATTCGATGACCTGCACCTAAATGTTGATCATTATGTTTGGTTATCATGCGCATACGACGACATTCATCCCAAAAATGGCAATAAAAACAAACGAATCCAGCACATTTTTGTCCATTTTAGGCGATGACAAAACGGCGACGACAGGCTAAAGCGTAAAGATTGCAATGGGGCGATGGGGCGACAAGGTGAGTTGGATGTGAATTGGAAAATACATTTGCTGTATGGTATATGGTATACTATACTATATACACGGTCGAACGCTGACGTCAGAGTGTCAGCACTGCTGAATTATCAGAGACCATTGACTTTGATTAGGCTAACGGCTAACAACTAACAACTGGGGATTGCGTAAAAATTCGACTTGATTTGATTCGTATTCGCATCGAAATTGGAATCGGAATCTAAGACTCGAACTCAGAAAGTTGGCTTTCCGTAAATGGAAGCTGGTTTTTTTTGTCAGCTGGCTTGGCTGTCTTGTCTTATCGCTGGCTTTTTGCAACTGCAATTGCAGTTTTATTTAAAACGAGCTACCGGTGGGTCAGAAAGCCGGCTGATTATCCCATTGGGCAGCTCCTACATATACATACGACTATATCTTATCAGTTCCACTTCCTTTCGTCTTTCAACAGTTGTTTTCTTTGATACTATGTTATGTAGTATGCTATAAAATCGGTATGTAGACGTTAAGTTATAAATCATTGGATTATATGTGAAAATAGTATTTTCAAAACTCGAATTCAAGAGAGAGATGAGAATGAGAACATTCGCTAGTAATCGAATGTTTAGAATACAATTTTGCCTATAATACAATGTCTTTTTTTGACGGGTTTGATTATAAATGATTATATCCTATCATTGATGACATACTATACTATTTCTATACATAGATATTATCAAATGATATGTGGTTATGGGATACCCATATATATTATCACAGATATTGCTATGTGGTTATGGAATATCCTTAGATATACATGGATATTATCAACTGGTATATGGTTATATGGGAAATCCATAGATATACATAGATATTATCATTATATATGGGATATATGGGATATACATAGATATTAGCAGTTAGTATGTGATATCCATAGATATTATTACTGATATTCAGATGTGGTTATGGGATATCTATAGATATTGACATAGATATTGGTATGTGGCTATGAAATACCCATAGATATCCATAGATACTATCAATTGGTATGTGATATATGGGATATCCCAGGGTATCCTATCTTCGGCTTTTTGGATTTCCCCGTCGCTTTGCTGCTTCTTGGTATTTTTTGTTTTTTGGGTGAGTCACGATCGCATTCGTATGGCTGCTTTCCAGCGTATTTGCTTTATCAATGATTCATGCATATATTGCCGTTTTTCGTTTTTCGCTTTTCGTTTTCGCCGCCTATAAAGCTGTGTAACACTAACACACGCACACTCACACACCTTCGTGCCATCGCCCTCCCACTGCCCGCATTCCAATGCCCATGAGTGGAAGGGAGAGGGCGCGATGTGACGGCGCATATAGTGCCGTTATTTGGCCGACTTTTCATGTTTTTCTATTTGTTTTTTTTTTTTTTGCGAAGGACGAGGACACTCACCAGCCAACTGATCCTCGGTGTAAGCTGCCTGCAACGAGAAGACAAGAAAAGACAACAAAGGATTAGTACCCTTACTGTTAAAGCGGCCTTCCAATAAACACACACGATAATAAACAGTAAACACTCACCATATCGATTTGCTTTTAGCTAGCTGATGAGGAAAACAACACAAAAACACGGGATATTGTTGAATATTGAAATTGGGCGACGTCGACGCTAGAGATGGGGCTGTACGCGGGACTAGAGATGTGGGAGCAGCGATGACCGATGCCGATAGTATCGATATGGTCCGCGCTGCGATAGTTAGTGTTCCCGCCATCACATATATAGTTGGTGCGCGGAATAATATCAGGGGGATTCCCTAAACTGTTGAATTGCTGAATTGTTGAAAATTCAACAAAAAATTTCAGCAATTAAGGGAACGACCCAAAATGGTTCCTGTTGAATTTTCAAACAGCTGTTATTTGTTGAAAAATTTCACGGAACTTAAAGCATGTAAAATTTGATTTATTATTGCTAGTTACTGTCTAAAAGTGTTACCAAGGTAAAAAGAACCACAAATATGCTTTCTAAGTTGATTTCAAAATAAATAATGCGTACTGGTGATAGTAAAATGTTACAGAGTTGCCACGACTTTCAAAAAAAGGTGACAACTCTGGCTTTTCAGCAATTCAACAAAATTTTCAACAGCCCCGAGGCTGTTGAATTGCTGAAATTTCTGAAAGTTGACTTTGTATGGAACAGCTGAATAACAGCTGACCAAAATTCAACAATTCAGCAATTCAACAGTTTAGGGAATCCCCCTATTAATATTCGAATATATCGCTATTCTGGACTAGATAATATTGATATGAAAATAGACCGAATACAAATATATCACTATTCTGGACCGAATAATAATTATAAAAATAAATAAATAAAATATATCTCCGAAAATATCGTTATTTTGGACCGAATAATATCTTTATTCAAATATATTTCCAAAAATATCGTTATTCTGGTCCAAATAATATCAATATTCAAATATATCGCTAGCAAATATCACTATTCTGAACCGACTAATATCGTTATTTGAATATATCTCCAAAAATATCTCCAATCTGGACCCAATAATATCTATATTCAAATACAACTCCAAAAATGTCACTATCCTAGACCGAATAATATTGATCTTCAAATAAATCGCCAACAAATAACACTATTCTGGACCGAATATTCAAAGAAATCGCTAGCAAATATAACGATTAAAATATATTTACTTACGTGAAAGTATCGATATGTTAGTATCTTTTTCGCACATTCCTAATTCAGATCGCCAGTGTTGGAAAACATCGAAATACGAAAATCAACACGTGCCGCTCGGTTTGTTTTGAATTTCGATTCAGAGATCCCGATCCCGAGATTCCGATTCCGATTCCTCTCCAAATTCCCAATGAGTAGCTCCACCCAGAAGCTGGAGTACGATGCAGCGGTGGGCGGCCGGGTCGCCCTGCCCTCGCACGTGACCACCTACCACTATGCGGCCGTGGCGCTGCAGGAGATCCGGACTTTAGTTGCCGACTGCCAGGAGACGACGCAGCGGAGCAGCAAGCTGATCTTCCAGACGCTGCCCAAGCACATGCGCCGCCGGGCGATGTCCCATCATCCAAAGCGCCTGCCCCGCAAATACCGTCAGGCGCACAAATCCCAGATGTCCAAGGGCGGCAATCAGCCGGTAAACAGCAAACGACCCTCGCGAAGGTACCGCCGGCGACCCAAGAACCTCCTGCGCGAATATGTGCGCCGGCAGAGGCGTCACCTGTGGCTGGAGACGCACATCTGGCACGCCAAGCGCTTCCACATGGTCGACCGGTGGGGCTATCGCCTGGCTTTCGCCAGCTGCGACAAAACCTACCGCGCCTGCTATCGCGCCACCACGGAGCACTGCCTCCTGCAGGATATCTCCTTCTATGAATGCCTGGAGATCAGAGGACCTTTGGAGCAGCTGCGCCAGGGCTTCGCCCGCCTGACCAGTCCACAATGCGGCCTCGGTGTGACGGCCAGAACTTTCCTCAGCGGAAGACGCGAGGGCAGCGTGGAGCTGTTCAAGGAGAACCAATATCCGCTGGGAGCTCTACAGCGAGTTAGCTTCATGTGGCGGCCAAGGGAGGAGCAGGAGAAGGGTGAGCATCACACGCTCTGGCTGTGGCTGCATCCTAGCGGAGCACAGGCCATCCTGGAGCAGCTAATCAGCGTGTTCCAGCTGAAATCGAAGAAGCAACAGAGGTTGCCGCTCAAGGAGGAAGGAAAAAAAGAGCTTCTCAGCAAGGAGGAAGTAAAGGAGGAGCATCTCAGCGGGGAAAAACGGTCCTCCAAGTCGAGTCAAAAGGAATTACGCTTCTGGACCCAAACGAAATCCTTTGATTTCCAACCCACTTACTCCAATGCCGAGGAAACCATTCATTTAATCTCCCTCCAGCGGCAATTCAATCGCTTCCGCCTCACAGGACCCCGCGCCCAACGTGTCCTGCTGGCCAGCCTGCGTCCGCATCATCAGGAGGAGGAGGATAACTACTGCCAGGCAGCCCTGCAGCTGAGTTCGCCCGCCCAGCTGCTTTCCAACCTGGTAATGGCCACCCAGGTGGTGGATCCGCGACTCCAGCGACCCAAGAAGCGCACGAAGGCGGAGGGAAAGGAGCAACCGAAACTCTCCCCCGAGGATCTCCTTTTGAATCAGCCCGCGAATCTCCCAGAGAGTCCGCTGTGGAGCCAGGAGGCGCGGCAGAGGCTGGCCGGGAGTATTATGTCCACGCACACGTACAATGAGCTGCGTCAACAGCATAGCGTGGTGCCAGGAGCGCCGTGTGCCTTCGAGCAGCAAATGCAGGCGATGCCCGTGATACTCATCCAAAGACCCGGCTCCCAGGATCCCAAATATAAGCGATTAGCCTACGGCTGCGGCTGGGATGTGATTGCGCCGGCTGGTTATGGCATGGCCCTTTGGCTCACGCTCACCATGTGGGGCGCCAGGCCGGGGGGATTGCGGGAACTGGATTCGGTGGCCAGGGAAGCGGGCGCTGAGTTGCATCTGCCGGATACAATAGCAGGTAAGTTATATTGTATTCGTGCAAAAGTATGTAACAAAAAGTCTATATAGCCATGTCCGTCTGTCTGTTTGAACGCTGAGATCTCGGAAACTCCAAAAGCTAGAAGATTGAGATTTCCCACACATATTCTTGGGCTTCCTACGCAGCGCAAGTTTATTTCAGCCTAGCGCCACACCCCCTCTAACGCATACAATCGCCCACTAACGGTAACCTTTAAAGATTTTCGAAAAGTATAAATGCAATTTTGTTGTGCATAAATATACCTATCGAAATGTAGAAGACATTTTTCAAATCGGACCATTCATTAAAAAGTTATGCGTAATCTAAATTGTATATAGCCATTTCCCTCGCACTCCCTTTAGCCGAGTGACGGGTATTATATAGCTTTCTCTCTTGTTTTATATAATTTATTTTATACAACTCTTTAATTACTTTTTACCTGTTATCTCGCTAGGAATCCAGCAGGCTGCTGCTTCAGCTGAGGAGCTACGCGCCGCCTACTTCCGCATGCCGCCCAACAAGCGCTCGAACTACCGGAAACTGGCGGTGGTCAGTCCGTTCATTGCTCCCTGGAAGTGCTTACTGCGCGATTGGGGCGCTACTCCTGCCACAGGATCCTCGTTCTACGTGCTGCGCCATCGCCAGCAGCTGGAGGAGATTGCCGAGTGCCTGCGACAACGTAGAGCGCTGCCGCAGGAGCTTCTGCACCAGGAGGCACTCATCCAGATTCAACTGCGTTTGATTAGTCGCGGCTGCGTGAAGAGCAATGCTCTGATTTGCCTGCCCACGCAAGATGATCACAAGCAACGCTGGCGACAGCTGAAACGCAATGATCAGGCCCCTGTTTGTGTAGAGCCACTGCAGCCGGATTTGAATGAACAGCAGCGCAAGGATCTGCGCCAGAGTCACAAGCTCAAGTTGAAGCGTTTGCGTGCGCGGAGGGTGCGTGAGAAGCGGCAGCTGCAGGAGAAGGCCACCAAGCGTGTTTACATCCGGCCAGCGGGCACTGCTCATCTGGTGAAAGCCCAGCTGGAGGAGATGAGCGCCCTGTGGCTGCCCAGCGATCCGCGGGAGATGCGGCAAAGCGTGCGACGTCAGTGTAGCCGTGAGGTCTTCGGTTATGTCACCTTGGCCAGCTTTACGTTTACCGAGGCTCTGGTCTGCGCCGTGGGCTATGTAACCGCCGCCGGTCTGCAGCAACTCGTCGGAGGGGAGCTACCGAACTCCAAGGGAACCAACTCCCTCAAGGAACCCCTCATGTGCCTGCTGCGCGATCCGGATAGCCGCGACTACCGCTGGGCCAGCTTTCAAATCAATCTTAATGTGGCCAGTCCAGGTCTTTAGAGCTTAGGTCTTGTTTTTCTGCTTGTTAGTGCCAAATATATAATGCTATCATATAGCAAAAATAAGAAAATAACTCGATTCTGTTATAAATTTCTAAAAATCTGCCTAATTTTTATCAAATTAATTTAGTTTTCTTAGGCATTTTTATTTTTAATTGAAGAAAATAACTAGAGTCTGCATTTCAGAGTGGTATTCTAATAATTCTTTTATAATTTTCTACAAATCTGCCTGGTTTTTATTAGTTTAGTTTAGTTTTCTTAAGGATTTTTTGTTTTTTAATGGCTCTGCATCTTAGAGTGATATTCTAATAATTCTGTTATTACTTTTTTAAAATTTGCTCAATTATTTATTAATTTAATTAACCATTTGTATTTTAAAATGAATAAAATAAATAGGTTCTGCATTTTAGAGTGGTACTCTAGCATTTCTATTATTTTTTTATTACTTTAATTGAATTTTCTTAACCATTTTTATTTGTAAATGAAGAAAATAATATAGAAGAGTTTATATTATAATTTTCCAAAAAATCTACTTTCTTTTGATTATTTCAACTCTTTTTAAACCATTTTGTGGTGAATAAAACACGCTTGATTTTTTGTTGTACATATTTAATACTAGTTTTTATTCAATTTAAAATTACTTGTATGTCATCTGTACGTTCGTTTACCATCAAATGTTTTGTTTACTTCATTTTTATGTTGTATGTATGTCAATTTTTGTATTCGTTATGCAATGAACTCAATGTATTGAGCGAATGTCAGTGTGATTCTGAACGTGTGTTTTTAGAACTGAGAAATTTTTGAATTTTGTATTTCGTTCTCGTTTATCATATCTTAAATGCGACAATGATTAAAAAATGGCTTACAATTTTTGGTTTTTGTGGCGTTTTCGTTCGCACATCCATAATTTATAATATTCATTCCTCGAATCGTTTTCATCCACTTTAATTCGTTTGTAATTGTTGTTTAGTTGATGCGGTTATGGAAAATGTATTTGAATTGCATGTAAATTTCGCTTTTTTTCTTGTATATATATTTTTATCAGTTATTGAAATTGTCTATATACTTACGAGCATATAAATTGTTCATGTTGTATTTGGTTTTCTGTTTTCTTGGGATTTAGCAGCTGCTTTTGGTGTTGATCTCTTTTGTTCTTGTGCGTTAAGTTTCTGTCTGAATATTTTAACGTTAATCGAATTCGAATTCCCAACTCTTTTTTACTTTCGCCGCTTTCCCAAAAATGTTTTCAGTGTTTTTTGTTTTTTTTTTGTCTGGCTTAGATACAGATACATAATTCCATTATGTAAATTCTCACTTATAATTATACAACTTAGTTGAAACATTTAATAAATATTTCTTTCTGCTCACTTTTTTTCTGTTCGGTTGTACGGCGTAAAATATGATTCAATCTTACGTTTAACTAAATGTTAAGGAAAAAAACAATTCTTTTTTAAATTTATATTTATATATATATATGTATAGTTAAATATATATATATATATGTATGTATGTGACTTATGAAGCGTATGCATTCAAGTAAAATGTCTAAGAGCCTACGCAAGTACAAGTTTCAAACTGAATTTAATTCGCAAACGTTTGGATATATGATTCACCGAATACTGAATACTGAATACTCGATACTGAATACTGAATACCCAGATCCATGAGTGATCGATCGTGTGAGTGACTGAGTGTGTGTGTGCTGAGCTACTTTAATGGTTTGTTCGATTTTTCGACTTGGCTTACCTATGCTTTTGCTACCACATTACATTTGATTGGATTACGAGTATTGTATACGTATTCTTCTTGAACTGCTTGAACCAGCGTCTACAGTTAACATGCATTATATATATGTAGACTTGAAGACTGGATTATGATTACAGATTATAATCGGATTCGCAATTTATCGATTTATCGCCTTTCGGTAACGTCTTTGTCTTTATCTTCTTTGGTCTTTGGCAAACTGATGCTTTCTGACTTAGATTGCAGCTGTAATTGGGATGAGGTTTTTGATTTTCGGGTTAATAGGGGTAGAGGAACTTGGGTTCGGGATTCGGGATCCGAGTGGGACAGGTCGTTAGCTGCCCCGATCTCTTGTCTTGCGCATCGTCTCCTTGTATAAAACGTTGAAATACTTTGAATTTGGTGGGTTAGTATACATATATTTATAGATATACGTGGCATATATATCTTTCAAAATGTTCGTTTCGTTTTTTTTTTTTAACATTGCTGTAAACAAATTGATGCTTGTCAATGGTTTCTCCCTTCTCTTCCTGTCACTCCACTTGATTTCTCCATTTCGCTTTATCTAAAAATGTTCATTCATAAATGCGGGGATTCACTTGGAAAGATTTTGTTCGTTTGGTTCACAAGTTCTCTGATTTCTTTCTTCGAGTGTAGCTTAAGAATGTCTTGGTTTATCCGATTCTTTGCTATAACATACATACATATATTATTATGTTTACGTTAATTATGTTTTTTTTTAACATCACTACTAATAATCAAAAAATGGACATTTATAAACTTTTATATAATGTATATTAAAAATTGTTTGTTTTTTTTTTTTTTTTGTATTTTTGGCCATTAAATGCCACAATTTTCTTAGTTTTCTCTTGATTTTTTTTGTCGTATTTTATGTTTTTCTTTTATGGTGTTTCGGGGAATTTGTTTTTACAATTGGCCATGAAGTTGTCTTATCGCCATTGTTTCTAAATTCTTACAAAAGTTGCGTCGACTCAGTGAGTGAAGTGTGAAGCTGAGAATAAAATAACAAAAGAGGTTAAGTGATTAAATCAAGTCGAGAGAACAAAACGGAAATAAAATTAAATAATACCAGTAAATCAAATAAATTCATCACAGTTTGTTGTTGTTTCGGCTGTTACTGTTTATTGGTTGTTTTGCGGAAAAGTCAGATCAAATTTATTAAGAAAGTCCTTTCGTTTCCGTTTCCTGTGGCCGCGTTCTTCATGGCATTGCTTTTTGTGTCCCTGTTTTGTGTTTTAGTTCGTGTTCATTCATGTTCGCTTTTCCCGGGATTCTTGACTTTTCACAGTCGCGAAAAAATACGCGAAAAGTAAACAACCTTTTTTGTTTTTTGGTTTATAGTAATTTCAATCTTATTTGTTATGTGAATTTTTTAATCGATTTCTTTTTGGTTTCTGTTTCTGCCGAAGCGGATAAGGGTTAAACAATTAAGAAATTAATATTAATTTGAATTCATCGATTTAGTAACAAGATATTGCAGTGTGTTAAACTAAACTAAAACTAAAATTAAATACGTAACTCAGATTAAAAACGTGTGCCGTGGTTTTCCTTCGGGTAAACTGTAAACGCTATGACTTAGTTCTTAAGTTCTTAAGTCCTCCACGAGTTAACAAAGTAAAAAAGGAAAGCAGGGCAAAATCAACAAATCGGTTCGTTCGTTTCGTTTCTCATTTCGTTTCGCTTTGCTTTGGTTGTCAAACAAAAAAATAATAATCATATCTGCATTAATGTATAATATGTATATTATATGTAGTACGCATATATGTTTTTAATACGTAATTAGAAACTAACTCTTCACTTGATTTCTATTTGCGTTCTGGGCTCGCTACATTTTGGTTTGGTGCATTTTTTCATAACTCCCACATCGGCCTATATAGACATCTTACTCCAGGCGTGCCTTGTAGGTGGTCTTCCAGATCTCGGCGAGTGTCACGGCGCTGTGGAATCGATGGAATATGCACAGGGGCAGTGTGATGCGCTGGATGATCGACCAGGGCACAAAGCCGTAGAACTCCAGCTGAACCTGTGACGGGTATAGTGTATAGTATGGTTAAAAGGGCTAACGACTTTGGCAAAGTGAATAATTCGGGGGTGAAACATCAATCGCATGCAAGACAAGGCGTTTTTTGTAAAAATATATAGGTACATTTCTTTTTGTAAAACTAAAGTTTATTAAAAAGAAGATACCAGTACTAAAAATAATTTGAAAAATTCACCAACACAACACAGAAAAATAAATGACATAATAAAAATAATTATTTGCATATTAAATTCAAAGATTCATATATTTTAAAATTAAATAAAAAAAAAAAATTTTTATAATAAATATATTTAATTGTATGGCCTTTTTTAAAAATAGAAAATAAAAGATACAATGTTAGTCATATTTACTTTACTTTATTTAAAAAAAAAGAGTTTCATATTAAAATTAAAGTTTAACATAATGGATGAAAAATATAGCTAAAAATATTTCAATTTAATACGAAATCTTAGAATTTACTACAATTACAAACTATTTTTAATTAAAAAAAAAAGAAACTTTGGAAGGCCAGGTCTTAATTTCACATATTTATTATCATAAACTTAAAAACCCCAAACCCAAAAGCATGCAAAACACACAAGGAAATATCCATTAAACAATCGAATAACGAGTAGAGAACGAGAACGTTAATCGTCTTACTTTAACTCAGTCTCGCTTACGTACATATCTACTTACAGGATTGGCGAATACTTTTTGAGCTTCGAATGTGTAGATGGCGAACATGGCCACGTTGCAGATGAGAAGGAAGGTGACTATCTGGCGGCCCGGCTTGCTGCGATCGTGCTCCGGCAGGTGGACGCGGCGGCGGGACACATCGGCGATGAAGAGCAGCTGCAGGATCACCTGGAAGACGGCCACGCCCCCGGTGGTCGTCACCAGCAGGCTCGGCTCGCTCTCCAGGACCTTCAGGCTGCCGGCGATGATGCTGAACACCGAGTAGGTGAACAGGCCAAAGGCCGATATGCGCAGCAATATGTCGTTCAGGTTCGACTGCTCCTCGCAGCGGAACTTCAGGTTCTTGACCCTTTTCAAAAAGAAATTAATAGTTTGGTTAGATGGAATATTAAAGGGAATTTATGGGGACTGCACAGAGGAAATATTAGCTGAGAAAATAAAAGTAAAATATCGTTAATTTTGATCGTATTCTCTTCTACTCTGGGATATAATTTATTTATTTTTATTTCAGAATTTCGAATTAAATCTAACAAAAATCGGACAAAATATATAGCTGCCAAAGAAGGATAAAAAAATGAATATCAAAATTATGCAAAAACAGCTCAAATTTGGTTCGTAACATATACGCATGTAAATTTGAATTTAAGATATTTTTAAGTAATTTTGAGATTAATTTCGATATATTTAATAACGATATTTTCGATATTTTTAAATAATGTTGATAATATCGATGTTTTTGGGGGAAAAGATAATGCTCACAAAATAAAACGTAAGAAAGCATCGATGTTTCCGATAAACATTGATGTTTGAAAAATATCGAAAATATCGATAATGTCGTTTTGAACTTTGTGAACTCTGTGCAGTCGCCGCCACATCATCATGCTACGTCCAAACCTGATAAATCCAACTATAATGGCCAGTATGGCAAAGGCCATCAGAATGCAGTGGCTGGCGTCGGCGAGGTAAATGGCCAACAGCGAGAACTGCTGATGGCGCACCAAGACGAAGAAGAGTATCAGGCAGATGAGCGCTCCGACCAGCAGCAGGAGCCCAAAGAACAGGCCCTTCGACGAGCCGACGCAGTCAACGCGTCCGGATCGCTGCTGCTGCGCCATGGCCACCGCCCTGCGCGATAGCATCACCTCCAGCCGGTGCTCCAAGTCCTCATCGTTCATCCTGCCGGGATAGCGACCGATATGCTTCCACATGACATACAAAACCACCGCCCCGATCAGCGAGTATTCGATAATAAATGGATACAGATACGGCGCCGAATCGTAGACAATGGTGCCCATTATATCGATCCTTCCGCAGGCGGTGGAGTTGAGTGTGCCGATATTGGAGGACAGGGCCGCCGGGTAGATATTGTCCAGGCTCTCCAAATTCTCGAAGCTAACCAGCCCGGTGACCTCTTCGTGGCCCAGATCCGAATACGTTTGGAAGCTATTCTCCATGGGTCCCTGCTGGCCGAACAGGTTGTTCATTATGCTGGCCGAGCCTTCGGTGCTGCTTGCCGGGCTCAAGGTGCTGGACAGGAAGGAATCCATAAAGGATCCCGAACCGGAAACGGAAGTAGGCGTAACAGCGGAACCGAACCCATCGACTGGCGCCAGGCTCGGCGGATTAGCGCTGGATGATAGAAGGCGCTGCAGGCCGCTGCTGGTCTCGAGATTATTATTCGTGGCAGTGGTGGTGCTAAATGGACTGAAGGTGGTGGTGGTGGTGGTGGTGCTCGATGATGGGTCAATGGTACTGGTGGTGGTCGAAGGTGAGATGGTGGTGCTACTGGTGGTGGTGGTGCCACTGCCGCCCGCCGCCGTGGTCGCCGCTGTGGTGGCGCTGGTGATAAACTTCTTCAACTTGCGGGCCATAGTAGTGCTGTGCCATTGGTAGTTCGGAGTGGTAAACGGAGCCCTCGTCGTCGTCGAGGTGGTGCTACTAGTGCTGGTTAGATCACCACCCATTCCCAGACTCTTGGAAATACCATCCACTGTATTGCGAACCAGCTTCGACAGCACATTGTCGCTTTTGTACACATCCTTGGGCAGAATGTCCTCGCCGTCGAGAACCTCGAACTCGCTATTGGGTCCCGCATGAGTTCTCAGCACAGTGCCAGCATGACGCAGGGCATGCTGCCGTATCGAATGGGCAATGGAGGAGGCTCCCGCCTCCGGTTCGTTCTTCTGGTGATAGATCGTAATCTCGAGCAGCGATTCCTTGACCAGCGTGCGAATCCACACGCATATGTTGGTGGCCACCACGTGCATCAGGCCAAAGCGGGCGATCACCTTGAAGCGGTGGATGTTCAGCTGGAGGTGCCAAGTCCAAGGTCCAACGAAATCCGGAATCCAAAAGATAGTTATAAAGAGAAATAGAGAGAAAGGATGCGCAGGACGCTTGAGTACTACGGAGAGTTTCACGGCGGTCATGTCGAGATTACATTAATTATAGATCAGATATCATAGATTAGATGGCGGGCAAAACTCAGTTCGTAGTTCGGGAACTGCAAGCCACTGACCCTGAAGAGAGGTTCTTCAAAAAACTCTAAGAGACCTGTACTATCCAAAAAAAAAATTTTTTTTTAACAAAAATAATAATGGTGGTCTAATCTAATTTCCTATCTTCTCTGTTGATAATAAATTTTGAATAAATCCATCAGTGCTCCTAGAAATCTGTACTATACAAATCTATTTTTTTTTAATTTTTTTTTTTTTATAAAATTTTAAATTTTTGCTGATCTAATTGGTTTTTCTTCTTCTCTCTTGGTAATAAATTTTCAAAAAATCTACCTGTGTTTTTAGAGGCCTGTACTGTCCAAATCCAACGAAATTGTTTCCTTTCTTTATTAATTTTTTTTTCTTCTTTGTTGACAATAAATAAATTCTACAATCGGACTTTATATTTTACAACAAAAAGCTTTACAACTCCCATTTCTAGTTTGAAGAACCTCTTTACAGTGGCAGTGGGGCGAAACAAAAACCAAACGTCCGCAAAGGGGAACCCTTAAATATATAGTAACTTGTTTAGATATCGAAAAAGATTATCATATCGTATAATATATCATATAAAGTATTTATATACATATATATATATAGAACAGACATAGGTGGTTTAGGTATGCAGTTAGGTGATCAAAATGAGCATTTGGTTGGAGGCAGATGTACAGGTACAGGTACAGTAGTTACAGGTACAGGTAGAGTTAGAGGTAGTGAGTAGAATAGAGTAGAAAATGAGTTGCATATCGTACCTGAAATGGCGGCCTAGTCTGCGATCGCGCGAATGGGGCGGAGTTGTGGGATTATGTACACAAAAATGGTTCATTAAATAACTACGTAGCAAAATTTCGAAATTTTTGTTTTTAAAGAATGGATATGGATATGAATATGAATATGCATTGGTTGAATTGATGGATAGTTTGCATGAATGTTTAAATGGATGTTTTGAATGAGCTGTGAGCTGGCTGATGATGGTGGGTGTTCTTTTTTCTTTTTTTTTAAAGGTCAAAATGCGTGTGGTGCTGAGGATTTGAACTCTGTGTCAGTGGGTTCAGTGAGTTCACAGAAAAAGAAACAAAATAAAGGATCTATACTAAAGGTAAGCGGTCGGTCAATTTGATCTCCTTTCGCGATGATTTCAAGATCAATTTGATCTTCATTCGCAATGATATTAAGATCAATTTGACACCACTATATAGCATAGCATAAGTTGTCTGTTGTCTGTGGCTTTTCCAATGTTCGTTTTGAATTGAGATTGATATTGAGATTGAGAGAAGCAAGCGAGTGATATGGCAGATGATGTGATCAGCGATGGATGCAATTGCAAATGCAGATATGCGGATGGATGAAAACTGAACTCAAAACTGCCAATTAGCACGCCAAATATTATATATTCGTGGTGAGATTTGGATTGAGCTGGAGATAGATGAAGGTAAAAATAAACCGAAACCGGAACCGCGACCTGACTTTAAATGCCGCGACCTAACTTTGGATAACTAACCTCGCCGGGGTTTCTTGAGGAGGATTTGGGTTGGTTTCGTGTACTTATTGTTGGTTTAACATTTAACATACGAGTATAGAATAGCCGTAGATAATAGCAGTAGGTAGTAGGTAGTAGTAGTAGTAGTAGGTAGTAGTCATACGCTTACAGTGTTCTTTAGTTTTAGTTTTAGTTTCAGATTCTTGACCTTTCCACTTACCCGGGCATTCATGAATATGAAATACATCTGCATGAAGGTGAATATCATTTGGAGCAGTGGGTTTACGCCGATCAGAATGTGATGGCATGGCGAATCGAAGGGTATTTCGAAGAACGATCCAAACTCCAGGCCAATATAAATCATGGCGCCCAATCCGAAAGCTGTGTGTGGATAAGAATGTAATCGAATGGCATTAGTTATCTGTTATCTGGTTAGATAATTTCCTTTTGGAATCTAGAATCTGAAATCCGCACTCACCAATGGCTCCTACGCGCAGAAAAAAGCTACCGTGCGTCAGGTCACTATGGGTTGTCTTGCGCTTGCGCACATTCTTTGGGGTGACGGCCACCTCGGCATCCACGGGTGCTTCCTAAATAAATGCGAATGGACGATGGAGAGATCGGGCGATCAAGAGAGATAATACATGTGGGGGAAATCTCACGGCCCTCCGGGGAGGGGACTAATTGATGCGACCTTAGCACTTGGCCCCTAATTAGCTTAAAGCTTGACAAGGTGGATTACTCAATTGGCAAGTGGGTCATGGAAAATGCAGGCAGGTGATTAGACACGTTAAATTAGAGCTTGAACAATATATCGATGTTTTCGATATTTATCTAATATTGTGTTGATAATATCGATGTAAAATTTTAATTATAATAAAACATCGATGTTAGAAACATCGAAAAAAAATCGATTGTGTCGCGTAATTATCGATATGTTCGATATTTTCACAATATTGTGTTGAAAATATCGATGTAAAATTTTAAAAATTATGTCAGAAAAAACATTGATTTTTGAAACATATTAAATGTATCGGGAATGTCGATATTTTTCAAGCTTTGGGCGAGATGCCCATTTAGATATTGCAATTGAAACCTAGTTTATGTTAAGGCAGTGGGATTATTAAGAATATTATCTATAATGCAAGTTTTACATAGCAAACGGTTGTATTATAAGTATTTTAGGTAAGGCTCATAGCAAACCCGAAACATGGCCAGTGTGTGCTTATAATATAGAGGAAACAGAACAGATTCCTTATAAGTTTTACATTTATATATTTATATTTTGGGAAATTGTAATCGTATGTACAGTGGAACCTTGTGATCTTTATGATATTAAACATGATATTTAAGTCTAGAAAAGGTTGGACTGTTCTTCTTGAATTATTTACCTGATATGCGGCGCCCTTGGCTGCCTTGCCCGAGTCCTTAGAGCCCTTCGCATCCTTCGAATCGGCCGGATCGGCATTTTTGGCTTTCTTCGACTTCTTCTCCTTGGGTTGGGGTTTCGGTTTGCTGCCACCATTGCCGCCATTGCAGCAAGAGCTCTCTGTGTATGATTAAAATTAAAGAGAAATTAAATGAATAAAATATAAATATAATTAAATAGAAGTACCACTCACCCTGCAGCAGGAAACAGAAGACGTAAAGGAGGAAGAGTATGCTGACGCCGTAGAGATATGTGAAGAATGTCTCGTAGTAGAGAACCGGCAGTCGGTGGGTGGTTACATCGCTGATTACGTATGCAATGCAGACGACGATCAGTAGGATCGCGTACACCAGACTGGTCACGATGAACAGCGATGTCCTGCGAAAGGGGAAGGTCTCAGATTACTCTACTTGTTTAATTTAATTTAATTTTATTTTCATATGTACAGGAGTTTGAACTCTGGGTGCGCGTATATACGTGGTGGTGGTGTATTATTGCGTGCGGGTAGTGTGTCAAGATCTGGCCAAAAACCTGGCCCTAACTCCCCTGAGTTGACCCACTGTCCCGCTTTTTAGTGTGTGCTGCTAATTTTCCTCTTTTTCACTGTTAGTCTAGTGTTTTGTGTGTGTGTGTGCGAGAGTGTGAGAAAGTGTTTCACATGCAACTAAAACTCAAGTGCATTCTCACTTGACAACTCAAGTAGATAACCGCCCTGAATTAACCCCCATTTGATGTTTGATTAGCCACAGACTAGTAGTACAGTGGGCTCTATATATTCACTCAGCGTTAACTTGCGAGATTTTTTAAGATCAAGTCATCATTTTGATATGAACAAAGATTATACATCATTTGTTGAAAAACAAATACTACATTTGGTATTTTAAAGTAGTATATTTTGAATTCTTATGAAATACCTGATATGATAAAATTTCTAAATAACCTTGAATCATAAATTTTAGATTAATCATATCATGTTGATATGTAATGTGGTAGAATTGATTATTATGTATTGTTTCGTAAAATCTCATTCAAAAGTCGAAAAAAATGACGAAATTCAGTACTATTTTTGAAAACCGCGCAATTTCAAAGCATTTTTATCCCACTGTCGCTCCCAAAGTATTTTGTGACCCAGTTAGTTGCAGCTCTTAATACACAACCTCCTTTTCCCACCCACCCCACTCAAAAGCATCCATTTGCATGTGTATCTGAGCTCTAAGCTGCATCAAATCCGACGATTGCATTGTATAACGTGTATTTATAACGAGTATTTGAACAGAATTCCTTTAATTATGCATGACATCAAAGCTGATTTTGCCTGCCTTCAATAAAACTTTATATTCTATTCTATAAAAATGATTTAATGGATTGTCTAAATTGTTTTATATCTTGAACCCACCCTATTTCATATAATAATAAGTGAACCCATTAAAGGTGTGAAAGGAATATCAACAGAGGAATTTAGCGAACGGAGTTTTTGGGACTTGTTGTTTGGGGTAGGTCGTGGTTTTCGCATGTCACATTACCATAGTTCGATGGGTCCCGTTATTGGATTTGTTTCATATGTACCCTGTACCGTTATTTTCGCTGGCATAAAACTGAACTTATTTGGATTTGGCTTGAATGTGTAGCAAACCCTATAAGATTTGATGTAAATTAGGTATACGTAATATCCAAATTATGTGGTTTTTAATGCATTTTGAGGGTTTTGGCGGCGGAGTTCAGGGGTTTCAGGGGTTAAGGGTGCAATACAACAAAAATGAGAATCTTTTTGGGAGACCTCGATGAGGGAGTGAGATAAATGGCGCCCTACAGATTGGATTGCACTTTTGCTTATATAATATATTCATGTACTATGTGTACTATATAGGTACTACTACCGTACATTACTGGCTTATATACAAAGTGTGCGGGTGCGATGGGTTAACTCTGTGTTTGTTTTTTTTGTGGTGAAACTGTTATACACAGGAATTAGCTAATTACTAATTGGAGAACGGCCTTGATAGTGAGACTTAAATGCCTAGCAAGTCCTTTTATAGAGGCTCTTAAATTGGGGTGTTGATAGGTTAATATAAGGGGGATATAATGAGATTTGCAGGCAGAACTGTTTCCTAATTTTTTATATTTTATATCATAACAGAAAGTAAGTAATTAATTCAAAAAGAATGCTTCCGGATTTAGGATCTAAGATTTTTGTATTCTTTCAGGATTAACTTCTGGTTTATCAGTTTCAACCCTTATCAGTTTGTATCTTGGAACTCGTAGTCCCCCCCAATTTCCTCCCTAAATTTTTCGCACCTCTGCAGCGGCTGCGGCATGACATTCTTGAGCTCCATCTCCTTGTTGGCCGCGTTGTTCTTCTCGGCGCTGTCTGTGCTGCCGGCGGTATGCGAGCGGGACACCGGCAGCGTGGCCATGTTGTCACCGCCCTCGACGTCGACGGTAGCGACCTTCACTTCACCGCCGCCCATTGCCTCTGTTTCCGTTTCGGTCTCCGTTGTGCTGGCTTTTTAACGACGATCTTCGATTTCCGATCTTTATCGATAGGCGATAGGATTTGTTGGTCCTTCGCGGCGGCGACTTGTTTGTTCTTGTTTCCTTAATTGCACAGTTCACAGCTCTTAACTCTAAATGAAGCAATTTGCGCAGGGTTTATTTTCTATTTTGGAATGCAACAGAAGAGCTATTGTTTGACTTCCCTATATACAACATAGGAAAGGACTCTCTCCCTCACTCTCTCTTCCCCTCTCTCTCTATCTATCTCTCTCTTTTAGGAGCCTTGTGGATCGCATTTGAAATGCATTTGACAAATGGGCAAATGAGGCGTGGCTATTATTTTTTTTTTTTAAGCGGACTGCATCCCGGACAGGAGCGACCCAGTGACCTCTCTCTCTCTTTTCGGCATATTTCGGAGGGTTGAAAATTCGCATTCCGGAGGGGAAACTGTGTGGAAAGTGTATCCTGTGGAGCTGTGCGCTGGTGTGTATGCATTGGATTGGAATTGTACTATCTCTCTACATTGGGGAGTCCTCAGGTTCTTAAGAGGCTGTTTCTTCTGCCAGTATCCCTCTATCTCTATCCCTCACTTGGCTGTGTGTATAATAAGCTGCTTAACTTGTGTATGTGTGTGTGTATTGCCCGGTGCCATTAAAAGTCAATTTTTTTTTTGGATTTTTGGAGGCCTGACCAAATTTAGTAACTGTAGTTAGCGGAAAATCACAAGCTTTATATGGTATATAGTCTATAAACTCCATTGCAAATTGCTTCACTTAAACCCAGTAATTTCTCGGTTTAAAGCTCGGCTTAAGATTTCACAGTTAAATTCACAGTTTTTAATTTCACGGTTTTATCTTATCAACGAATCACTAGAAAAATCACTTTTCAAGTGGAAACTTTAAAAAAAAACGGTTTCAGTTGAAAGTTTTGGGATTTTTCATTGAGAACTTTTTGAAACTTCCAACTGATTGAAGGACTTTTGCTTTTGGAGGACTTCGGTGGCTACCTGGCGAACGATTCGCTCGACACGTCCAAGACCCTTTACTATCCAACTACAACTGAAACTGAAACGGGCCCTGGCAGGATAAATCCAGCATCCAGCAGCCGCCCTCAATCTGCGCCGAATCTCTCTTTAGTCCCTCCTCTCCATCTCTGTCTCTCACTCGCAGGATGCTCTCTGGGTGTGCAGGGGAAAAATATCCTTTGAGTATGCCAGAAAGTAGGACACAATTCGGTGCGCGTATTTTATAGGCGACTTTTGCTCTTGTTGCTCTCAGTTCTGCTGGGTTATATTCGTATTGTGTGTAGGGTCGTGTCGGGAGGACTGACATTCCGCCTTGATTGAAATGTTAACTAACAGCTCATCTACTTATCAACTTCTTTCCTACATTTCATATCTTTCATATATTTATTAGATATTATATAATAGCATTTATTATTTTATTATGATTTATTCACTAATTTTTTTGCAATAAAACGTCTGTTTTGATAGCATTTCCCTATTACTTGTGTTTCTCCCAAGTTCTATTTTTTTCCCCGCTGAATTCCGGTCTTTGGACCTGTCCAAAAAGATATCTTTTAATTGAGTTTTGCATCAGGAAGCGGAGATTCTTTGTTTTAGCCGCAAACTCAATGTAAATGGGTCACTTAAGAGGGGGGTGCTGCCAAATGTCAATCAGCGGGTGTATGCCAATATGCAGACTGCACCCGGAAAAAGGGGGTGGTTTCTCGTGCCAAAGGAGGCGGATGGATGGAGCAGATGGAATCAAAAATAGGGAATTGAAGAACAGAATCCAACACAGAGCCGTCAGTCATCAAGAAGCAACAGCACAGAACTCAATTACCCACGGCGTTCGGCATGCCTCTACTGATTTTACTACTATCATCTGATGGTTTTTATACCCCTTACTCGTAGAGCAAAAGGGTATATTAAATTCGTTGGAAATTACATTTGTAACTGATAGAAGGAAGTGTTACCGACCCCATATAGTATATATATTCTTGTCCGTTTTTCTGTCCGTCCGTTAGAATGCTAAAACTTGGAAAGCATAAAGACTCTGGCAATTCATATTTTTTAAATCGTAAATTTATTAAGAAGCTATGAGAAAATTCTGTAATGAAAAAATTCTGTAACCGCCGCTAGGTGGAGCATTTAATCTTGCACTTCCTTTAGCTGAGAAACGGGTATCTAATGGTCGATAGTGTTTTCTTGTTCAATTTATAGGGGCACGACGTGCTATAACCACCCAACCGTCAAAACCACTCCACCGGCAACCGATTTGGCACAGTAGATTGTTTTTTATGGATCCTAAATAAAATGTGGGTATGCCCCTTAATATTATATTGGTTCTTAGGTTGATTTTGTGGAATTTTTAGTTTTAAAGGAGATATTAATAAAAAATTTGGTTTAAAAATGTTTTTTAAAAATATATACAACTAAAATTGATCAAATTGAATGTGATCCCCGTGCGTATGGGCGAAGCACACCTGGTTTAAAATACATGTTTGAGTGTAGTAGCTGATTTTCAGATCCGGATCCGGATTCCCTCATTCCTCTTACTAAACTTATTCCCTAATCTTTCTTCTCTTTAGTTCATTAGAGCCCTTCTTAGACGCGATTTCCCTTCCAACTCCCTGTCCTGTATTTTTTGATAGCTAATCCGGCTCGAGGGCCCATTGTGCGCAGTGGCAGAGCTTTACGGTAAAAGCCGAAGTCGTCGTCAAGCTGTCTGCTTCATTCTTCGCCGTCGTTCGTCCTGCTTTACCGTTAAACGTTTACCGTAACTTCAGCGCTGGCTGCCTTTTGTGCCTGCAGTTCGCAAAACCATTGCCGCATTCTGTTTTGGTTGCCCATTCGCCGACAGAGTCCCTTCGCTTCGCTTCGCCCCATCCCTTCGAATTCCCAACTACCGAAAACCCCAGCCATTGAACGTCGAGTGCAGAGTGCGACAAGGGGTTGCAGTCGTCCAGAAGAGTGGCGGTATTAAAAAATCGTGAGTGCACACTGTGAGAAAAGGGGTATTATATTTGGAAATATATTTTTTTTACATTTTTTTATTTAAATTGATTTTGATTGAGTGTTTTGCAGGGAATACAACCTTCTTGAAAGTGTTCTTTATTTAATTATTTAAATAGGTAATAATTGGAAGAATGTTAGTAGCCCTTTGGACAATTTGTTACCTCAAATAAAAAAAAGAATGTTAGAAATGTACATTTATTGTATCTATTTTTCCAGTGTAAAACAACAAAATTTAAGGATTTGCGACGCAGCTCGCTAACTGCGTCGTAGTTGCATAGAGAGGCATAAAAGCTGGAAAGTGGCGGACAGACAGGCATCAGGGGGTTAAAGGCGGAAGGTGATGGGGCGCGCAAGAAGGGGGTTCGAATCGAATCGCCGGCAGCCGCACCCTGATCACAGTTAGTCGAAGACGTGTGACCCAAATGCGTAGAAAAATGCGATATAAATATTATTATAACAGCGCAATCTAAAAAAATATTGCAACTTTAATCTATACTTTTTTTGACTTGTAAGTTACGTAAAAAACACGTCTAAATCTCTGACTTGTTGTTCCTTCTAATTGAAATCAATCCCCGAGGGAGTCTATTATTATCGTGGCCTCTACCCTGCAGCCCTTGGAAATCAAAGAAGGGTTGCATTTTGGCCTTGTGCCCGCTTTTGCCTAATTATACTTTTAGCCACCCCTCATCAAAGCAGCAGCAGATGAGGTCTTTATTTTAAAACAAAGTTATGGGGGGTGAACACTGAGATCCTTGGGCCTACCACAAAAAACAACGTGCCTAATCGGGTGATAATGGATTTGCCACAAATAGATGATGGGCGTTTTCAACAAATAGATTGAGAGCGCCAGCCAAATCAATATTAAAAACTCTAAAAGTAGGAAAACTCTGGCATGCGCTGGATACACGGTGAAAAATTTTGAGTTTCGTTATATTATTATAGATTTTTGTTTTATGAAATACTTTCTAATGGAACCCGCCAATAGTTAACCAGCTTTACCCTTTTCCCGAACTGCAGTTCGAGTGCAAGTCGAGGACCATGTTTCTCAAGTGAGGCTGACAACCCTGGCCAAATGCCAAGCATCGATAGTTGCGCCGTCGTCTGTTCAAGTCAACGCCGCTCTCCTTTGCGCCCATTGTGACATCCTATTGTTGTGCGAATTGCACAAGCTCACGAATGTAAGTCATTCGTACAATGACACTTTGGGTCCCACAGGTTTCCCCGAGATGAAGATGGGTGGTATGGGTAGGGATGCCATAGGGTACTAGTACTCGTTTGCAGAAAAGATAAATTATATAATGATTTGCTTTTGCATTTAAGAGGAAGTAGGCCTACACAGAGAGAATTGAGCAATTACTTTACACTCAAAATTTGTACTCTTTATTAAGTTTTTTTATATGAAGTATTATATTATATGAAGTACTCAAAATCAAAAACCTTACTTAGAAAACATCATTTTACTCGATTAATTCTCTTTGGACATCCCTTTTAATTAGAGCTTGAAAAAATATCGACAGTTTGCTATTTCTCGATAGTTTATTAATGTTTTCCCATCAAAACATCGATATTATCGATTCGATATTGTCAAAATATCGAAAATATCGACATTTTTATTATATCTATATTTTAATAGATATATCCAGTTTAACAAGACGCTAACACAGATCTCGTTGGCATGCATCGCTGACAGTAGTTCATGTCGCAGCCAGCCGAGTGGAATGCCTAGTCGGTTTGTCAAGTTGCATAATTTGTTTGCAACTTCAAACCACCCATCACCCAACACCCAGCACCACCCATCTCACCCACTGGCAGCAGCATTGTGTTACGCGATTTCGGATGACTCGCTGCCTACTTATTTGTTTTATGTCCCGACCGAAGAAGAAACATACTCGTACTCGGCATAAAAAACGATGCCACACACAACATCGGAAATGTAAGGCAATGTGCCTGGCGTGGCGTCCAGTTCATTGACATTATAATCCACGGGATGCCAAAAGATAGTGCAAATAGTAAAACAAAAAATAATAATAAAAGAGCCATAAAGATACAAAGAAAGGGCTGAATGAAATTCGGGCTGAGACAGCTTTTTGGCTCCTGTTTGTGTGCGGATTTTGCACTTGGCGAAAAAATCTTTCAATTCCTTGTAGCCTAAATTCTATTTCTCTTAGTTAGTATTAAAATTCTGTCAAACTTTGTTGTTTGTTTATAAAAATTATTTTTAAGAACGATTCATCTTTATTTTTGAGAACAACTTTATATTTAGTAAAAGTTTGCAAATAATCCGATGTCTAAATAATTAGCATTATGCAAAACAAAGTGTATATTAGTTTTTTCGAGGGATTTTTCCAGGTTAGTATCCTTAGATGTACAAGGTGTTTTTGTCTGATTGCTACTGCTTGAAAAAGCCATGTCAAAATGCAGGTGATAGAATAGATCAACTACTTTCCACAGAGAAAACTAGCTAACATTCCTAGGTTAGTAGGAAAATAAGGATAGGGGCTCTACTTTTAATTGTATTTCTAATGATATATTTATGAGTATTGAAAGAGTAAAGATAGGATCGGTGTTTTGAAATAGATGTCTTATACATAGCAAATCTGACCTTTGCTGTGGGCGCGTGAGAACCGCAGGATGTTTGCCGCTGTAACGGGTTCTAACTGATTAAATTGTAAACGATTCACAGATTTAGGGGGGTTTCTACTAAGGATCTATCGAAAAAAAATATTCCTCAAAGAGTGAAAAAATCGAAAAGGGACTATCGCTGGCACATTTTAAAGATGTTTAACATTTTTTCAAGGTGATAATATTGCAGGATAGGGAATGCGAGACACAAATTCAGTTAAGACAAAGACACACAGAGTGGGTGCTGGCTTATAAATGGTATGGTGGTTCAGGACTTTTTTGTAATGCAACCATGGAACACACTTACTTGGCATTTTTCGGTCGTCGGGCGTCGATCGGAAAGTCATCGTCGAAATCCAAATTGAAGTCCTCGCCGAGATCGTGAGGCACTAGTGGAGTGCGCTGGTGTGCAGGACTCGTGTGATAGCCATCGCCCTGCAGCTGTCGTAGGATCGATAACATATATAGTTAGTTTATTCTCGTTGCCAAATGGTTCAGGTGCTTACGACAATAAATTGGAATTTCATAGTTATAATACAAAATGTACAAGGTATACATACATATACACAAAGTTATTTAAAAATAGTTTGCCACAGAAATTTGAAAATGTTTTATAGATTAGATTATTTACAAGTCAGGAAATCTCGTTTTTAGAGGAGTTAGTATGTTTAAAGATTAATTCGTAACAATGTTGTTTATTTATTTCTGTGGCATTGCAACTTTTAAAAACAAATAAAATATATTTCTCGATCCATTCACATGCGTTTCGAAATTAAGACGTTAGTTAATTCAATCAATTCAATCAATTCCAATTTATTGCAAATTAAATTACTCATAATTGTTTTTTTTGCTCTCTTTTTGTTGTAATTTTCGTTTCGAGGAACATAAGAAAAGGGCGAATCGGTTACTCGTGCAAGGATTTTTGGTTGGTTAAAGCTTTTGGATCCATTTCAAATTCATGGCTAAGAAGAAAAATCTTTAAAAGTAAATTATTTATCTGTCACGCACCAACAACACACACACTGCTTAAAAACGGATGGGTTTAAATATTCATATGCAATATACAGGTTTTTTGATTTGAGTTTTATACCCTTGCAGAGTCTTTTATGATTTCAGTCAGATGTTTTACATTAAGGTTATGTATTCTTGATCATCATCATTGGACGAGGAAGGATGTGTAATGTCAAAATTTTTTTGGGAACAATCTGCAAGGGTATATGAGTTTCATACACACATATGTATGGACATTAATTTTTTTGTGAATGAAAGCTCAAGTGTCTTTTTGTAATGGGTAATCATGATTCATGAAATTATCATTGGTTTTAATGAGAAATATTTCAGTGTTGTAAAATAAATAAATATAAAATTTTGGATAATATTATAATTGTTAACATAGAAAGATAATAGAGGTACCTATTGTATAAAGTGGTCGGCATTAGTTAAAAAAGTATTGGCCAGTAAGAACATACCCTAATCGTTGTCATATTATGTTTATAAAACTACATTCCACTCTTCTTAAGCTTAACAAATGTCCTCATTTGGATTTCGAGAAAAAAGTTCTTGTGGTCTTATAGCAAAAAACCGATCGTCATTCCGAAGGAGCAGACCAGGAGCACCCCTGTACAATTCCACTTAATGAGTATAGTACAGTTAGATGATCACATTTACGGCGTTGTATTTGTATTTCGCGTTTGAGGCGTCTTAAAGGTGGGCCACTCTGACCCGCTGTGCCAGCAACATTTTACATAGATTTAATCAAAACGAAATAACGAAAAATTAAATATATTTTAGTTTTTTCGTAAATATACAAACACAGTAATGTACATTTAAAAATTCGCTTACCTTTTTACACGATCGCGAATCACCGAGCCAACAAAATCGTCGTTGTTTGGAATTTCGATGCTGCTGACTTCCCATCCTAGGGCGTACCAACGGGCCATTCAAAACTGCATAGACGTGGCATGCTTTTCTTTATTAAATTTATATAGTGTATCTCAAATCGGGCTTTATTTTTGGCTTTTTCACTATGTAAATGTCGATCGGCAAAAGGACGCCATGAACTATCGATTGTTCATGCCGGCGTTGCCACTCCATCCGCTTTCTAACTTTTAAAGTTAGTCAACTGTTGCGCCCAATAGCCTTTTACCACTGTTGCGATTTTTTACAAATGTGAAACTCCGATTCCCACAAAACGCATCAACTTTACGATAACAGCAGCTCATCAAAACATAAGCAATGGGGGTTTAATTTATACAATACAAGAAAGGAAGCTAGTTATCGTTTCTATAGAAGCTATTTGGTATAAAAGTTAGATCTTTGATTGAAAAATTTTAGTTTACTTGCTTGCAAGTAGGTAAAGTTAAAAGTCCTTGTATATCGGACTTTTATTTCAAGAAGGATTCAAAAGAATATGAAGTGGATGCGTTCTGTGAATATGGGGGGTTTCACATTGGTTAAGAATAGCAGCAGTGGAAAAAGGCTATCGGGCGCAACAGCGGACCAACTATAAGCGGCAGGAGTGGCAACGCCGCCATGAACAATCGATAGTTCATGGCGTCCTTTTGCCGATCGACATTTACGTAGTGAAAAAGCCAAAAATAAAGCCCGATTTGAGCTAAACTATATAAATTTAATAAAGAAGAGCAGGCCACGTCTACGCAGTTTTGAATGGGCCGTTGGTGCGCCCTAGGATGGGAAGTCAGCAGCATCGAAATTCCAAACTACGACGTTTTCTTTGACTCGGTGATTCGCGATCGTGTAAAAAGGTAAGCGAACTTTAAAATGTACATTCGTGTGTTTGTATATTTACGAAAAAACTAAAATATATATAACCTTTCGTTATTTAGTTGTAATTAAATCTATGTAGAATGCAGTTGACACAGCGGGTCATAGTGTCCCAACTTTAAGACGCCTCCAACGCGAAATACAAATACAACCCTGTAAATGTGATCATCTAACTGTACTAGACTCATTATTAACTGGACATTTATAGGGGTGCTCCAGGTCTGCCTCTTAGCCAGCCTCACAGGCCCTGCATCCTTCGGATTAACGCTCGGTTCAGAGCTATATGACCCCAAGATCTTTGTTCTCGAGATCCAAAAAAAGGACATTTGTACAGCTCAAGAAGAGTCGTTCTTGGCAAACAAGGAACAACCCATACAATCATACACCAAAAGCGGTGAGTGGAATCCAGTTTTATAAACATAATATGACAACGATTAGGCTATGTACTTATTGGCCAATACTTATTGTACTGATGCCGAATATGTACCTCTATTATCTTCCTATGTTAACAATGGCCATATTCTCTAACATTTTCTAACTCGGTCTTCTGCTTAAAAAAGTTTAATCTTTCACCGAGCTTTCCTAAAGGAAAATTTTTAGAAAATTTATTACTATCACAAAAATATATTAATTTTCTACACAAGATTTGTCGTCACAAAATTCTGTTTGTATTTGACCCTTTTTCTACACGATATTAAAAATGTTTAAGCGTCCCGAGCGACAATATAGAATTGTCCAAATAGTATATATATCGATTATTTTATTATATTTTGCATTAAGAAGCAAATTAATGAGTTAAATGAAGATGATAATATATATTGAAAAAGTGGATCATATTTTGGGTGATCTCAGATCGCAGAAAATATAAAATTTTAACATTGTAGTATAGTGAGTTTAATGATGGTTGCGTGTGTGTACTGTGATTGATACGATTTGAACGTGGTTAGATGACGGTATTAGATATTAGATATTGTATATGAGTTTCAAGAGGGACAATCCTTGTAGCGAGTATATCGAAGGCCCCTACCTTGACCACAGTGCCGACCTGGTTGGATTCGGATGCCGATTGGCGGTTGTCGAGCAGATTGGCCCGCTCCATGTTCTCCAGTTGAAGTGTCTCCCGTGGCTGGTCCAGTAATCTTTCGCGCATCTCATGAATGTAGGGACACCGCTGCATTCCTTGCTCCTCTCTCTCTCTCTTCCGACCCTTCTCTGCTCCTCTGCTCTTCCCTATCTATCAGATAAATATATATGTATATATGCTAAAGTGTAGACACTATCTACGGGAGTTTCAAAATGCAGCAGTTCTAGCTTTTTACGATATAATCAATCCAATACATATATTTGGATCTATTGCCTTGCCATTCGTAATATATATCCGGCCGTAAATGCGGGTTTATATACTATGTTTATGCTTGTAAGCTAGTATAAAGTACTTAGGGAGGTAATCGCTACGGTTTGCTCAACTTGATAAATCAGTCATACGGTTTGCAGCAGCAGTTGAAGGTTTAAGACTTTTGGTTGCGCAGATTGGTCGTTCTGAAATGAAAGAAAAAGTATAAAGTTGAGAGTTTTAAATCAAGATAAATAGTTTTTCCTACTACAGAAAGGGGATCTATTGAATTAGTGGTCTCTATGAGTTTATATTGAAAGTTTATAACGCAATACGAGCACAGATTTGGTTTTTCAACACGCACGGCGAAAAGAAAATAAACAATTTTGAATATTGTTGTGCAGCATGCAATTGCCACCCACTCATTCCCCTTTTTTCGGATATAAAATGTATAGTGTTGGCAAAATAAAAATAGCAAAAATGTATTCTTACTCAAAATTAAATATAATCATATAAATTAAATATTAATATACTTAATGAAAATAAAATATCAGAATATTTTTCATAGGTATCAATAACTAGAGCTCAATATTATTTTAATATATTTCATAATCGAAATTCAACTGATCAACACTATTTCAGTTTTTTTGGCAGGCAGCCAAACGAAAAGTGTGGCAAATAGTCAGAGCGATTTATGCAGCGGCTTTTGTGCTCGTGACTCTGAATCTCGATCTGGATCTGGATGTGGATCCATAATAATAAATTTGTATATACAGCAGTTTGCTCTCGAGCAGCCACCCTCATCAATCTGCCAAGATATGTTTGGCACATATCCATCAGCATCAGAATTTGATGGCCGGAGATGAAGAGTCATAAAGATTGTGCCATTTTTTCTTCTGGAACATCCACTTGTTGCTCTGAATTCAATGGTGAAGGTATGTTTTTTTTTTGTATTCCAAGAGCATTAAATTTTGATGGTCTTAATTGAAAATATTTGTTTGGAATTTGGCAAGAAATCATAAAATCTGAACTATTTTGTATGTGCTTCGGTCCATTTGAGTATGTATATTTAGTTTGTGTGTATGGATTTTGCAAACTGGCATTATTGTGTATTCAAATATTCAATGAAAATCATCGGGTCTTATTTTAGATAATATTTAAAATTCAGAGATCGATATAAAGAAGGAAAATGCAAGAAAATTAGGTATTCTATTTACAAATCCTATGTCGATATAGTAAACGTAATAATATATGATTTAACATTTTTAAAAAATTTTTAAAATGAAGAACAACATTGTAGCGAATTGTACATTAAATTGTATAATCAAAAGCACAGTAATAACATCAAACTCTTATTTGCCATTACGATGATCTTCATCTGGAGAATAATGGAGAATCATTTCCTTTTCCGGCCCGAAAAAAAAATAGAAAAAGTTGAAGCAACGCCGATGGTCGCAAAAGGCATTCTAGTCACAATGTTGCTGTCGTTTTTTCTAGTTTTCCAGTTTTCTGTAATTCTGTAGTTTTTCCATGCTTTTTCCATGGCCATTTGCCCGCCAGAAATGTCGCATGTTCCCTCGTTCGGCTCGCAGCGAACATCAAGCAGCCACCAACACAGTGTCGCAAATTGAAATCTTGGCTAATACCATTAACATTCGATGGCTAACACTCACGGAAAACTGAGAGACTGGCGCAAAAACTAGACCAATGCTGTTAATTGCAAGCTCTCTTATTTTGGCTCTGGGCAGCATTATTGCCAACAATCGAATCGAAACGCTAACTTGACCCGAATGTAGATCTAGATCTAGATGTACAGATGGATACTTGAATTGGAAAACGTTTTCGAAAGATATTATACTTTTTATACCCGTTATTGGTAGAGTAAAAGGAATTTAAAAAAACCTGGCGCCTACATCTTTACAGATTTTGTAAAAGTTTGTATGCCATTTTGTTGTGCTTATTAATACCTATTGAAATGTTACAGAAAATTTTTAAATCGGACAATCCATTAAAAAGTTATGAGCAAAAAATGAAATGGCCACTAGGTGGAGCCAGTAGCTTTGGCTTTAGCTGAGTAAATTGTAAAGTACTTGACTATAGCGCTCTCTCTTGAAATATATTATTTTGACTTATTTTATATTTATGCATATTTTTATTGTATTTTTTTTAACTCAACAATTTATACTGCAAGCTTATAAAATAGTATCGAAACTTCTTCGGGTTTCTCCATTTGTCAATCAAGCGGCTAACAAGGTTTTCCCTTTTTAAGATCTAAGATCCCAGAGGTCTTGCAGCCATCGAACGGGAAATATGAGTGCGCCCAACTGTCTGGTTTTCGTTGTAAACAAACTGTGCCACTTGAATTGGATTGGGAGATCATTGTTGCAGCTACTTTATGACAGTGTCCGATGACAGATTGCACACAAATGACAGCCGACTGCGCCACCCTGAACCACCACCCATTTGCGGCCCCACCCACCCACACAGAAGCTCTGTGGATCGCCGCCAGGGGAGGCAAAAACAAAACAAAAGGAAACACACCACAGAAAAAAGATAAAAAACTGCAGTACGTAGAGGAAAAGTTGATCTATGCAGATCTGTGGATGATTTTGAGAGACGGCGCCCACATGGAGAACCGGATATGCAATTGTATACCGAAAAGAAAGAAACTAAAGAATCGGAATCGAAATGGAAATGGAAAGGGAAATGGAAATAGAAATAAAAACGGCAAAAGGGGCAGACGAATGAAAATGGGCATGAAAATGGCTATGGAAATGGAAATGAGCATGAGAACTGTCGGCAGATGGATGCAATACGTGAAAATAGGGTGACCTTATAAACAAACCGCGTCTGCAGTCGCCAGTTAGCCAGAGTTCACTCAGAGAAATGCTTGTAAAGTATGGGTATTTAATTTCGAGGGCTTTGTCGAGCTAATTTGTATAATCAGCTCAATGTAATAGATTATTTTAACGCTAATACGATTTCAACTATTTCTGAGATTTCAAAAAGGTCTTTATAAATTAAGTTTTTGATTTTTTTTCGAAAGGTTTCTAATGAAAAATGTTTCCGATATTTGCTAATTTATAATTGTAAATATTTTACATATAATTAGTTGAAATATATAGATAAGATCGTTATTTTTCCCGTTATTTCTGAGATTTCAAAAGGTGTTAGTATAAATGGTTCCGAATATATGGAAATCATAATATAATTATTTTGAAATTATTATACACAGTATTTCAGAAACAGGGCTTTCATTTAGGCTTTGGCTGCGTGCTCACAGTGGGTTGCTTTTCGGCTGGGTGGACAGATCGGTGGGTGGTGCGTGGTTCTTTTCGTTCGTCTCTGATTCACCCACCCAGTCACCCAGTTGTCCATCCCCCGAGGTCATCGGCTCATTAGTTAATATTGTATATGCTGACGCACGATGCACGATACACCGTTTGCCGTATGCAGAATATGCACTCCGCTTTGCTTTTGCTTTGGTTCCTGCTTATATTCATATTTCAGGCTTTCCAGTAGCCACCACCACCGCTGAGGAAGAACCACCCACTCGCAGAAGCACCCAACCCACCGAATGGCCAACTAACCACCGTTAGAAATCGCGTGTCGCGGTTTCAACCCCCGTAAGTGTTTTTCCTCGTTGATTTGGAATCGATGCGAATCGATGACAAACAATCGGTGTGATCTTTAATCATAGAAAATCGTAGAAAAAAGAAAATGTTGTTTAAATTCATTCCATAACAATGATTCACTTTTGAACTTGACACTTTCATTTGGGTTCAGTGATTCACATGATCTAATCGATGTTATAAAATTCAAGATTCACGAGTAAAACTGAGTCAAATCATATTAGCAATTCTTAATAGAAGTTGGTAAATACAGAATAAAATAATTATTAAATCCAGGGGTTGGGGTTTTGGTTGCATACTTTTTGAATACATTTCGCTTTCCATTTTACCCCAAGTGGATCATTAAATTCGACTGATGTAATAAATAATATATATGATATAATAATAGTACGATCGGTTGGGATTATAGCACTGTAGACTGTAGACTGTCACCCAATTCCAAGGGACTGATTCTTCTGCTTCTTCCGGCAGATCAGATCCGCCCTATTAAAGCTCGTTTTATGTTTGTGCGGTTGGTTTTCTCTCTCTTGTCCGCGCCTCTTGTGCAATTAAGATTTCCATTTGGCCCAGCACTTTTATGGGTTTACTTGGACGAAGGTAGCGCAAAACCGAAAAAGGAAATCCCCAATCCCCCGCGACACCGAAGCGATTTCAATGTCTTTCTAATGGAAGACCAAGAAATGTGTCTGTAACCCGAGAAGGGCAGAAAGGCAGTTTGATTGCTTTCGAGTGAGCGGAGTGGGGATCAAAGAGCCTAATGTTAGAAAAACCGAGAAAACCTGTATGGTTCATGTACTATATTTTAAAGAAATTGTATATGTACCGCAATTTCTCTAAAAATCTTGTTATTATTAAACAAAAATTATAACGATTTATGTAGAGAACGGTTTTTTGGACCGAAAAGTTTTTAGATTATTAAGAGTTGCGATCTGAGATGTCATATAGATTCTCTAAAATAGATTCGTATTAAATCCAAAAGCACGATTCAAAAATTAAAAGGATTAATGTAATCCATGTGTTTTTCACACAGAAAAGTTTTTAAATTAGCAAGATTAACTAATCTTTAGATTAATATAATAAACATAATATTAATGTGGTCTAATATGAGTATCGATCCTTATAACTACTAAGTTAGGATATTCCTCTTGAAATGATGTCATATGAAAGAGATTATCTTAATTTAACAAGATAATAAAGAATATGAGTAGCGATCTGAGAAATCAAATAAAAAATCTTTATAAGAACTAAGTTAGGACATTCCTCTTGAAATTATGTCATATAAAAGAGATTATCTTTATAAAGCAAATTAAAATAATATATATATGGATTAATTTGAGAAATCGAATAAGAAATCTTTATGTGTACTAAGGACATTCCTCTTGAAATGATGTCACATGAAAGGGGTTATCTTGATTCAACACTTGACTTACTTTTTTGGGGTTATATCCTGCCGTTCAGATCATATGTGTGTGCTTTTGGGGTCGCTTCCTCTTGCTTCTTTCTATTTCGCTTCTCTTTTCTACTTTCTTTTGGCGTTGTCCTGTTGTTTTTGTTTTGCTTCCGCTCGAGAAGAAGAACAAGATGTTTTGGCGTGGAGAGGGGGTCGTGGTTTTGCGCGCGTTTTTGTTTTATTATTTCGGTTTTGTTTCGGGTTGATTTAGGCTATTATTGTCCTGCGTTGTGGGCCAAAATACGAAATACAAAAGGACATGGACACACGCACACACGCACAACACACACAAAATGGACGACGACGCACTTTCTGTTTTTATTCGTTATTCGGTAGTTTTGCTGATTTAATTTTTAGTTATTTCCCAGCACTTTTGTCTCTCACTGCACACTTACAAAAACAAAGCAAATAATATGTAAGCGAGCTATTAGAACAACAAAAATAATAGCAATAGCTGAGATACAATAATTACAAAGTTAGTGCCTTTTGAAAGTACTAACTAAGTGGGAGAAAATTCAATCGCTTTTAGGTTTTAATTATTTCTATTAATATTATTTGTATTTGTATTTCTATTGCTATTACTTCTGTTATTTATTTATTTATTTATTATTTTTTCGGCACCGGTCTGAGAAGAGACAACTTGTCTTCCATCACTCGCAAAAGTTCGCTTCTGACTGAAATTTCCAACTTCCAACGCAACTAACAACACCGAAACGCAAACGCAAAAGGCAAACGCAAAAAAAACAAAATCAAACGCAGAAGCAGCAGCAGCGGACGGCGTGTGAAGTGCAAAGCCGAGAAAGCAGCGACGCTGGCAGAGGCAGCGAAATACGATATTCGCCGTCTGTTGCTTTCCTCCGAATATCGTTTGTTGTTGCTTTTTCGTTGTGCGCTCACATTTGTTGCTTTTGTTGCGCATATCGCAGTGAACAAAATTCGAAAATTTGTCCTAAAACTCAAACCAAATAAATATGGTTTTCAAATTTTATTGGGGTGGACCAAAAATATGAAATCGTATTCTAACTCTTTCATTTTGTAGATGTAAAACTAAAAAAAAATCATTTTTAAGTATAGGGTGGTTTAAAACTACAAAAATATATTTTTTTTAAGTTTTAGGATGGTCCTTTCTTTCCCCATTTTGTTTGGAGATTTATAAGATCTAGTTTTAGATCAAGTTTTATTAAAAATTACTTAAATTTAATTAGAAATTACAATTTTATACAAAAAAATAGTTGTCTCATAAAAAAACATATTTATTTTTTTTTAATAAAAACAATCAAATTTTTTTTTTTGAACCTACCACCTACATAGATTAAAATATCTTTTTGATCAAAGGCTCTCAGAACGTATGAGTGATAATCGTTGATGCCAAATGTGTTGACCATAACATAAATAAATGTTTTTGTAGTGTACTTCTGGCATTTTTCGTGCTTTGTGCTTTTTCTTTTACCCCAAATGTCTTGAATGAATGGAAATGTCTATGCGACAGATTGAATAATTAATTCAAACACAAGAGAAATGCCGTTAAATCATTACTAAGCACTTCACAATTTGTAATAATAGGTAATAATAACAAATCAAAACCAAAGGAAACAGAAAATCTTTGAATTGGAGGAAATAAATTATTAAAAAAAACTAACAAAGCTCAGTACTTAAATCGTAATGAATCGAAATGAATTCTCATCCAAGTTTCATGTTTCCTTTGGCAATTAGAGAATTAGAAAAAACATGTATTCTTTTGCTTGAGGAGCGAGCTTCTACGGGTGTCACTTTGTGTCCAGCGTTACAGCGGTAATCAGATTATCGCCATCGGAAAAGGGGACTCCCCCTGGGGTATTACATACATATATGTATTTGTGCACCAAAAGACGCTAATGGGCCAAAAAGGTGTGACACGGGGCGAAGCAGCAGAACCAAGAGTCGTGCTTCCAAAGATGCATAAAAGTTTTTTTTTTGAGGGTATGGGCCTCTATGTTTCTACGGGTGGCAAAGTGCGAAAGAGCAGCGCATGCGTTGAGTCCTGGCAAAGGACATTCACCTTTTGGTCCTCGGTTTGCCGCCAAACAGGGTGCATTTATATGTAAACCGCTCGCATTGTATCTAATATCAGGCGCACCCACAAAAAATCAAACAAAACAAGCACCCCCACCAAAATGGAAAACACCCAAAAGTTAATTGAATTAGGTCTAAGTTGGGTTTAATAAAAAAAAAAAAAATATTGGTAATAGAACTTTCCTATAAGGATCCTTTTTTAAAGATATAATATATATAGTATGGTACAGATATAAGGAAGATAGATCTTCAATTCAAGTTTTAAGACATTACCCCTTTATGTATCTAAAAAAAAACTCCTTATTTTCGTGTGTAATTATGTATTCGAGAGCTAACCTAGTTTTTGGCCAGCTCGGTTGGTCAGGGCGTGGTTCCAATCCCGGGTAAACCAGTTGGTACGTGTATATACCCAAGTGTATATGGTACATGGCATCCACATTCACGGATTGCAGTGGAAATCAGGGGAAAATCAGCATCCACACAGCAAGGATCCGAAAAAGAGAGAGGGAGCGTTTTTGAGAGATGTTCTTGGGGAAGTTCTTAGGCCATCTCGCTCTAAAAGATGCAAAAACGGGAGCTGAAAATGGTTTGGGGGAGTAGCATACAACACATACAACTCATAGATACATGCCCGCGGTTCGAGATACAATTGCGATTCAGCTTCAGCTCTGTATCTGTAGCTGCTACTGCGCCTATTCCCCAGCCTAAGCAGTGCCTCCTAAGAAACCCCTGAAAAACCCCTCCAGAACCCCTGAAGGAAACACCCCAAACCATTAAAAACCCCACCCAGAGGCTCCTCTTCCCATGTAGAACATTATTTTTGTTCTTCATGACCCACATATCATATAAAAAAACAACGCCATTTTCCATAGTAATCGAAATACGTTTCAATTTATTATTCATATTTATTGCATATTTACTGCTCTTTTATAGTCTATATAGTTTTCATTTCGGGTGTGGTGGTGGTGTATTTATTTTCGGGGAACACAGAACATTCACGACTAGTTTTAACTTTATTTTCATATCCATTATTGTAAATACATTTAAATACTTGTAACACTTAATACAAATTGCTTTTCCTAGGCTTATCAAGTTGTATTGGTTGAGTATTATGGGAAAAAGTATGAAATTGCTAGAAAGATATATGAGTTGTTCGAATATATTCGAATACTGAATACCATTCGATCAGTTATTTAAATTCAGGAGATATAGTTGAAGTTTAGTAGAATTTTATCTGAAACCTTTCAGAAAATAGAATAGAAAAAGTAGAATCTAAGTATTCTAAGCAATCGATGATGTACTAGACATCCACATTTGGTTTGAAGATGAGGTTTAGAACCCTTGAGAATAGGAATAGTCGCACAGTGATAAGAAGTTACCATCTTATTTTGAATTCATTAGTGAGTCCCACAATTACGATTATTACATTTATTTTGATTTTCATTTTTTTGAATAATAAGAACAAATATGGGTTGTTGGGTATATCTTGAATATTTCAGTTGGGTTTTTTTTCTTTAAATCTTTTATTTTATTCGCATAAAATGTCGTTTTTGCGTTTCGATTCTACATGGAGTTAGGAGTTCTCCTAATGAGTTCGATCACTCATCATATCTACTTAGTTGCAATAAATTCTAATATAATCGGCTGTAAATACAATACAATTTGTCAATTTTGATTTTTCGCTGAATGTGCGATGTTTTTCGAGTCGGCGTACAATAAATACATGTAAGAAAATGCATACAAAGTTACAGTAATTCTAGTTAAAAATTTAGTAAGAGTATAAAATTGAAATAACTAATTTAATATATATATATATATTTTGTTGTTCCTTAAGATTTTTTGTTCGTGTTTTTTGGTTTTGATTTCGATTTCGATTTGGCATTCATAACTTTGAATATACAATGAATGAGTCAGTAGATTAAAAAGAAACTATAACTCAACAAGAAAGCGATTTCAACGTAGGCTACACAATGAACTCTTTGGTATTGAAAATATATATACTTCTATCGCATCGTATGTAAGTGGGGGGTGGGGGTCTATATCCTAGATATCTTATACCATTATGGTAGACAAAAAAAAACACAGACATATGTATACCTCCTTAAATAGATTTGTGCGTCTTATAGTAAGTGATTTTATTGGAATTTTTCGAAAATCTCTTGATTTGTCCTTCTAAAACTTTTTTGAGCTTTTATAATACTGAAATGGGGTTCTTGGGGTTACTGATTACTGGAACTGGAAGTGGAATTACAAGCACAAACGTATCACATAAAAACCTATTCGGGCAAAACAAGGTTCCTAACAAGAGCTCTCTTCTTCACATCTTATATCTCGAATTTAAGTCAACAAATTCAGTTTAATGTTATGCTAAAAATCAGGGGTCTTAACAAGGGGCTCAAACAATCCATGGGTGGGGCTTAAAGGGGGTCGTTTTGTTTGCAGCAGTTTGCAGCTTGGATCGAACTTCTACATATATGCATGTGAGTATATATCCTTAGGTGCTAGGCTGTGTGTAAGCCGTCTACTTTGTAGTACAGCGTTGTCTAATAACTTTTGCGGTTCCTCGATTTCTGGTGGGGTTAATGACTTCTCCTATCCGTATCTTCTCCTCCTTCAAAACTTTTTCTGCTCTCTTCCTGTTCTAACTTTTCGTTTGTTTGAAATACATCCAATATGCTTCGGAACGCCGATTAATTATCCTTGTAAATATCATTTATAGAACTCGCTTTTTTGGGTTATACATATTTTTGGTATATCTGCTCTCTCTACTCGGTTGATCATTAGTTTAGCGGCATACTTCGTAGTGCGGTTGGTTCACAACCCGTTTTGCTGATCCTCAGTCAGTAACTATGTTTATAAATATATAAAATGTTGTCCAGTTTTTTTTGATTGCGACCTTCTTTCAACATTTATCAAACTTGATGCTTGGTAGTTTTAGATTTTGGGTTTTTTGTGAGGAGTAAACATGTATTCATCTACGGTTACGAGTTTTGCCTACAATATTTCGCTCACTTGCTACCAAAAAGAAATTTGCCTAGAAATCTGGGCTTTTGATTGAGTAAAGCACAGATACTTTGAAGTAAAATGTTCATCCAATCCAATAATATCGATATTTTCGATATTTCCACAATGTGTTATCGATAATATCGATGTTTTTAAGGAAAAAGTTTAATTTTAACAAATTATTAAAGTTTCTGTATATAATAAAACGTCAGAAAACCAGTATCGAAAATATCTATACTTTCCTAGCTTTAATTTGTAAGGTAATTATAGACAATTTTCTTTCTGTTAGCAAGCGAACGTAATGAGCTTAAACCATTTAATGTATTGCGTATACGCACTAAGGACAATTGCTTTGAAATTTATTGCCTATACGCCCTAATGACATTGCTTGGGATTTCTTGAATGATTTATCTTTGCTTTGGGTCTTGGGGTTAACCTACGGTTAGATTGACCCTTGGTTTTTCTGATGTTTTTTGTTCTAATATTTTTTTTCTTTTCTAGGATATGTTTTTGGGCTTTCAACACTTGCATCCCCTTTTTGGGCTTATATCCTTTTGCTTTTGGTGGTTCTCGAAGATGGGTTTCTAGTTTTTGTTTTTCTTTTGTTGGTGGGGTGGATTATGTGTTGTATGGTTCATGGTGGTGGTGGAGCGGATGCCCAGCAAGGATGCAAGTCCTAGACAAAGCTGAGCTCATGGCCGCTGATCGCGTCAATGAACTCAAAGTGCGCGTAAACTCATTCGCCGTTGATAACGTAAACCGGACAGAAGGCCTTTTCCGTATTGAGGGATTGCGGCGACAGCGCCCGGATGGGTGCCCTCAGTCCACAGCTGCTGTCGCCGCCCTGTTGCTCTTCTGTTCCGGCCTGTCCTTCTGATCCTCCTGATCCTCCTGCTCCTGCTGCTCCAGATACTCCTCCATCCTCCGCCGAATTACTCTCCCCGCTCTCCACCTCCTCGACGGTCTCCAGCTCGCCGCCAGCCAGCGTAGTGGAGCAGTAGCAGTAGGACAGGTTCGTCTTGAGATCCTCGCAGAATTGCTGCTGCTGCGCAATGCTCTGGATGCGCGAGCGGGCGAATTCTCACATATACGTTGGCTTCAACTTGTAGGCCCGCTTCCAGATTTCGCACAAGCAAACGGTCGAATGGAAACGATAGAATATGGCCAGCGGCATTGAGACATGCGTGATAATCGTCCAGGCCCACAGCCCATAGAAGTTCAGCTGTATGGGATGCGATTCGGCCCGCGATTTCTCCAGCGTACTAATGGCCCACATGGCCAAATTGACGACCAGCATAAAGGTAACAATCTCACGGCCAGGCTTCTTTCGCAAATGCTCCGGACTGACGGCCTGCCGACGACTGGCATCCAGGATGAACATCGTCTGGCAGGCGGTTTGCACAATCGAGGCCAAGGCATTGATGGGCACCAGCATATCATCGCTCCGCAGCGTAAAATGCCCTGCAATCACCGTGAATATGTTGTACAGAAAGGAGCCAGTTTGGGCGCCCACCAAGAGGATATCATCCAGCGAGAAGCTCCTGTAGGCATCGTACTGCAGGTGACGAATCTGTATCATACCCACCAAAGTGGCTATGGTCGCTGTGCCATAGATGAGCAGCTCACAGATGGTTACCTCCGTGACGGCCAGGGCCACGAATTCGGGCCGCGAGATGAGCACAAAGAATATGATCAGCGATATGATCGTGAGCACCAGGATCAGTATGCCCACGAATAGACCCTTGTGGGCCCTGGCACAATCCACCGAATAGTGATGCGGCGAACGCTTCATCGGTGAACTAATCATATCCGCCGGACGCTGGGGCGTCGGAGTCTGGGGTCTCGAAATACTCCGCCACATCACATACAAAATAGCGGCGCAGATCAGCGAATATTCAATGGTGCAGGGAAACAGAAAGGGCGAGGCATCCTGCACCAAAGTTCCGATGATATTCGTTCGCCGGCACTCGAAGATCTGATAGGGTCCCTTGAGGCCACGCGGAACCCTCAAATGAGCCGTCGGATCGTGCTGAATAATAGCATGACCCCTCGAGTGGCCCGGTATTCGGTGAGAAATTCTTAGCGTGCGATTCTCCGGGTTGTAGAACGTCAATATCTCGTGCTTTGTCTCCTGGATCAAAACATTCAGCCAAACGGCCAGATTTGTACCGATCATATGCATCAAACCGAAGCGAGCGATGATCTTGTAGCGATACACCTTGATCTGCTCGTTGTTCAGGAAGATAAAGTACATTTGGATGAAGATGAAGGCCATCCGGGTGGCCGGGGTGAGCGCGAGCAGCACGTTGTGGCACTTGGTGTCCGGATTGAGTTCAAAATATTGCCCAAACTCTAGGCCCGAATAGATCATGCTGCCAATTCCAAAGGCTGCAAGTGCAAGGGGAAGAGATTGGACGAGATGAATACAAAAAGTTGTGTTAAATATGAAAAAAATTTAAAAAAAAAACTTAAAAAGAGTTTATTTTATTTATAACTTAAAAAAACATAGGGTTAAAAATATTTAAAAATACTTCAAAATTATTATTTTTGCCAAGCTTTCAGCTAAAAATAATATCCATAATAAAATCGGTATTTTAAATTTTTGTATAAAAAGGTATGATGATCTTTAAAAGTTCAACCTTTCGAATCATGCAGTTCAGTACAGTGCACACTCACCCACGGCGCCCATGCGCAGATAGAAGCTGCCGTAGTGGGCATCCCGCCTTCCGAGTGGCGCGAGCAGCGACGGACGCCTCACCGGAATCGCCGGTGGAAGTCGATGGCGCACCGAGTTACTATCCGTGTCCGATTCGTCCATGCTATCCGTTCCACTCGCCTTCGTGGTCGACTTGTTCGGGGAAGTGGCTGTTTAGGAATATGTCTTAAAATATCTGTGCACCATACTAATTCCTTTACAAATCCAAACTTACCAATTGGAACTGGCAATTTAGGACGTCCCCATAGCAAGGTGGCGTACATAAAGAGCAGGAATATCATGCTGCCGATGTACAAGTACAAATAGTACACCTAAACGGAAGCGGGGAAATTATTATACAAAATGTGACTCTTCTCCCGTAATTATCATAACACTCACCTCGTAGAAAGAGGGTGGGATATAGGTAGATATGACCTCTGCCATAGGAAATGCTATCCCCATCACGACGAGTAGTTTGCCATAGAGTGCGGAGAAAAGAGTGGCCAGTGCATCGCCGCTGCAATACGAAAAACAAATCTAGTAAGTTAATGGCACATAGTTTTAGTGGTTTGAGTGTCCTGGAAACTCGGGTCTACATATTAGATCAGATTCTCTGCCACACTGATAAAATAAAACTTTTTTCCTGTATTTTCATCCATTTTGTATACATTTTTAATATGAAAACAATAAATATAGCCTTTAAAGTTATTTTTAAAATTGTTAACTTTGATTTTAATATGAAATTGATTTTTTGAAAGTAAATATGAAATTCCTTTTTTAATGACGTTAAATAATTAAAATATAAAAAACATACCTTCACTAAAATATTTATAGCTATTTCTGTGGCACCGCCCTTTAAATTCAGTACAAAGCTTGAAAATTTCGATATTCTGACAATATCGATTCGATATTATCGATGTTTTGAAGAAAAAACATAAATTAAATATCGAAATGTCGATATTTTTTCAAGATCTTATTCAACATATAATTTTTTTTATCTGTCTAAATATAGTGTGTACAATTTAGATATATGTAGTAACTACTTACGCCTTAACCCTCGGCATCGGCGGATACACAAAGGACGGGCGGTGGGTGCGCTTGATGGCGGGCAGCACCGGATAGGTGGTCAGCTGGTGCGAGTGGTACATCAGCGCCAGCTGTCCGTCCGCCTGACTTCCGCTGAGCGCCTGCTGCTGGGAGCTGCTTCCTCCGGGCGACGAAGGCGGATCGGAGCTGTCACCTCCTCCTCCGCCACCACCTCCTCCGATATCCCGATCCCCGTCGCCATCTCCGCCGCCAATGATCAGTCCACTGGGCCCCGGTGTCTCCTGGATGTTGCTGCCGCCCTTGTGACTGGGTAAACTAGACTCGTCGATGGTCACATGATGCTGCGATCCCGAGCGGGCCGAGATGCGGCCTGGTGAAATGGCTGGCACCGCTGCAGGCTCGCTGGTCATAAGTGAAACACCTCCTCCGGTGGCGATTGAAGGAGGAGCTGCTGCCATGAAGAGCCGCCGGCGATCCGCTGGAGAACTGCTGCTACCGGTGCTATCTGCTGCTGGTGGGGCATAGCTACTCGGCACCGTGGGCGTGGGCACCCGGACACTGTGGGTGTGATGATTCTGGTGATGCGGATGCTGGAACTGATGCGGCAAGTGGTAGTGGTGGTGGCTGCTCGTGAAGTGCGACCTCGGCTGGCTGGTGACCACCGGTGGTGTCTTCTGCTGCTCATCCTGGTAGCTCAAGGAGGCCAAAGGGGGCTCCTCCTTGGTTGTCGTCTCCGGCGCTTCGGAGATGCTCGAACTGGAAGCGGAAGAAGCGGATGTGGTCGACATTAGTTTCGTTTTAGTTTATAATATATATTATATTATATTTATGGCGTGGCTGGATTGGCGTAGCGACGTGGGCTCACTGAAAACGGTGGTCTGGGCTTTTGGGCCCGCAACCGATTTTGCAGATACAAATACATGCGACTGTCAGGCTTAATTAAATAATGGTCTCCCCCTACAAAATCATATATACATATATCTCGTGTGCTGTTCTTTTTATTGTATCGGATGCCAGACATTTCCGCCGGGAATACATTGAACTTGGTGGTGTCCCATTGAACTTTAAGCCCGTGCAAAAGATGGTGAGCCACTATTTATAGACCTTGCCTTCCGGAACACCAACCTTCGCCCCTTTTCAACCCACTGCCACCCACCGACAGCAGACACAGCGTGCGCTCCTAAATTGCGCTTAATAACTGATACAAATAGAGGCACAGATCCAGATTCAGATTTAAATCCAGATTCAGATTCGGATCGAGATAACTCAAAACAGAAACTTAATGAAAATTCCCCAGCCAACATTCGCCACGGGCAATTGAAACTAATCGCTGTCTAGTGGACACAGTGGACACAGCACAAATCGGAATTAAAATGCCAGTAATCAAGTACGTTTCGGAATTTCTAGGTGGTGAGATTGGAGCTTGAAAATTATCGATATTTTCGATAATTATACAATATCGAAATTTTCAAGGCAAACTCCTTTTATATATCGATATTTTTACAAGATCTAGGTTTGAATTAAATCATTTTGTGTAGAGGTGAGTTTTAAAAACTTTCATAATTAAAAGTGTGTTAAAATTTGTATATTTATAGACTAGTATTTACAATAGGATATTTGTAAATTTATATTTTCATGTTATGTTATATCTGATACACCTTATCCACACTGTACCCGCTGATAAGTGAATATGTAGATTTGTGTGCGTGTGTGTGTGCTCATACATTTTTTAGCTGGCGGCACTCATACAATCGCAGTATGTTTGCTGGCTTAATGGAAATATGAAATATTTTCAGTACGTGATTGGGGATGTTTAATTAAGGCGGTGCGGCATGCACATGACACTGTCGTCGGATGACAGGTAGATTTCGGGGGAGGGGGTGCTTGATTTTTCGAGGGCCCACATCCTGCTTCACACGCTTCCCATGCCAACCCACCAGATCCATGAGATCCACGAGCACGCATCATTTATTCGCATTCAAATCGAGGCTAGACCCCATTGCTTTTTCAAATCGCATACGTATAGCACTCGAATTTGATGCCGGGCATCATTACGACATCTGGTTGTGGGATCTCGAGAAGTCGCATCATCAACATCACAATTCACAAATGTGTCAGTTTTGGGTAGCAATTCAATTTTGGAGTATAGATTATTTTTTTGAGTATAAAACAATTGTCGCGTTTAAATATTCAAAATTGGGAAGCGGAAAAAAAAGAAATATATTTACAGAAGGCTTAACTTTTCCCAAAAATATAAGAAACTATTAAAAAAAAAATAATAATAAAAAATAATAATAATAATAAAATATTCATATATTTCCTTTTTCAGAGAATCAATTTTTTGATTTTTTTTTTTTTCGAAGTGTGGAACGCTTTTGCGGGCTTTGGCAGATATTCTGGGCTTATAAACAACCTTGACATCAGGACTAAGTCGTCAACACAATACGAATACAAGCAGAGACAACAGTAGTGCATGCAACACATAAGGATGTATAGCAATTGTGTGGGCCATGCACTCAAGCGCTCTTGTAATCCGATTTCTGAAAGCGTGCTGCGTGCTGCCGTCCTTTTTTGGGGTTGTTAACCCCACGCGGGCGCGACAGTAACCTTTTGCTTTTGCCCGCCTGACTGTTGCATAAATGGATGCCACCAGCTTTGCATCGTTTTACCCACCTGGCACCTGTCTTTCAGCTGGCTTTCGCCACAAAGTCAAAGAGGGCAAACAAACGCGATCTGAGAAGCGCCACTCCACTCTATAAGTAACTTTGCGGTGGAGTTACAAAGGTACTAGAGTTATTTTAGTGGATTATCCTTCTTACAAAAGGATGTGAGTTCATTTTTTCTATCGAGTGTAAGGACGGCAGTTGAGTATTTTAATATTATGTTTTATCATTCTAACCGGAAAAGCCTTTAACGCCTCTTTAGAAGGTTTGGCGCCCATTTCCCAACTTCCTTCTCATTCATCAACTCCGCATTTACCGGTTTGTCGGTGACATTTCTTGATACCCATTGAAATGAATATGGATCGATCGGAAACGCCGGAGACTCAATCAGTAACCATCAATCCCCGGTTACCTGTCAGTCAGTCAGTCAATTGAAGTACTTTATTTCCGGCTCGAAAGGCGGAAGACATCAAATATTCACGAGTGTTGCGAATGCGAATGCATTCACCCCGGAGTATCAGGAGTTTTAAGTTTCGAGCCTCGAGTTTCGGACAAAAGATGGCCTGGAAATGTCCATTAATGAGTCAGTCAGCAGCTTCTCTTCCATTCTGACAACTTTCAATTGACCCATTTTGTGGTGGCGCCCAAGGGGTCTTTTGGTTGGTTAGCCCTGTTGGCTTGGGCAATTTCCCAGTCGAGCCGCTTGCATTAACCGGCATAATAATGGGCGTGGCAATGGCCGAGGACAACAACCTGCCGCCAGGTCATCCTGTTCACCTTTCACCTGCTCGTTTCGCCTCTGTTACATGCAGTCTTTTTTTGTGTTTTTTTTTTAGCGTCAACAATTTGTGCATGTCAAGCCAATCGAGCAGCTACAAGGAGAGCTTGTGTACCGACTGCCCACCGGGCGTATACGCACTTTAAAGGCCGCATACGCCGTGTGGCCCTCCAGTGAATATATTTGTTTTAAATTGAATTGAATTGCTAGCCAAGAGTGAAGGAGATAGATAATTTACGAAGGTTTTAAAGAGATTTAAAAATATCGATATTTTCATAATATCGCTTCGATATTATCAAGGAGAAGTTGAATATCGAAAATAAATTGAAATGTTGATATTTTTTCAAGCTCAAGCGTTATCCCATTCAATTTAATATCGATATTTTCACAATATCATTTCGATATTTTTAAGGAAAAAATTAAATATCGAAATATTGATATTTATCTTATTTAATTTAAAATAATTACTTTGTACACATTCTCCCCCGTTTCTCTCAGTTTACGGCTCTATTTACGGCGTGAAACTTGTGAGGGTGTTGCTCTGGAAACGGTGTGTTTAATTAATGCAAAGGGGAGGATGCAAATGCAGGGGATGCAGACTACAGACAACGCCACACCGGAGCAGCGAAGCGAATGCAAATGGAGGCAGTACGTGGAAGCAGGGGGAGCTCCCAGAGACCCAAGAGGAGGAGGAGAAGCACGGGCACGAGCACACAAGCTAAACAGTTTTGTTGAGCTATTAGCAGCGACTAATGGAGGCTGACGAGAATAAGGAGAGAACGAGTTTCCCGCACGTAGTTAGATGAAATTGGGGATAAGGACGAGCGCGCGGCGTTCTCAGGACGATTATGCAATTAATGAAGTGCCCAAGGGAAGTCGACAACGAAACTAGAGACAAGATGGTTCAGTTAGATACGAGGCAGCATCTTAAGAAACAACGCTCCATGCCTTGAGCGATTAAAAGTTTCTTTGAGATTTGAAATTTTCATGAATTAACATAACAAATTTGTGGTTGAAATATTCGCGAGTTATCATTCCAATTTAGCCTTACATGTTAGGCTTGAAAAATATCGACATGATCAATTTTTTCGATATTTTTTTTAACAATAATGTTTATCTAAAACATTAATGTTTTTAGACGTTTTCTTATTAGGCTGATTTTTTTCTTTCCTTAAAAACATTGATATTATCGACACGAAATTGTGAAAATATCGAAAATATCGATATTTTACCTTCTGTATCTGTTTTATCACTCATTTAATTTGGGGAAAGCTCACCTGATCTGTTCCTTGATTCCGACGGCAGCGACTCCCACGGCAGCGGCCGCGGATTCGGCCAATTTGGGTGGACTGCTGACCAGGGGCGGACTGCAGACCCTCGGCGGCGTTGTGATCCTTGGCGGACTGTGCATCTGGCGGGCCAGCTCCGCCGGGGGACTCCTCATCAGTGGCGGCGAGGGCATCGCCGGGGCTCCCTCTCCGGCCGGCGGACTTTGCACGCGCTGCGATCCGGACTTGATGGATCCCGCCGGACTTCGCACTTGTGGCTGATCCTTTTGGCCTTGCGAGCGAACTGAACTCTGCGACTTGAGCGAAGCCTGCGGCGAGAGGATGCCAGCTGCCTGGGCAGAGGCCACGGATCCCGTGCGGGATCCAATGCGAGAACCAACACGTGATCCCTGCTGCGATCCTGATCTGACTTGCTGCGATCGCTGGCTGCCACTGCGACTCGGCCCGCGGCTATCGAGCTTCGGCGATCCGCCCCCTGCGCCGCCGAGGGAGGTGGAAATGGAACCCGTCAAGATGCTGGCCGGCCGCGGTGAGCTGATGCTGTCGCCGCCCTGATCCTGCAGCGATTCCCTGTCAACGGATATCTCATCCGTCTCCTTGGTCAGCTCCTCCTCCTCCTCCTCCTCCGGTTCCTCCTGCCCTTCCTCCTGGTCCAAGGACGGTGGTGGTATGAAACCCCTGTCCTCCTCCAGCTCCGCAAAGTGCTCGGGGGGCGGAGCTATAATAGAGGAGGCGGAGTAGCCATTGCTAGGCGGCGTGGTGATGGTGGTGGACTCATCTTCGTTGTCCAGCGATCGGCTGTAATCCTCCCGAGCTCCGCTCACGGGTTCGGGCTCCGGTTCCGGTTCGGGTTGCTCCCGATCCTCGGGATCGGGATCTTCTTGATGATCCACCATTTCGGGTGGTGGCGGCGGCTGCACCGCCTCCAATCTGGGTGGCGGTGAATTTGGCTGGGACTGCGCCTCCTCATCCTCCTCCTCCTCCTCGCCCTCGCTTTCGTCGGAGGGCGTTAGTGGCGGTATCTGGCTAATGTGCTGGGCAGGCGGCGATACCATCCGGCTGATGTTGAGTTCCGGGCAGGGTGGCGGCGTAACGGGCGGCGAGGGCGAGTTGGATGGCGACTTGGTCAGGGGCGGTGTGACCACCACACCCTGACCACCACCGAGATTGTGGCCCTGGACATAGGATAGATTCGAGGGTAGCGGTGGCAGTGGTGGCGGCGGTGTGGACTTGGCGTCGTCCTCTTCCTCCTCCTCTGGCTCCGGCTCCTCCTCATCCGGATTGCTTTCCATATCCAGCATTTCCTGTGGTGGCGGAATGGCGGCCAGCTCCTCGGCATCATCGGTTTCCTCGCCACCATCGTCATCGTCATCCGTACGCAGGCCCGCATCCTCCAGGGGGGAGAGTGGAGGTGGAGGTATTAGCTCCAGTTCGAGGACTGAATTGATGGGTGAGCCAGGTGGCTCCTCCTGCTTTACCTCCTCCTCCTGCTGCTCCTCCCCCTCATCCTCATCCTCCCTTTGCTGTGGTGGCGGCGTGGGCGTGGGCGGAATATCATCCGTTTCCGTTAGCGTGGGCAGTGGTTGCCCGCCCAGTGAGGAGGGCGGTGGCGGTGGCGCCACCAGGAGCAGCACCTCCTCGGCCAGCGAAATTTGGGGCAGCGGCGGAGGCGGCGGTGGAACTTGGCCCGCCTCCTCCGGATTGGCCGTGTTGTCCACCTCCTCGATATCGGAATCGATGCCCTGGGCAAAGTCCATGTAGAAGTTATCCCGCGAATCGCTGGAGCCGCGTCGCAATTTCAGCGACAGATCCGGCGAGCTGTCCATCTCGCTCGCTCTCTCTCTGTACTTTCTTTTTAGGAAATTCCTTCACACACACAAACACGCACACACAGAGACGCCTGCAGTGGCGCCCTCTAGCGTTGGTTTGCTTTCTTTTAACTGTGCGTTTCTCTTGTCTTCCTGGTTTTTTTTTCGAGTTTTTTAATTCTTTCTTTTTTGGCTATTTAGCTGGTGATTTTTGGCTTTGATTTTCACTTAATTTCACTGCACACGCACATAGTGTGTATCCCTAAAATGCAAGGAAGAAAAGGAAGTGTCAAAAACACGCATACGCACGGGATGCTGTGCTCTCTCGCTCTCTCCCTCTCTTTGTAGTGGGAGTGGGCGTTTTTGGAAGGGGCGTGGCGCGGCAGTGCAGTTTGCTGCGCATTTGGCTTTTTACGCAATTCAAGTGCGTGAGTGTGTGTGTGTGCGAATGTGCGTAGTAGCAAGGAGGTGGGGAAGGGGGAGGGGGAAAAAGGATGCGGGATAGGAGTAACTTCCTTTCTAAATAACCAAATTTAATTTAAGAAAAACTATAAAAACACTTTAATTTAAATTAAAGAAACAGTACTTTGATTATTTCACTCTTTGACCCTTTTTTTAACAACACTCAATAACTCGTATAACACACCGAAAAAAAAACAAATGAACGGTTACGGTTCGTGTTCCGGTTCCGGCTGCTCGGTGAAAGCACGGACTTGTGCTCGATTTTCGTGTATGTAGCCGACTAACTGCGACTCCTGCTGCGGCGGCACTTAATTCTAGAATGAGAAGACCGTTTGAACTCGGGACCGAACGGAACCCACAGCGAATTGAGTTGCGCACAGCCTCTCAAAATCAGAGAGAGAGAGAGTGGGAGAACGGGAGAGCGAATAACGGTGGTTGTCGAACGGGCAACTACAACTACAACGCACTTGACCGGATTCCAATTGCCTTTGTTCGTTCGCAAAAGTTTCCAGTTTCGAGAGAGAGCGCCGTTATTATCGCGAATCCCGGAATCGGAATCGGAACGGAATCCGTGACGTAGAAGAAAGTAGGGTAGGAAGTCGAGTGGTGGTGGTCGAAAGCAATATTGTAGTAACTACATACAGGTGGGCACTCGGACTTTTCATATCATAGCTAATGCTACCTTATCAACCGGCAAAGATCCTTTCTACTTATTAGTTCATAAAATATCCCCTGAAACCAATCGTAAATATTTATACAATTTTGAGGGGTTGATAAAATTACGCATTATAAGTATAGCATACTTTTTGACGCATCATAGTGCTTATTACGCAGTGAAGGATCTAGGACTTGATTGAGGGGCGTTTACAAAACTACTTTTTGTTAACATACATTTATCTTTTAGGGGGTAACTATGGAAAATACAAAAACTTTTCAATCATTTTTATCTACTCGAAAATGATTGTTTTGATCGGTTGCTTATATCATAAGAGTCCTTATTTATCAGTATGAAGAAGTGTGAAGCATGGATAATATATGTATATTATGTAGACTATGTTGTATACTATTAAAATTGAAAATTATTATTAGACTATGTAGTCTACTATTAAAATTGAAAATTATGTTTAGTTCAAAATATAATTAAAATTCCAAAAGTTTATCCCAGGTTGATTCGTAATTTTGTACTTTTGCCCATTGTGCCGCATCCTACGCGTATTTCTCCTTCCATCATCTCCCATTGAAGAGCTGAAAAGTGGAGGGCGTTGGAAGGGGTAATGGACGGCGTGTGAAAAGTGTCACTGTCTGTGTGTGTTTTGTGTTTATGTATGAGCGAGCGGGAGATGCCTCAATTGCGGTTCATTTATGTGGAGCAAAGAGAGCAGCATAGCAGCAGAGCGGACTGGAGTAAAAAACGAAAACATTCAACGGGAGCGGACGGACCGGTAAGAACGGAAGTGCGCATAGCAGTTCCCTCCCCTTTCCTTCCCTTCGCCAATCCTTCCACCGGTTCCCAATTGGGATGTGCTGGAATTTTAGCTCACAGGACAAGGAGAGAGCCACCGAGAGAGAGAGAGAGCATCTGGCGATGGGGAGCGGGATTAGGGAATTAGAGTATCCATATTCGGGAAAGCGTGTCAGTGCGTCGCTTATTGTGTTTTCCACCCGAATCCTGCGCGAAAATAGCCCAAAGACGCAAAAATAAAACAGGTCCTTTGCCGGTATTGCCAACTGTTTTTTTAATTGATGCAATCGTGTTGCCATATTCCTGAAATTTTTTTAAAGATAAGCACAATTTTAAAATAATACATTAGTTACATTTTTTACAATCATTTTATTTTTTTTATTTATATTTTCCAAAATATTTGAAAATATTTTTAAATAGTTTCTCAAATTTGGCAATTTAGACTTTCAAACAATTCCAATTTCTTGTAAATATATGATATGATATTGAAATGAAAATGGTAAATCTGTAACAATAAATGATTTAAGCTTAAAAAAACGTTGCTAATCTGTTATGATTTCATGTTATTTGTTTCTCTTTGTTCTCAACGTATTAAAGCCATTAATAAATTTATGAGTTATGCTAAAAAAATCACATATTGTTCAATTATAACTGAATTTTATTTGAAAGTATACATACATATATACAACAAGGAGGAGCCAGGACTAGCTGGCGCGTTTCGAGGAGCGAAAATCGAACAATTTTGGTATCACATCGCCGCACTTGGCGGATATCTTGATGTCCGCCAGGTGGTCGGCACGCGTGTCGCCTATATTGACTATGGCCACCGGTAGCTTGAGGTCCTTTGTCTGCAGGACAACGCGGTAGCCGGAGAAGACCAAGAGACTGGAGCCCAGGACCAACAGGCCATCGCTATTGTAGACCATGCCTGCGATTTCATCCAGTCGGGATCTCGGTACAGAGTCCCCGAAGAAGACAATTTCGGGCTTCAAGTCGCCACCACACTGCGTGCACTCAGGGATCTGGAAGTTCTCTATATACTCCAGGGGGATCTCCACATCGCCGTCGGGCCGGATCATGTCGGGGGCGTCCTTGAAGGCCGGATTGAGGGAGGCCAGGATGCTCTGGAACTCATGACGATCGATGCGGTATTCGCAGGATAAGCACTTGACCACATAGCCACTGCCATGGACCTCGACCACATTGCGGCTGCCGGCCTTCGAGTGCAGACGATCCACATTCTGGGTGACCACCGCCTGCACTCGCTCCTCCCGCTCGAATCTGGCCAGAGCATGATGCGTGGCATTGGGCTGAGTGGCGGAGAACTTGGGCCAGCCCACGAAGTTCCTGGCCCAGTAGCGCTTGCGCACCGCCGACGACTTGACGAACTCCATGTGCTGCACGGGCTTGTGATTGGAACGGGCGTAGAGTCCCACGCCCTCGGAGCGGTAGTCGGGAATTCCTGTAATCGAGCAGAAGATGCATAATTAAGATTTGTAAATCTACCGAAGAAGACTATTCTTCACCTCTATTTTTGATATATTAATCTGTATAGAAATAAAGAACCTTGTTCGAAAGATCAACTCCTCAAGCCACTCAAAATTTATAAAAATCAACAACAAAAAAATTTTTTTTTAATGTACTATCTGAATTATTATTTTTGTAAACCTTAAACTATAATTTACTTCATTTAATAACTACAAAAATTATAAACATGAAACATACGTGAATTTTAGAATATTTGGAAAAGATTTTTAAACTAACCTTATGATAACGGTTTTTAAACCTTATAATATCAGTTAATCCCCTCAATGCAGGGAATTGAAGAAACTCACCCGATTCAGTTGAGATCCCAGCACCTGTCAGAACCAAAACATTCGGTTTGGACATCAGGAAGTCTTCCAACCGTTTGATGTCATCCTCCACGACGGGTTTATGATGTGGCACGTACTCTTGCCTAGCGGTGGAGCCCCGGAAGGCGGTGCTTCGGAACCGGAGCAGTTGACCCACCCGCATATTTGTTATGTATTGTTTTATTATTAAAATTTATTTTACTGATTACGTTACTAGAGCTGGGCCAGCCACTAACGATAGTATCGATAGATACAATAAAATAGCAAACTATATAAACTGAAACCCAAAGGAATGAGGAAATTTAGAAAAGAATAGGGGGATTCCCTAAACTGTTGAATTGCTGAATTGTTGAATCCCCCTAATTAATGGATTTAATACCGTCTATTTTCAGTTACAAATTTCGATTGAGAATGCCGATAGAAAAATACTAAAAATTCCGCAAATCGATAGCTCCCCGAACGCCATCCGTTTGTACACGACACCAGTCGATTTTTTCGATAGTGATAGTCTAAACCATCGATATTTTCGATACTATCAATCGAACTAACTGAAAATAATATTCAACACCTAATTTAACATTTATTTTTAACTAAATTGTATTTGGTTTTGCGTGGTAATCCCCTTTATTTTCAGGAAAGCTAACATTGTACGTCCCTTTTCTTTGATTTCGGTTTGCTTATGCCAATCAAACAAAAATTATAAATATTAAATAAAATATTACCAACTAGCGATGTATCGATAGCGGAAAAAAAACAATAGATTAGCTACCATCCCTACTAGAGACATTGTTATCGATGGCTTAACAGCTCTACCGATAGCAGCTTGCTAGCAGCTACCATCTCTAGACCAGAGCAGCGGCCGCAGAAAAAAAAGGAGATTCGGTAATTTACGCGTGGATTTAGCACGCGCCGTGAACCCAGCAGTTGCAGCAGGCTCAGCCCAGCCGACCCGAGACCCTTTTAGTTATCCTTGCGGGCTCGCAGCTCCAGGACGACCACCAACCGCACTCACATTTGCCACTCCGTGTGGCGTTTGCGCCCATCCGTGTGTGTGTGTGTGTGTGCTGGCGTGTATGTGTGCCTGCCTGTCAGTGCAGTTTGCGTGTGTGTGTGTGAATTGTCGGCTTTAATTTTGCAAGCACGCTAAAGTTGTGTGTTTTTAAAGGACACAAAGGATACGCGGGCGGAACTGAAACGCACAAGATGTCCTACCCACCGCGGGCGCCCATGCCGCCCTACATGAATGCATCCATACCGCCGCCGCACGTAAGTTTTGACTCTTTCTTTTTCTGGGTCAGAAAAACCTGAGAAAACCTACCCTGTTTTCCCCTTTCAGATGATGCAGAACATGGGCAATCCGCCGCAAAGGAACTTTCGCAACTCGGCGACCATCAGCTCACAGCCGACAGTCTACCATCGTCCGCCGGAGCCGCAGCCGCAGTTCCGCGGCCCCATCATCACCGTCTTCGTGGGCAACATCAGCGAACGCGTCCCGGAGGCGCTGCTCAAACGCATCCTGGCCACCTGCGGCGTGGTGATCAACTGGAAGCGGGTATCCACATTCGGCTTCTGCGAGTTCGAGTGGGTTCAACTGCCGACTGCGGGGAAGGTGTAGAGCACTTTGGAAGGCCTAGGGTAGCACTTGAAGGATCTAGAATCGTCAATCGGGTCGTCTATGGTTTAAATATCCTTTCAAAAAGGTTTAGAGCACCTTGAGAAAGCTATTGGCTACCTTGAAAGGTCTTATTTAGCCATTAGAACGTTAAGGTTTCACATTCCTTTCCTAGAGAGTCTAAGATTGTTTATAAAAGCCCTCCCAATTACGTCTAGGATAGTTATTAAAACCTAAATTTCCTTTTAAAAAGGTTTAGAGCACCTTGAGAAAGCTATTATCTACCTTGAAAGTTCTTATTCAACCATTGGAACCCTTAGGTTTCACATTCCTTTCCTAGAAAGTCTAAAATTGCTTATAGAAGCCCATTTTAAGTGGTTTAGAGCACCAAAAAAGATATAGGCCACTTTAAAAGGTATTTTTCCACATTCCTTTCCTAGAAAGGCTAAGCTTAATTTATAAAAAAAGGTAATAAATGCCTCTATTAATAAAACAAAAGGTACTAAAGGTAAATAAACCCTTATTTGAATCATTACAAGATGTAAAAAACACTTAAAACCCCAAAGAAAGTAGAGAAAATAGGCAGTGGTGGTTAAGAGCCAAAATTGAAAGATAAATCTAAGAAATCAAGTGTTCTTCTATCCAATTTGTAAGCATAATTATGCGTTAGCAACTTGATAACAAGCTAAAAGCTACGGCCTTCCAGTTTGCTTACCCCCCGAACATTTGAGATCCCCAACCGATCCTAACCGAGCTGTTTTTCCCACCCTTTCAGCGGACCCATTGCAGCCATGCGGGCTGTGCGCCTGCTCAGCGAGATGGAGATCGATGGCAAGAAGCTGGTGGCCAAGGTGGATGCCAAGAACAAGGTGCTCATCGAGGACTACAAGGAGCAGGAGTGCAAGAACGGCGACCGCTCCAATTCGGTGGACGAGAAGACCGAGGACGAGTACGCCATCAGCCAGATGCACGAGTTTCTCGAGGAGCACAAGCACGAGTTCGACGGCTTCGACGGCAGCAATCGGCCCGATCTGTACGGCAGCAGCAGTCGCAACAAGAAGACGCGCCGCGAGGACGACATCAAGATCAAGGTGCTGAACGACAATGCTTTGGAGGAGGAGAAGCGCAATCTGATTAGCAGCGAGATTGGAAAGTTTCGGATGCGCGCCGAGGCCGACGAGCACCGCAAGGAGCTGGAGAAGGAGAAGGAAAAGGAGAAGCTGGCAGCCAGCAAGGAGAAGGAGCGCGACAAGGAGCGCAAGAAGCATCAACGCGAAAAGGAGCGCAAGTCCTCGACCAGCAAATCGGGTAGTTCATCCGGGGCAGCGGCCACCACAGAAAAAGCAGCGGCTTCAGCTACCGATAACCCCGAAGCAGCGGAAAAGTCGGACAAAGATCCCGCTGCCGCTGTCGTCAAGGATGCCAAGGAACCGAAAGAACCCAAGGAATCCTCATCCTCATCGACCGGACGCAGTGCCAGCAGTCGCAAGGATCCTCCCGCCGCGGAGAGTACACAGAAGGAGCGGCGCTCGGATTCCAAGGAGACGCGTCGCCGTCGCTCCAAGTCCCGCTCCAAGGATCGCGAGCGGGAGCGGGAACGCGAGCGCGAGCTGCGTGAGCTGCGCGACAAGGAGCGCGAGCGAGAACGCGAAAGGGAACGCGAGCGTGAGCGCGAACGCAACGAGATGCGTGAGCGAGAGCGCAACGAGATGAGGGAGCGCGAACGGGAACGCGAAAGAGAGCGCGAGCGCGAGCGAGACCGAGAACGCGAGCGGGAGCGGGAGCGCGAGGAAAAGCTGTCCGCAAAGCCAGTGCGCGATTCGCGGCGCGAAAAGGAGATGGAGGACGAGCTGCGGGAGCGCAAGAAGGCCGAGAAGAAGGCGCGCGAGAAGGAGGCCGCCTACCAGGTGCGCCTGTCCAACTGGGAGATACGCGAGAAGCGCAAGTCCAAGGAAAATGAGAAGGTAAGTTACTCGTTTCTCGTAGGAGATCTCGGAAACTACAAAAGCTAGAAGGTTGAGATTTCCCACACATATTCTTGGGCTTCCTACGCAGCGCAAGTTTATTTCAGCCGAATGCCACGCCCCCCCTAAAGCCCACAATCGCCCACTTTAAAGATTTCCGAGAAGTATAAATGCAATTTTGTTGTGTACATTTATACCTATCGAAATGTAGAAGACAAAAAGTTATGCGTAATCTAAATTGTATATATCCATCTCCCTTGAACTGAGTGACGGGTATTAGATAGTCGTTCTCTCTTGTTAAATATATAAACTTACCTTCCTTTTTTCCCCTTTTCTAGTACCGCCTTAAGGAGCTGCTGCGGCAGGAGGAACGCGAGAGCGACGCCAAGCGACTGAAGGAGTTTGTCGAGGACTACGACGATGAGCGCGACGATTCGCTGTATTATCGCGGCCGCGAGCTGCAGCAGCGTTTGGCGGAGCGAGTGCGTGAGGCGGATGCCGATTCCAAGGATCGCGAGAAGGAGGCCGACGAACTGGCCGAGCTCAAGTCGAAGTTCTTTAGCGGCGAGTACGAGAATCCCTCGCTGGAGTTCGAGAAGGCGCGCCGCGAGATCGAGAAGCTCTACGAGCCGCGCATTCTGATCAATGTCAACCTGGAAGCGGCGGCGGCCACAGCGGCCGTTCACCAGCGCAAGCAGACTTCCGCCGCCTCGGCGACGGGCGAAGGTGCTGCTAAGGAGCTAAAGAGCCAGCAGCTGGACAGCTATGATCCCGATATGGCCGGCATGAACGACGACGACTCCATGTCGAACGATGATCGTGGCGGCGGCTCCTTGGCCGATACAGCCTCCAATGCCAGCGATGGTGGCTATGCGGCGAAGAACAACAATAACGATAATAAGTCACTGTCGAACAGTTTGAGCCGGCAGAACAGTGAGTCCAGGGATTCGCTGGCCCAGATTCATACGCCCACGCAGAGTGCCATGCATGCGAATGATCAGGATGCCCTGCTGCCCTCCGCCACGCCGCCCATGACCATGCCCCTCATCTCGCTGACGCTGGGCAACAACCTCAAGATGAAGAAGAAGATCGAGGCCACGGGCGTGTTTGTGAACGACGACGATAACGATGAGAATATCAATCCCAAGAAGCGCAAGCTGGTGCCGCTAGGTAAGATTTAAATCTACAAAATTAGATAACTATGTTTTAACTATGATCCCTTTGCAGACTACGATGACAACATGAGCAACACCACACCTTCTTCCCATCCGGCCAGCAATGCCGGCGGATTGGGAAATAGCAGCAGCAGCAGCGGCAGCAATCACAACAACAACAGCAGCAGCAGCTCGGCGGATCGCCAAAGCTCCGCCGTATCGGCGGCCACCGCTGCAGCCGCTGCCGTTAGCCAGAAGATTGCCCAATCCTCCGCAACGGGCTCGGGATCAAATACTTCGGGTGGCAAGAACAACGGCAACGGCAAACAGAGTAGCAGCGGCAGCAGCAAACATGGTAAGAATGAGGCAGCTGCATCTGCGAGCAGTGGCGCAGATGCTGCCGCCGGTACAAACACCAAAAAGGATGAGAATGGTGCTAAGGTGTATGATGAAAAACGGCGGCATATAAAAAGCATTATTGACAGGATACCCACGCAAAAGGAGGAGCTATTTAATTATAAGCTCGACCGCAACGAGATTGACAGCGGTCTAATGGAACGCAAGATACGTCCATGGATCAATAAGAAAATCATCGAGTATATCGGTGAGCCGGAGCCGACGCTAGTGGACTTTATATGTTCCAAAGTGTTGGCCGGCAGTCCGCCGCAGAGTATCTTGGACGATGTGCAAATGGTGAGTTTTTCAGTTTGTTTTCGATTGGGATAATAGCACTGAAAGTAGAGCCCTGCGTGAATCATTCAATTTTTGTTTTATCATCAATTCTATGTGAAATAGATTAAATGTTTTTCTAATTCATTTTGAATTGAATGAATAATTTTTATGAATTTTTTGAATTTGTCAGATTTTTATGTGCTTTCTTTTGAGAACAAAAAGTGGAAAATTTTTAACAAATCAATGTTAACTGCTTAGTTAATAAAATTTAGGCAGATTTAATCACAAAATTATGGTTCTTTCTTCTTCAAAAGAAATTGTCGTTTGAATTATTTAGGAATACATGCCAATCATGCATTCAATTCCATTAAACTCTAAATTCTTATTAATTAATTCATATAAAACAAAAAATTCAAAATAATTCATTTAATCCATTCATGTAGGGCTCTAATGTCGATTCTTCTTTGTGTCGCTCGTGTGCTATTATGCCTATGATCTTACCTTCTCCTTCTAATTCGTTTTATTCAATTATTTATTAGGTACTCGACGAGGAGGCGGAGGTGTTTGTGGTCAAGATGTGGCGACTGCTCATCTACGAACTGGACGCCAAGAAGAGCGGCATTGCGGGGAAGTAGAACGATGACGATGATCCGCACTGATCACCGGGGGAAAATAACTGGGGCGGGGAGCGGGTGCAGATCGAGGGATCGAACGAGAGGAGCTGCTGCGCGAATATAGACTCTAAGTTACTTTATGCAACTTACTTTGCGATTACACACACAACTTTGTACATAAAAGGCGTGCTCCCGAAATTGTTGCTACCGCCAAATGTCCAGGTTTGTTTTATAAGCTTCGACGAAACTTCTCGTGCAAATCAAATCAAAAAGAAAATTTATGTAAAACGAAAATCGGAAGCAAAAGCGCAGCCTCCTCCCTCAATGATTTCTCAATTTCTCACCGTGTTAGCGTTAATTGCTAAAATTAATCATCGATTACTGTAAATACACACTAAACTCACTTATAAATTTACACCAGCAGAAACAAACAAGCGAAAAAAGAAAGCCGTACATAGACACATAAAAGCGTAGCCCATGTACAATTCAGTTGGTTTCTGATCCAATTCTCCCCCTTTATTTGTTGCGATTTCGAAAATCGATTTCCATCTACGCAACAGCTCTTTTTTTCGAAAAACGAGCGCAAACAGAAAACTGTCTTCATTTTAATAAAACAATGAAAAGAAAATTCAAAACTTGATTTTTGATTGGTCGTAGATTAAGGAACAAACATATACGGAGGATGTCAGAGGTTTCTCGTCCAACTAATTTTAAATTCATAATATTGATAGTTGTGCTAGTTGTTTGCAAATAATTTCCGATAGAAAACATTTTCTGATAGTTTTAGTAAATATAAATCATATATTGTAAGACTGATAGCTTTTGATGAGACTTTTCTTTAACTTTTCTTGTCTTTAATAACATTATTTATAAATTTATTATTAGAATATTTTTTAACTACAAAGCGAATAAGAATTTTAATTAGATCGACATTTTTAGTAATTATATATTGTACAATACAGAAGATGGAGTTAGGAAAAGGCTATCCAAAATGGGACCCCATTAGGGTTACTGTAGAATAAATGTTTCTCTCTCTGTAAAACGGCTCTTAATCTTGCTAAGTTTTCAATGTATCCAATTAGCATTAACTCGTTTAGCTCTGCCCTTAACGAAATCGAAATAAAAAAGACAGTTCTGGGGAATTATCTATTAACTGACAGACTAATAAAATCAGAGAAGAGTTGAACGTTGAGGTTGATTTTATGCTAGTGATATTGAAACAATTAAATAAATACACGGTTTTTTAAATTTGACAAAAGCAGGCCGCACAACAGCCGAATATCAACAGTAACACGTGGAAGCGCTCTCCTCCAGATCCCGATTGCTGGCGATGTCCACACCGCCGGAGCTGTTGCCATTGTTGAAGTACTCGGAGGAGACGATCTGCAAGGGAGATTTCAAGGTATTATAAACTTTTGACTAGAATAAAACGAATTTATTAAAGTTATCGATATTTTCGATATCTTGACCATATTGATACGATAATATCGATGTTTTAAAGGGGAAAAGATATAGAAAACTGTCGATATTTTTAAGGTCTAAGATACGTATAGAAAAATAACTTTTAACCAGAATCAAATAAATTTATGGGGTAATATACATTAGAGCTTAAAAATGATCGATATTTTCGATATTTTGACAATATTGATTAGAAAATTTCGATGTTTTAAAGGGGAAAATACCGATTAAATATCGAGAAATAGAAAACTTTTGATATTTTTTTCAATCTCTAAGATACATATAGAAAAATCGTGAAAAACATCAAGAATTTGCTGTTCCCAACACATCATTATAAATGATATGATATCTACAAAATATCGGTCAATAATCTTAATGCTAATCCTTAACCGCACCTTCTCCACAATATCCTTGAACACATCGCTGACGAACTGATCGCATTTGGCCGAGGTCTCGATGAAGAGGGCTCTGTGCTTGCGGGCGAACTTGCGACCCTCCTCCCGGTCCACCACTCGCTCCTGGTCGATCTTGTTGCCCACCACAATGATGGCTATGTTCGGGTTGTCGCTGTAGCTGTCCAGTTCGGCCAGCCAGGCCTCCAGCTTGACCAGGGAGTCGCGGTTGGTGATGTCATACACCAGAATGGCGCCCAGGGCCTTTCTGTAGAAGCTGGGCGTCAGGCTGCGGAATCTCTCGGCGCCCGCCGTGTCCCACAGGGCCACTTTGTAGTCGATGCCGTCCACGTTCATCACCTTGCTCTTGAAGTCCATGCCGATCGTGACGTCATGGTTCTCGTCGAACTTGTTCTCCACGAAGCGACGGATCAAACTATGACGAAATGATGCAAGACCCCATAGTTTAGTCATATATACGCAGTGGATTTTCTCCATGGACTTGGAACTCGATGGTCCAAAAAGTCTACCCACCTGGACTTGCCCACGCCGCTCTCCCCGATCACCAGCAGCTTGATAGCCCGATCTGCCATTGTTTTTTGTGAGCTCTACTTATTGTTTATCACTACGATTATTTACTTAAATAGATAAGAATTGCCAATTATTTATGCGAATTAACTGAGTTGCGGCGTTGCCACCTGGTCGGTTTGTTTACATTCTCACGCTAGAGGTGGGCGAACCACTGCGATAACTGTGATTGCAGCCCTGTAAGAACGGAACTTAGAACTAGTGGTGACCCTTTGGCGGTAATCTGGCTATTTTTTAGGGAACCTATAGCTTTATATTATTATTATTATTAGCTTTATTTATTTTATTATTTGAGTTCCCGAAAGAACATTTTAAAATTGATAAATAATATATTTTTTTGGCTACTTACAGTTGAAAAACTGTTAAAAACTTCGTGGCTAATTGATTTTTTGCAAAAAAATTAAAAAAAAATTAAGTTTGCTGGTTTGAATGCCAATCGATTTGGGAATTTCATTACGAGTTCAACAATGTATGACATTCCAAATTTGGATTATTATTTCCAAGGTTTCGGCCAAAATACGGATATTTTAGGGTGGAAAATAAGGATTAGAATTTTAGACCAAAATAAACCGTTTATATCTGGATTTTCAGTCGTAATTTGGACAAATCAAGGCCGATAGTTAAAAGACCGACTGTTTTAAACAGCTAACAACCTAAGCTAACGGTCCCCATCACTTTTAGGAAATTTGAATTTTTCACCAATTTTCGCATTTTTGATAAGGGGTACCATCATTATTTTTTGTGAAAAATTACAAAAATTAAAAATTTCTAGGTTTGAAAGCCAATCGATTAGAAATTTAACTACGAGTTCAACGAGGTATGACATTCCATATTTGGACCATTATTTCCATTTTTATGACCAAAATACTAATAGAAAATACTACTTTTTTTGGGTAAAAAATCAAGATCTTGATTTTTGGTAAAAATTTGATTTTTTATTATAGATTTTGTGCTGTAACTTGGTCAAAAATGATCCCAAATCAAAAAGGCGCACTGTTTAGTGCAGCTTACGACCTTATAATTAATATCAGTGCACTTTGCGACTGATTTGAGAAAATTCATTTTCGGCCCAATTTTCGCATTTTCGATAAGGGGTACCATCATGATTTTTTGTGAAAAATTACAAAAATTAAAAATTTCTAGGTTTGAAAGCCAATTGATTAGAAATGTAACTACGAGCTCAACGAGGTATGACATTCCATATTTGGATCATTATTCCCAATCTTATGGCAAAAATACTGATATTTTAGGATGGAAAATATGGATTCGGATTTTTGACAAGAATAATCGTTTTTTTTTGCGGGTTTTCCGTTTTACTTTATACAAATCAGGCCGACAGCCAAATCCAGAAAAACAGCTATCTAGCTATTTTCCCGCCGCCCTCGCTGGAGCTGGAACAGGTTCGATAACAGCGATAGCTAGTTCGCCGCGCGGAGCCAGTGCAGTGTCACCATTAACTAGTTCTCGCCCCATCTTTCTTTTTCTTTCTTTTTTGACGTGACCAGCGAGAAAAATGGTTGGTTTTTTTAAAGTTGATCTAATTTGCGAAAATAATAGCCATCCGTGCACGAAATGACCGGCCGAGGTGTTAAATAAACGGCCCGCCCTTTCCGCCGCGCGATGGAAATGCTATTTTTGGTGAAACGAATACTAATTGAGTGTTTTGCGCATTTGTTTGTGCCGCTTCCCAGGTGAAGGTTAAGTGCTCCGAGCTGAGGACCAAGGACAAGAAGGACCTCACCAAGCAGTTGGATGAGCTGAAGAATGAGCTGCTCAGCCTGCGCGTGGCCAAGGTGACCGGCGGAGCTCCCTCGAAGCTCTCCAAGATGTGAGTATATATTGGAAAGCCCTTGTAGCATCCCCTAATCTCTTCTGGTCTCCCTACAAATTTATAGCCGCGTTGTCCGCAAGGCCATCGCCCGCGTCTACATCGTGATGCACCAGAAGCAGAAGGAGAACCTGCGCAAGGTCTTCAAGAACAAGAAGTACAAGCCCCTGGATCTGCGCAAGAAGAAGACCCGCGCCATCCGCAAGGCCCTGTCGCCCCGCGACGCCAACCGCAAGACGCTCAAGGAGATCCGCAAGCGCTCCGTCTTCCCGCAGCGCAAGTTCGCCGTCAAGGCCTAGGATCCACGATCTGCGATCTGTCTGTCTAGTGTGCGTTAAGGGTTCCTCGGTTCTTCGGTTCCATGGAGAAGAAAACAAATAAAACCTTTTTTTTAAAGTGAAAAAATGCCGAAACATGTTTGATTTGTGACCGAGAATCACGCGAATCGCGAGTGGCACATGGCTTGTCCGTGGGTTTTGTCAATACACAACAACATTTCAACGTTTGATCTCAAGCGAGGCTTGTTCTGTAAAAGAAACCAATTAGCAAATTAGCCAGACCAAAAACAATTACACCAGTGACCAAATGCAGTTATTGTTCTAGTGAATTCAGCAAGACGCGTGTGGAAAGAGGTTAATTCTTTTTTTTTAATTGAGAGAAGGTAAACTAACCTATGAAGGCATTGTTAAAGCTTGCATCAGTAATAGAGGTGCAAACATCTAAGTTTATGCATCTCTAATTAGTTTACCACAGTTAAAGAGGACAACGTAAATTAAAAAGTTAACTTGAGCATATTATCAGTAATTATGTGGAATGTGGAATTTGCATTAATAAGAATAGTGTGGTGAAAGACAGAGCTGGCTTGAACCTTAAATTTCAAGTCCCAGATATATTTATTTATTTATATAAAGCTGACTACAAGTTTTAATCTAGGCGTACATCGTAAATTTACAAACTTAATCGTAACAAATAGGTAATTAATGTCAAAAATACTACCTTCTATACAATACTCGACTGCAATCACTATTCTACTGAATATGTTTGGCTCATTTGGTTAATACTATTCTTCTGCATCTCCATCTTAATCCCTAGAATGCGAAAGATTAGGAATTAGTTATACCTAAAAAATATCAAATAGATTTGTGATAGAATTGAAGCTGAATGTAATTGACAGCCCGCTGCAGATAGATAATATCGGATGGATGATGCTGGAGGTGCAGACCATTATTATTAAAAGAGGACTGGAGCTACTTCCCAGCCAGTGGCAACAGAATGGAGAACGGATCGTTAAATACTATTAAACTATTGCAAACCAACAACGACAATGAGGTCTGAGAATTGGATTTTGGGAGCACTTAAAATACATTTCTAGATTTTTGGTTCTTGAATGATACAATGAAACAATTTTATTTTATTGTGGCTGACGTTAACTCGCCTGGATATTACTTAGCTATTCTGGCACTCCTTTATATCGATTGGATTAAAATATTATTTCCATATTTCCATACAAGATATATTTGCTTTAAAAAAAGCGCCTTTATGAGACCGAGACGGCAATAAAGGTAGTGCTTTCGCAAGGACTACATGTAATAGACGGAGAGGGGAACTGTTTCGCTCTCTTTCCGCCAGTCACTACGATATTGGAAACAACATTGGAGTACTAGCTTTTTAAAATGATAAATAAATATACGGTAAGAAATATTTAAGTAAATTAAATTAAGACCGTTCTATTTTTTTTTTCATAATATTCGTTATAATTCCAACCATATTGAAGCTTTTCAGTATTTTCCTTTATAAAAAATACCAAAAGCGTTAGGGCTTTTTGCTGACCCAAAAAAATACCACAACTAGCCAAAACGACCAAAAATGCGAGGGAACTGGGAGCCCGGAATTGGGCTACTCCTGTTCCTATTCCTGTTCCTGCTCTGCCACCTCCAAGTAACCTTCTCCACGGAGACCACCCTACGGAACGGCACAACCGCCAGTTGGAGGAGCGGCGCTGCCCGGAGAAGCGCAAAAGCCACCTGTTCTCAAAGATTCCTGCCGGAGATTCTTCCCCCGCCAGCTACCTGCCCGCCAGAGATCCTCAGCCTAGGGGGCACCGTGTACATCCTCTACGACGTCAACATCTCCGAGGGCTTCAACCTGCGTCGCGATGTCTACATTCGCCTGGCGGTCTTCGTGCGGCGGCTCCAAAAGCTTCAAAGGAATCGCCGGCGCTTCCGCAATGTGCGCCTGGTGCTGCCGCCCTGGCCACGCCTCTACCACTGGCACTCGCAGGGGCTGCAGCAGGACGACGGCCTGCCCTGGAGCCACTTCTTCGACCTGGACAGCCTGCGGCGCTACGCACCGGTGCTGGATTACGAGGAGTACCTAGCAGAGCAGCGGCTCTTCGGTCAGCCTGGCGCCCCTTTGATCCATGTGGCGCACGCCTTCCGCCTGCAGCACTACGAGGTGATGCTGGAGCAGGGCCACTTCCGGGACAAGTTCGAGCGCATCGCGGACCAGCCGTGCAGCGAGTCAGCCCGCTCGGGTGGCCCCCTCTTGCTGCATCGTCGGGAGCTGCGCGTCGGTCGCTTCCACTGCGTCCGCTTCCAGGGCAGCGCCGGGCTGCTGGAGCAGCTGCTCCTCCAGGCCATCGACGAGGATACGGCGGGGGAGGAGGACGCCCAGGACATGCGCTCCTTTGTCCTGCTGAGCGCGGAAACTGTGCTCCACGATCACTGGGGCGATGAGCACTTTTGGCGCGCCAGACGCTCCATGCGCTTCGCCCGGCGCCTCCAGCAGGTGGCCGATGACTTCCGCCGGCAGGTGCTGGCCACCACTGCCTCCTCGGCTGGAGTCCAGCGGCCCGTCATGTGGGAACTGGAGCGTGGAAAGCGGAATGCCAGGGGCGGTGATTACCTGTGCGCCCATCTGAGGCGGGGCGACTTTGTGCGCTCGCGGGAGGCCACCACGCCCACGCTGAAGGCAGCCGCCCAGCAGGTGAAGCAGCTGCTGCGGGCGTACAACATGACCACTGTGTTCCTGGCCAGCGATGCCACGCCCTACGAACTGATGGAGCTGAAGGAGCTCTTCCAACGAAGCTTCCGCTTCGTGCACTTTGCCCCCGAGTCGAACGGACAGCGCCGCGAGCTAAAGGATGGCGGCGTGGCGGTGGTGGACCAGCTGGTGTGCGCCTATGCCCGCTACTTTGTGGGCACCTACGAGAGCACCTTCACGTACCGCATCTACGAGGAGCGCGAGATCCTGGGTTTTAGCCAGGCCAGCACGTTTAATACGTTCTGTAAGGCCCTCGGAGGCAGCTGCTCCCGCAACGCCGTCTGGCCAATAGTGTGGGATGCGCAGGGTGATGGTGATGGCGACGAAAGCGAGGAGGATCCGTACTGAACTGAAACCGAAAACGAAAACGAAACCGAAACCACTGTGTTCCCGGTTAAGGAAACTACTCGAATCCTAGGGTTAAGTGCTAAGGAAATTCCGAACAATCTGCGATTGTGTACCAAAAAATAAACCAATAGCATATAGTTTACAACCTTCTAGTAGGTAAATATTTTGAAAACCTCTGTTTAGTATTTTTTGAATATTTTACATTTTCGCGCCCATCTAGGGCCACATATCGATAACTAAAGCGAATGTAGAAATGGAAGCGCCGCGCTTAGGAGATTCCAAACAATCTGCGACTGTGTACCAAAAAAAAAGCCCAATAGCATATATTTTACAATATTCTAAAAGGTTAATATTGTAAACTCTTTTATTTAGTATTTTTTGAATATTTTACATTTTTGCGCCCATTTAGCAAGGTATTAATCGAACAGAAATCGATTGCAGAAATCGAAGTGCTGCCACCTCTAACCCCAACTGCACGTGTTTTTGTTGAGAATTGAGTATAAATAAAATTAGTGCGTCCCCTGAACACCTGGAAATTAATTAACTGCGCCATGGGCAAGAAGAACAAAGGCGCCGCGGCCAACCTGGGCCGCCAGTTGATCAAGGATCGCTTTGGCCACACGCCGCGCCGCAAGGTGGACAACGATACGATGGTGAGTTGGTATAATTTTATCCCATTGAATGCCTAATCTCTACCTAATCCCAATCCCCTCCAGCTGCACACCACCGAGCTGCAGGATGGCTACGACTGGGGCCGCCTCAACCTGTCCTCGGTGACCGAGGAGTCCTCCTTCCAGGCCTTCCTGCGCACCGCCGAACTGGCGGGCACCGAATTTCAGGCCGAGAAGCTGAACATCACGTTCGTCAACCCGAAACAGCGGGTGGGTCTGCTCAGCAAGACGCAGGAGCAGCGGATGCACCAGAAGCACGTCGAGCACCGCGACCAGCTGAAGATCCCGCGGCGTCCCAAGTGGAACAAGGAGACGAGCGCCGAGGAGCTGGAGCGGGCGGAGAACGAGGCCTTCCTCGACTGGCGTCGCGACCTGGCGCTGCTGCAGGAGGACGAGGAGATCCTGATGACGCCGTACGAGAAGAACCTCGAGTTCTGGCGCCAACTGTGGCGTGTCGTCGAGCGTTCCGACGTTGTCGTTCAGATCGTGGATGCCCGCAATCCGCTGCTCTTTCGCAGCCTCGATCTCGAGAGCTATGTGAAGGAGGTGGAGCCGACGAAGATGAACATGATCCTGGTCAACAAGTCGGATCTGCTGACCGAGGAGCAGCGACGCCACTGGGCGGAGTACTTCGATGCCGAGGGCATTCGCACGGCCTTCTACTCGGCCACCTTGGTGGAGGAGGAGCTGAAGCGCGAGGCGGAGGCGGCGCGCCAGGAGGAGTTCCCCGCGGTGCAGCAGCTGCGGCAGGCGGCCGAGGAGATTCACCAGTCGCTGGACAAGGTGGAGGACACGCTGAGCGCCATCGAGCAGAAGATCAAGGCGGAGATAAAGGAGGAGGAGAAGGATCAGCTGCCCCAACTGCCGGGCGACAAGAACAGCCCGCGTTTGCTGTCGCGCCTGGAGCTCATCGAGTTCCTGCGGCACATCTACACCGGTCCGCGGCACACGGAGCAGCACGTGACCATCGGCATGGTCGGCTATCCCAATGTGGGCAAGAGCAGCACCATCAACTCGCTGATGACCGTAAAGAAGGTGTCCGTTTCGGCCACGCCCGGCAAGACCAAACGTTTTCAGACTCTCTTCCTGGACAAGGACATCCTGCTGTGCGACTGCCCCGGCCTGGTGATGCCCAGCTTCGTACTGACCAAGGCGGACATGCTGCTCAACGGCATCCTGCCCATCGACCAGATGCGCGACCATGTGCCCGCCGTCAACCTGCTCTGCGAGCGCATTCCGCGCCACGTCCTCGAGGACAAGTACGGCATCGTGATAGCCAAGCCGCTGGAGGGCGAGGACATGGAGCGACCGCCGCACTCCGAGGAGCTGCTGCTGGCCTACGGCTGTAAGTAGCTCGATATTCTATGTTCTATGGCATATCTTAAGTTTACAACCAGGGTTCGGAAAATAACACACGCTGTAAAAAGGTAGTGTTATTAACATGTTAAATGTTATTAGCTTGTGTGTAAAAAATTGTATCCTACATATGTTAGAAACATAAATAACACACACATGTCATTTGTGTTATTTACACGACATGTTGTTTACGCAGCGTGTTTTTAAGGGGTTATATACCTTTTTGAGCGAAAAAATTGAGTGAACTTTGGATTTTTTTTCAGGTGTGTAGCAATTATTTTATGACACTGAAGTTATTTTTTATTGATAGTACATGTTTTTATCAAAACAACAAGCGTTTGTTCTTTAAAAAATATGAATAATTTACGAAGTTATGGCAATTCTCTCGGAACCCTTATTTTTTATAGCGGCTTGCGGTGACCACGATAGAAGTCCAGCAGGTCAATTGAAATCAAAAAACCAAACAAATTTTATTAGTATAGTATTGTTTCCAGTTCGTGAACGATTATTTTCAAGAATATTTGGTTTTTTCTGCATACAGCAACAATTTTTCCAAAAAGTTGATTTTTCGAGTCCTAAAAATGTTATTAAAAAATTCTGATCTGCGAAATCAAAGTTGGCGCATAAAAACTGAATCGTTCACGAACTCGGCACAATCATTACGAAAAATTTAAAAAAAAATTGAAGAAGATCGATCAAATAGTTCTTGCGCAATCGTGGTCACAGCGAAGGCACTTTTGGAAAAACACGACTATGAGATAATCGCATTCAAAGTTTTACGTTGAGTATGTGAAACTATTGAAGTCGAGCAGACAAAACGCTGTTTTCCTATCGAACTATTATTCGGATCTTTATGAAAATTTGGGAGAATGTTCTCTAGGGTATATACTTTAGGATTCAGCAAAAAAAAAAATTTCGTTTTTTTGAAAAAAGAAAAGGTATATAACCCCTTAACACAATGAGTTATTGTATGAATTGTATGTTGAACTGAAAAAGGCACGGTTTTCTAGAATATAAGAATTCATTTATGCCTTAAAATGGTTAAAACTAACATATAAGATATCATGGCTCATATTGGTTTTTAATTTTCCCCTCAACTCGTGAAATGTAATTTTCATTTGTGTTAATAACACATTGTGTAAAAAACACAAGTGAGCTGTGTGTGCTAACAATTTTTTAATGTCAGTGAAATGTAATTTTCATTTGTGTTAATAACACAGTGTGTAAAAAACACGTCGTGTGCTAACAATATTTTTCACATTTAAACACTTTTGTATTCGACACACATGTCAACAATTTTGCTCACACTGTAAAATAATATTTTGTTATGTTTTTAACCCTGTTTACAACTCGCTCTTTCGCTTTCCCTTTCTTCCTCAGACAATCGTGGCTTCATGACCTCCAATGGACAGCCGGATCAGGCGCGTTCGGCCAGATATGTGCTGAAAGACTACGTCAATGGCCGGCTGCTGTACGCCATGGGTCCGCCCTCGCTGCCCCAGCAGGAGTACCACACGTTTCCTGAACGCCAGCGCAAGGTGATCGAGGAATCGCAGCTGCCCAGCCAGCAGCAGAGAGCCATGAGGGTGAGTTTTGGTTACCTGTACTTCAGAACTAAGTTAATTGATTAATCTCTCCCTTCTACAGATTGACAAGATCAACACCAAGGAGCTGGACAATCAGTTCTTCTCGGACAAGCCCACCCATGCTCATGTCAAGGGACGCACCAACTTCCCGAATGTGAGGTTAGCCAACGATGGCTCTTTAGTAGCCGGCAACGATCCGGCGGCCAAGCCCTGGCGTCACGTGAAGAAGGAGAGGCGCGAGAAGCTGCGCAAGAAGTTCTCTCACCTGGACGAGCACTGATTGCTGCAGTCCACCCCGTAATTTATTCCCCCTCCGCGAGGCACTTGTATATTATTAGCTTTAGGCTTACGTGTAGCTATTAAAGTTCCCTGAACCTGATGAAGTCGCAGAGATACCTAGTTAATCCCCGCCGATAACGTAGCATATATTTAGCATACAAGCCAGTGGAAATTGCCAGCACTCAACGCACTCAATTAATGATGATGCGTGAGAGGAAGAGAATGGAGGCCACTCTGCACTTTGACCGCCTGATAAGCGCAGATGTTTACGCCGGTTTGTCGACCGTTTGTCAGTCTGAATAGTGAACTCACGGAATGACTACGGATGAGTGCAAGCACTTCAAGGAGCTGGAGGTGGGCAGCAGGAGCTCCGGCCTCTTCCACATACGCTTCAAGCGGCGCTGGAATCGCCGCACCATCTACGAACTGATGCGGGCTCTGGATTTGGCCACTGGGGATTCCGCAGTCCAGTTGGTGGTTCTCTCGGGCGAATTTTCAGCGGGATGCGAGTCTGAACCTCTGGCTCTTCGTCAGGGCAGAGAAAAGAGAATGCGACAGATGCCAAGCGGCCAGCAGGAGGCTGTAACCAGCAACGATCCGGAGGAGCAGTACATCCACGAGAAGGCGGCCAACTTTGTGATGCGCTCGCTGGCCAAGAAGCTGCTGGCGCACCGCAGCCTCCTGGTGGCTTTTGTACAAACCGAATGCGTGGGCCTGGGCCTCAGTGTGTGCAGCCTGTGCGATCTGGTCTTTGCCACGGAGTCTGCTGCTTTTGTTCCCTCTTTGGATCACATGGATCCCTGCATCCAAGTGGGCCCCGGCTGGCTGGTGCCTCACCTCAACTGGCTGCTGCGCCTGGGCGATCGGGCGGATGTCGGTGCTGCTCTAAGCTGTGGGCTTTTAGTCAGCCTGGAGGGCGATGATCCGCAGCAGGAGTTCTGGCATCGCATTGAAGAGTACGCCCGCCTGCCCATCTCCGCCTCCCTGCTGGCCACGCAGCGTGGAATGCTCCGCCCCTGGCGGGAGGCCCTGTTGAACGAGCTGCGCGCGGAGAGCACGCCGCTGGCGGCCCAGCAAAGACGCCTGGCGAGGAACAAGCTGTAGGATTGAGGATCGAGGGTGGAAGGTGTGTTGATTGATTAGCAATTGTAAAATAAATACGGGAGCTGAAGCTCTAATTGGAGAATAGTTATCCATCCATAAATGTATTGTCCAGGGATCCAGGGAAAAGTTTACTATGTATGGTATGTATAATGATTATTTCCTGAATTTTAAAAATATTTATCAGGAATTTTTGACACTTGTAAGCAAAAATAATGTTTATTTTAAATATTTATTATTATTTTGTATTCCAAAATCATAATTATTTTAAAGTTATATTATGTATGGAAACAATCCTATTTCAGAAACTTTAGAAACAATCCTATTTTTTAGTTTTATAAATATTTTTACCAGGAATTATCCCCAATCGCTCACAAATAATGATTATTTCGATGTATAAAATAAAACTATTAGTATAAGTTTACCATGTTTTGTTCAGAAATAATCATTGTTTTTGAGTTTTATAAATATTTATCAGGAATTAATGTAACTTGTAAAATAAGTGTAGCTTGGAAATAATGTTTATTTTAATTATCAATTTTAATCCAAAATAATCATTATTTTTAAGGTTTTCCATGTTCAGCAATAACCATTTTATGAGTTTTATAAATATTTATATCAGGAATTATCCCTAATCGCTCAGAAATAATGATTATTTCGATGTAAAACATAATACTAATATTCTTTATCTTATCATTAAGGAAAATAGTATTATTTTATTGTAATATCTTATCATAAAGGATAATAGTAATATTTTATGTAGATATAGATTACAGTAGGCAAGCATATACGATCTAGTTGGCTGTTCCCAGAGCTGTCAGTCCTGTCACCCGAGGTGCTCAGTACTTTCCTCACCTATCAGCCAGTAACATCATGGAGCCCGAAGGTGCCAGTACAGCCAGGAGCTCGGTCTCCGAAAAGACGCTCGTTTCGGATGAAAATAAGACAACTGAGGCGGATAACAAGGACCAAAAAGAAGCCAAGACATTCAAGTGTCAGTGCCGCTTGTCGAAGTCGACGATCAAGATCTTGAAGAAGATCAAGAAGGAGAAGGCCAATAGGGACCAGAAGAGGAAGCAAAAAGAGAAGGCCAAGAGGGACAAGAAAAAGGGCATAAAAGTTAAGAAGCCCAAGAAAGACCCCACAGCACCCAGGAAATTTAAAAGCGAGGAGAAAGCCAAGCAGTTCTGTGAGCAGCAGCAGGCGGAGCTCCGCTGGAAGACCTTCACGGATGCGGAGTTCGCCGACTGGCGGACGTTCAAGAACAACGACTACAAGGTGCCGCTGCGCTCCGTGTTCAGCTACCTGAAGGTTCCCGCCTGTCCCATGGCCATACGCAATGAGCCCGCCAAGCCGACGGTCAGCCAGGTGATGGCCGAGCTGCTCAAGAGCAACCAGGGCGCCACCACCCGTGTGAAGATCGGGGAACAGCGCTTCAAGTGCATCCCCAACCTGCTCCGTTGCTACTCCGTGTGGTTCGCCAACCGCGACTGGCGCATGCAGAGCTTCCGCTTCGAGGAGCGCGAGGTGCCGGCCCGTGGATTCGCCGCCCTCTACGAGTGGATGCGCACCGAGCAGCTCCCGGAAGTAAAGTACGTGGTGCAGGCCATGCAGGCGGCGCGCCACCTGGGCGTCCGGCTGTGCGAGAAGGACTGCTGGCAGGTGCTGTCCCGCGAGGAGGTGCGCGAGAAGAGGGCCTTCCTCGTCTTCCAGGAGGCCAAGCGCCTGCCCGCCTTGGCCGAGGTCTGCGAATCGATGCTGGGACGGCTGCGCAACTGCTTTCTGGCCCTGGTCGGCAGTTCCGATTTCCTCGAACTGGAGGGCAGGGCTCTGGCGGTCATTCTCCGCCAGGACACGCTGGGGGTCAACTCGGAAATGGAGGTCTTCTTCGCCGTGCTCCGCTGGCTGGGCCACGCGGATGCCCAGCGGCGCATAGCCTCGCACTTGCGCCGCCTGATGAGCTGCGTCCGCTTTCATCACATGCCGCTGACCTTCCTGTTTAGTCTGCGCGAGTCCATGAACCGTGCGGATAAGGATGAGCTCTTCCGCCCCGATCCCGTGCTGCTGGCCTTTCATCGCGACCCCGAGACCATGGCCCTGCTGGAGCAGGCCATGTCGTTCATTGGGCTGCGCTCCCAGTGCGAGAACACCGACGAGCTGTTCGGCGTCTGCAACGAGCTCGGCATCGATGTGGTCTTCCCGCGCCAGTGGGTCTACCACCCCGCCTGTCCGTACCACCTCCATCCGCTGACCTTCCCCTACCAGCACCGCTTCACGGCCACCGAGTTCGGGGAGTACATCGCCAGCATCCAGGAGCAGTGGATCGACGAGGGACCCGCGGACCATGGGAAGTCGCTGGTCCTCGATCTCGAGAAGGAGCCGCTGCTGAGAAGGCAACGCGAGTGGCTTGCCTTGCAAAAGGGCCTATAACGTGTTGTGTTGTATATTTTATACGTTATTTGTTCTGTTCCTACTTTTTCGAACCCCTGATCCTACTTTAAATAGTGTTTAGAGATGCAGTTTTTGAAACCATAGCTTTTTGAACATTTAAACACCCAATTGGTTCTGCGTAACCTGCTTTGTCAAACCCCCACACAAATTCAAGTCAGTCGATCATATTTGTTTAAACAAGTTTAGCTTAAAAATTTGCTAATATTTTGATCTGTTAAAAATTATGTTTGACCAAATGGTCTTAAAATTGTATACTTGTTTTCTTATTCTATCAAATTAGGTTTAAGATTTCCAAACATTTCCAAATGTAAATAACGGAAAGTAGCGAAAAATCATTTAAATGTCCGTCGCGATGGGCAACACTGTTGCCGTTAACTTCCAACTAGATTGCGATGTGCAGCACTGTTTCCGATAGCTTCCAACTATATTGCGATGTGCAGCATTGTTTCCGATAACTTCCAATTGGACAGCACAGCTGTTTGCGGTGTGCAGCACTGTTTCCGATAACTCCAACTAGACCGCACAGCTGATTGCGGGCAGCACTGTTTCCGATAGCTCCAACTAGACCGCACAGCTGATTACGGACAGCACTGTTTCCGATAACTTTCAACCGGAACGCACAGCTGATTGCCGGCGCGTGTTGTTTTCTTTTATCGAACTTAATTCAACTTGATTTATTTTAAGTTTAGTGCGTGAAATTGAAACTGAATGAAGTAGGCCGAAATGCAGCGAGCTAGACTGTTGCAGAGTGCGTGGCGGTCAGTGGCGCAGCAGCTGCCGGGACGCCGTGCCTCCTCCGTCAGCCTGGGACTGCGTTATGCAATGCCGCCGGCTGGCGGTCTTCCGCCACTGCATCCTCGGCGCTTTCTGGCCACCAGTGGGATCCTCGCAGCGGCGGACAAGAGGAACCGGCGATCCTCCGCCTCCGAGAGACCAGAACTCAACCTGGAGGACGTGTGGACGCAGCTGGAGTCTTACTACCAGCAGCACGGCCTGCTTAACTACGAGCACTGCCAGCGGCTCCTGGAGCAACTGCAGCGCACGCAGGGATCGGGATCAGCAGCCGTAACCCTTGAGCAGCTGCACTTCCTCCTCGGCTCCTGTGTGCCCGAACTGCTGCCCGCCCAGGGCGCCCAGGAGCGCCTCCAGCTCTTCGAGGGCCTCTGGCGGCAGCTGCTCAAGGGATCCGTTCCCACGCTGCCCCACTACCACACCCGGCTGCAGGTGCTGCGCCAGAACCGCCTGCCCCTCGCCGATCATCGTTCGCTGCTGGCGGAGATTGCCGTCTACCACGGATCCTCTGCGGATGTGGAGGCCCCGCTGTACAGTGACCTCCTGGATGTGGCTGGATCATCGGGCAACATGCGCATGGCCACCGAGCTGCTGGCCGAGATGCGGCAGCGCAGCTTTCCGCTCACGGAGCGCAACTTTCACGCCTTGCTACTGGGACACGCGCGCAATGGAGATCTCCCTGGGGCAGAGTCCGTTTTGGCCAGCATGCGGGCGGCTGGCATCCAGGATAAGGGTGGCGCCACCCAGGCCCTGTGGTTCGAGGCGCTCGTGGCGAGCGGCCAGCTGCAGCAGGCCAAGGAGCTGCTGGCGGAGGAGCAGGGATTTACTGCCCCACAGCTGCTGCAAATGCTGCGCGGAGTGCTGCTCACGGGAAGAAACACCGAGGAGACCACTGAGCTCGCCCAACTGGTGGTCAAGGAGCTGCCGCGTGAGTTTCTCTCGGGCTTGGACCTGCCACCCGCCATCCGGAGCCTGTGCATCCAGCTGGTGCACCAGGGACGCAGCCAGGTGGTCATCCAGCTGGTGGCCGCCCTGCCGGCGCCCCAGTTTAACCTCCAGAATCAAAGCAACAACCAGAATGTCGACGAGTACGGGGCTCTGCTGCTGCAGGAGTTCTTCCGCGCCCATGTGCCCCTCGAGGAGACGCTGCAGTTCGCCCGGCAGCTGGTGCAGCGCCAGCAGAACGGTCGCGCCCTGCATTTAGTCACCGAATTGGCCCTGCGCCGACTGCCCTCCGCGGCGCTGCAGTGCCTGGAGGCGTTGGCCGCCAGCGAGGAGCTGCGGCCGCACTACTTTTGGCCCCTGATCCTCCACCAGCAGCGGCGGGAGGGCGAGAGCGGCATGCTGCGAGTGCTCGCCGAGATGCAGCGACTGCGCGTGGAGTGCGACGAGGAGACAGTGCGTCAATACCTGCTGCCGCATCTCCAGCAGACGCTGCAGCAGCCCCTGGAGGCGGTGAAGGCCTTGGAGGCGGCCGGAGTGAAGCCATCGCTGACCTTGGGACCCACAGTGAGCCACCTGCTGCAGCAGCAGCATCAGATGGCGGAGGTTTTAGAGCTCCTCAAGCGCTACCCCACTCGTTTAGAGCTGGGAACGCTGCTCCAACCGCTCACCTCTTTAGCCGTAAATGCGCGTGCCACCAAGCGGTACGAACTCTTCGCCAAGGTGATCCAGGCGCTGCAACAGAAGGCGCTGCAGCGAACGGAGGACTTTGTGGGCTCGCTGCTGCTGCAGATGATGGGTCCACAGACGCGTCTCCGCCAAGATGCCGCCTCTCTCAGCCGCTTCCTGCACGAACTGCGGCGTTTGGAGCTGCAGATCTCTCCAGCAGCCGCTGAAGCTCTCCTCTCCCTTGCCCGCCAGGCCACCGAGGACTTGGATTTGGTGCAAGACATAGCCAAGACGCTGCAGAAGATGCGCCACAACCAGCTGACGCTGCCCGCGGATGCAGCCGGCGGCGGAGGCTTCATCAAGCATCCGCGCGACATGAGCCTGGATGAGCTGGAGTGCCACCTCGTGGAGCTGGAGGCCAAGCAGCTGAATCCGCGCGGCGTGCTGCGCCGCCTGCTGCAGCTCTCGGTGCGCAGTGGTCGCCTGGAAAGGGCCCAGCAGTTACTCAGCAAGTGCCAGGCCCTCAAGGTGCAGACGAGCGCCGGGATGATGGCCTCCATTCTGGACCTGCACATCAAGCTGCGCGATTTGCCGAAGGCACAGCAGAGCTTGGAGCAGCTGAGCAGCAGCTATCCAGGTGGGGAAACCTATAGTTTAGCCGTAGAGTAAAAGGGTATATTGTATTCGTGCAAAAGTATGTAACAAAAAGTCAATATAGCCATGTCTGTCTGTCTGTATGACCGCTAAGATCTCGGAAACTACAAAAGCTAGAAGGTTGAGATTTCCCACACATATTCTTGGGCTTTCTACGCAGCGCAAGTTTATTTCAGCCGAGGGCCACGCCCCCTAACGCCCACTAACGATAATCTTTAAAGATTTCCGAGAAGTTAATATGCCAAATTGTTGTGTATATTCATACCTATCGAAATGTAGAAGACATTTTTCAAATCGGACCATTCTATAAAAAGTTATGCGTAGTCTAAATTGTATATATTCATCTCCTTCGCACTCTCTTAGCTGAGGGACCGCTATTAGATAGTCGGGACACCCACCCGACTATAGCGTTCTCTCTTTTCTTCCTTTAATCCTTTTACCCTCTCCTTTTCAGCCTTTCAGATCGACGAGCACAAGGTGATCGACTTTGCCGCCCTCTTGGTTCATGGCCAGCAGCTGGAGGCCGCCAAGCAGCTGCTCCAGCGACGCGCCGAGCAGCACAAGGTCGTCGGCGGCGACTATGTGATCAAGAACGTGTGGCAGCTGCTGACCAATGTGGCGCAGTTAGCCGCCCAGGCTACAGAGAAGCCATCGACTAATCTCACCCGCGAGATGCTCGAATTCCTGCGGAATCTGGGCTACTGCCAGTCGCACAATGCTCTCCTGGGACCCGTGGTGCGCGAGTGGCTGCTTAAAGGCGACCTAGAGGCCGCTGTGGCCGAGTTCCAGCGGCTGGCCAGCCAGCACAAGCACACGCCGCTGCAGTTCGAGCTGCTGTCGCTGCTGGTGCGCCTGGGCAACGGGGATGAGCGGGAGCTGGCCCGCTTTCCGGGCACCACGGCGGAGGCGGCGCAGCAGCAGCTGGCTGCGGTGACGGCGACGGTGAGCCGCATTCATGGGGCGGCCAACATGAACAGCGCTTTGCTGTTGGCCCTCGCGGAATCCGGAAAGGAGACGCAGCTGCGGCGGCTGATCATCAACCCTGAGTTCCGGATCAATCACGAGCTGCTGGTGAAGAACTGCGAGCATTTGGGACAGGAGGGAGCCGTGAGGACGCTCCTCCGACTGGCAAGAGGCGTCAGAGGAGTCCAGAGGACCATTGACGAGCAGAAGATCTACGATCTACTGCTGGCACAGTTCTGCCGCAGCAACGACTACGAGGCGGCGCTGGATCTGTTCGAGCGCCTGGAGGCCGACGACGAGCTGAAGGTGTCGCAGGAGTTCCTGCGCAACCTGGTGCAGCTGCTCCAGTTGAACCGCGTCGAGATTCCCAGCGGCATCGCCCTGCGCGCCCAGATTAGATAGTGCCTATGCTAGTTGTAAATAAATCGAACGATTTAATGTGTAATGTCTCGGTTCAGAGTGTCTACTTGGCTCTAAAATGTTAAAAACTATTCATTTATTTATTAGAGTATCAATTTTGACACAATAATTATAGAATAATTATGAAATTGCAACGGTTTAAAGTCATCTCTGAGACTATTTAGTTAATTTCGATGTATTAATATTTGATTTAAATTAGGCTTCATTTTAAAATCAAATTTTAGCCTATTAGTTAATTACTTAATCAATTTCGCTGTAGTAAGCTTAGATATAAGGCCAATTTGAAAGTGGCGCCAAACTCACGGTCACCCTAAAGCTCAGTTTCCAGTGCCCAATCGCGGTCTGGCAACGCCAGCTGGAAACGGTAAAAGGCCGCCATCTTGGAACCGCCATTTTGTTTGTTGTGGTTTGGCGATCTTCGCTTTGGATTTTGCATTTCTGGCGAAGATTACGCATTAGTTTGTCCAGATGTGGTTCCTAAAACTGCTGCCGTGGCCTCCGAAAAAGTGCATCCCTTCGCTGGTGACCCGCTTATATGGAGATCTTCAGAAAGGATGAACCGGCGGCGCTTCTTTCCTGATCTAAATGAGATTCACCTGCTCATCGTGGGATCCTTTGGATTCTCCCCGCTCCAAATCGGAGTAGGCCTGGCAACTGGGCAAGGAATTCCGGCCCGACGTCAGCCAGCGATTGTCACTTTTGGGATCGGAGAATCAACAGAAAGTTTTAAAGCACGTAGCATACACTAGTAAATCACTAGCAGCTGCTCCGAACGCCACACTCGCGATCTAAATTTTAGTACTCATTTTATACCTTCACCTGCGTTTAGCAATCTGCGTGCATGTTGCGAGCCCTTCTGCGTCCCAGCATGAAGCGTTTGTCCCGCCGGCCCGTCTCCGACGAGCAGAAGGCCCAGGCGCAGGCACAGATGCGCAGCCAGAATCCCAGCGAGAACACAGACCAAAACCAGGACCAAGAACCCATAGAGATCTACCTGTCGGTGGCCACCGTTTCGTCGCTGCCGCCCACGCAGTCGCGTCCACAAATGCAGGCTCCTCTGCCGGAGGAGCAGCAGCAGCAGCAGCTGGAGAAAGAGAAGGAAAAGGAAAACGAACCGGAGTCGGAGGTGGGCGCCCAGGGCGACAACGAGCAGTCGGACAACGAGGCGGCGGGTCCAGCACCATCAGTTCATCAGCATCCCACCTCCGAGGACCGTCCTGATCCCGCCCAGCTCAAGGTGCTGGCCGGACGCCAGCAGATCGCCAGACTGCTCACCCGCTTGGGGGACGGCGACGGCGAGGGCGATGGCGAGGCCAACCAGATTGTGATGGAGCTGCTGGACAGCCGGGATGGCTCATCAGCCATTGAGCGCGTCTCCGAGCAGCTGTTGCGCGTGCTGCGCGAACAGACGCTCAGCGAGGCGGGCATTTCGTGCGGCAACGAGCGGTATCGCTGCTTCAAGTGCGTGCTGCAGAACTACGCCAAGATCCATGCGGCGCGCCACTTTATGGAGCAGCTGCCGCAGCTGGACAAGGAGCAGCAGCAGCAGCAGCAGGATGCGGATGCGAACGAGGAGCAGGAGCGAGAGCGGGAGCTGTTCGCTCGCGTTGTGGCCGAGGAGGTGCTGCAAATACCCGAGCTACTGCGCCAGCTGTGGGCGTCGCTGGAGAAGATGGAGTTCTTCAACGAGGACACCGCCTTCAAGGCCTATCTGGAGGCGCGGCGCCACCCGCAGGCGCGCATTCTGTGCGAGCTGATGCTCACCCGCATCTCGCGCGTCTTTCTGTGCATTGTCAGCTCCACGTTCTTCCTGGACTTTAGCGAGCACGAGCTCACGCACATCCTGAGGAACTGCTACCTGAGTGTCAACTCGGAGATCGAGGTGAGGGTATCTGATAATATTCTAATATAATGTATAATAATATATCCAATAGATATTCCTCTCGGTGATCCTCTGGCTGGAGCACAACTGGTGCGAGCGCGGCGACTGCGCCGAGCGCATCCTGTCGGAGGTGCGCTTCTCCCTGATGCCCACCTGGTACCTGTGCACCCTGGACAGGGCCAACCGCTGCCGCCACTTTTCCCGGGTGATCAACAGCCCCGGGGTGCAGCGAATGATTGCCCAGGGATTGGAGTGGGTTCTACCATAATCTTAATCTATTTGTATGGAGTTATTTAACTGCTGTCTTCCCTAGGGATGCCGTCACCCTGCAGAGCAAGCCCCGCTCCAGTGGTGCCGCTGGAGGAGCTACCAAAACCACCAGAGCTCCTCGCGCTGGCTTCCCGCTGCTGCAGGACGAGGAGAATCACTTGGCGCGCGACTGGATCGCAGATACCGAGTGCCGTCACCACCACAAACGCCACTGCGAGCGCTTCGTTTACCCCACCTACGATGTGTTCAAGGAGTACCTGGCCAGGATCATTTGCTGTGCGCCCAACTACTGGCGCACCTTCCGCCCGGCCCAGGAGGTGTACCGCAGCGATTTCCGCTGCTGCCTGCCGCCTCACTTCAACTAGCCGTTGTCCATCGGCCACCTGCTCTTTTCGGCTCTGCGGTTCAAATTTTACGTGCAATCCTGATCATACATCCTGTCTGTCCCCGTCCTTTTAGCAACTTAACCCGGACTTTATAGAGGGGACCTAGATAACTCCCGCTGATTCCATCGCAGCCCACTGGCCAAGTGTCCCCATATTATCAATTATTTTCCATATTTTTCAATAGGAAGATGAACAACCCACAACCCATACGTCACGTTTTATATCAATAAAATTGTTACAGCTGGCTATGAGATACCAGGCGAACAGAAGCGAGTAGCAGGTGTCCAGCGATCAGCTGATCGGTTTATTCCACTCCCACTTAGGGATGGCCCTTCGGCGGCACGCTCCATACAAACTCGTGACTTTCGTGCCCAGTTCGTAGCACGAGCACAAGAACAGCGTGGTTGCCCATCCCTAATTCGGGCTTTCCTTTCAACTAACGGTTGTCTTCTAGTAAGCTTGGCTCTGATTGGTCAACTCCTGGCTTCCAGCCGCCATCTTGAAAAAAGAACCGTTATGTGAGAGAAGTCACAAATATCAGCAGCGACCTACTACTTTTCTGCTGATTCTGTTCGCCTGGTGTAAAAATCAGAAAATTTGTTTTGAAACGCACAAGTCGAGGATTACGGTAAATTTGGGGCCGAGTTGTGGCCAATTTGGACCGCCAGATCGGCCAATTTCTCGAATTTCTAGTTTTGAGGTACCAGGCGAACAGAATTAGTAGTAGGTCGCTGCAGGTAAATAAGAATTCCTGTGACGTCACTATCCAAGTATGATCCTATTGGTCAATGGCTGGCTTCCAGGCCGCCACCTTGAAAAAGAACCGTTATGTGAGCAAAAACACAAAAGTCAGCAGCGACCTACTACTTTTCTGCTGATTCTGTTCGCCTGGTGTTAAAAATCAGAAAATTTGTGTTGAAACGCACAAGTCGAAGATTACGGTAAATTTGGGGACGAGCTGTGGCCAATTTGGTCCGCCAGATCGGCCAATTCTCTCGAATTTCTAGTTTTGAGGTACCAGGCGAACATAATTAATAGTAGGTCGCTGCAGGTAATAGTGAACTCCTGTGACGTCACCATAGAAGTATGCTCCTATTGGTCAATGGCTTGCTTCCAGGCCGCCATCTTGAAAAAAGAACCGTTATGTGAGAGAAGTCAAATAAAATCAGTGGCGACCTACTACTTTTCTGCTGATTCTGTTCGCCTGGTGTTAAAAATCAGAAAATTTATGTTGAAACGCACAAGTCGAAGATTACGGTAAATTTGGATCGTTTTTAAACTGAAATTTGGTCAAATGCGGGGGATGACGAGGCGATTTCTCGATATCATGCCATTAAAATGTAGCATACATTTGCGGGTTTTGCAGCGGATTGGATTTTTCGCCGTTTCAGCTGTGAGCCTTGGATTGCAAAATTAAAAATTGCCAAAAATTCAGAAAAAATAACTTTAGTCCGTTTTAAACTTTTTTATCAAGTTTTTTATTGCTAAAAATGGTAAAAATAATTTAAAAAAATATTTTTCACATTTTTATTACAATAGTTGAAAACAGGCAAACAATTTAATCTTTTTATACACATGACATGCAAAAAATTATAATTATTAAGGTATACAATCAAAAGGACTTTTTTTGGATGTAAACTAATACTTTTTGGATTCGGTGCATAAATTGCGGTTTGGTTACGTTGCAGCAGCTACTCTCCATTCGATCCGCCGCCCATGGTGGACTCGCTCATGTGGAACTGGATCAGGATGATGAGGTATGTTGTGGTGGCGCCCACAATCTGGAAGACCGGGCTTTAGCATCAATCATATCCTCACTTAATCCCACTCACCGTGTAGAGAAGGGTGCAGTCCACGTTGAAGAATCCAGCGGCGCTGAAGTGGAGCCGCTGGTGGAGCAGCTGCAGCGAGAACTGGGTTATCTGGGGGAGAGATTTAAGATTAGGGTTTAGTGACTAGGTGAAGGGCAAGGAATGGACTACCCACCAGAGCGTTGTGGCACTCGTTGCGCAGATCCACGCTCACCTGGTGCAGGCACAGTGCCAGGCGAGTGGCCTGGAAGGCAAAATGGATTAGGTGCAGAGCCAGGATTTAGGATCTGGGATCTACTCACACACTGGGCCGTTCGGTCGCAGAGAAGCGAGAGCACGAGCACGTTGCCCAGGTGGGGGGCAGACCACACGGCACTGGCGACTATCTGCAGGATGTCGTAGGGGGAGGCCGCCGACTGGCGGAAGTTGAGGAACATCCAGTAGCAGTTGGAGGTGATGGCCAGGAAGTCGTTGCCCACCTGGATGAGCATGGAGAGGCCGTAGCAGCGGTTCAGCAGGGCCACTAAAGCCCAGACCCGTTGGTAAACGAGCCGCACGGCAATCAGTTGCTCCATGGCCGCCTCTTCGACATCGGATTGTGACTGTGATTCCTCCTCCTCCTCCGAGGAGCTCTTCTGCTGCAGCTGCAGCTGCTGCAGGGCCACAAGGAGCACTTCGAGGCGCTGGCGCACAATCTGGGTGGCGGTGAAGATCTGAAAGTAGCGCAATCCGCAGACGAGCAGCGGCAGCAGGTAGCAGATCCAGTAGACGGGGAAGCTGGTGCCCGGGGCGAGCAGCTTGGCTCCGAGGATCAGGATCTGGCTGACGGCATAGCCCCACAGCATCCAAACGGCGCGGCGCGTCGTCTGGCGACGCATCTGGAGGCGCATGGCCTCCACGTCCACGCGCAGCGCCTTGGCCAGCTGGTGATCGATCTCGCCCAGCTCGGCGAAGAACTCGCGCTGCACCTGACGCTGCCACAGGGCCTCCAGCAGGGCGGCCAGGTGGGCCACCCGCATGCCCACCAGCTGGATGAAGTCCACCGTGTGACCAATGCTCGAGATAGCCGACTCGGAGTCCGCCACGGAGTTCGCCACCTGGACGCTGCTCTCCTGGAAGAGACCGTAAGCGGTGAAGCCGCTGGCAGCCGTTAGAACCGTCCAGCCGTAGAGCTCCAGCCAGCGGGATCGGCGGAGGAGGACGCCTTCGGTGTCGGGCGGTGGGACGAGGCGCCAGGGCCACAGGTTGCACACCTGGCAGACGCGGTGGAGCGGCTTCAGCGCTCTCAGCGTGTCCATGACCAACTATTATATCTGATTCGTGTTTGGTATCTGCAACTGGAAATGGAGGAGATATTAGTTAGATACTGTATCTCGGAATGGATATGGAGAAGATATGTATTAATTCGATTAGGTTATCATTTGCGTGTTCCGCTAATGGAGTGGGCACAAGGGCGGTTCACATTTAACCCGCCTATACGATGCGTATTACGGCATTTCAGGTCAGTAAAATGTTTTGCAAAATATTTATAGTTTATATAGTGACTTTAAAGTTTATCACTCATACGCACTGTTGCCTTTGATCAAAATGGGCCTAGATTTTAACCATACATTTGCGTTTTAAACCAATTATTATACCAAAATTCATAATTTGACTAGGCTAGAAATAGGAGAACGATTTTTTTCGTCTAAATTCTGTCAAACGTGTCGTATGAGTAATTTTTAACTTTTTTCGGATTTTCATTCGTAATTTGGACAAATCGAGGCCCACAAACTAACAATCCCTATCACTTTTCGAAAAATTTAATTTTTCACAAATTTCGCATTTTTGATCATGATTTTTTGTTTTTTTGGGGTAGAAATCTTGATTTTTGGTAAAAATTTGATTTTTTATTATAGATTTTTTGCTGTAACTTGGACAAAAATGGTCTCAAATCAAAAAGGCGCACTGTTTTGTGCAGCTTACGACCTTATAATTAATATCAGTGCACTTTGCGACCGATTGGACAAAATTAATTTTTGACCCAATTTTCGCTTTTTTTGTATCATGATTTTTTCAAAAAATGGAAAAAATTAAAAATTTTCAGGTTTAAATGCCAATCGATTGGGAATTAAATTACGAGTTCAACGAGGTATGACATTCCATATTTGGACCATTATTTCCATTTTTATGATGAAAATACTAACAGTAAATACAACTTTTTTTGGGTGAAAAATCAAGCTCTTGATTTTTGGTAAAAATTTGATTTTTTATTATGGATTTTTGGCTGTAACTTGGTCAAAAATGGTCCCAAATCAAAAAGGCGCACTGCTTTGTGCAGCTTACGACCTTATAATTAATATCAGTGCACTTTGCGACCGATTGGACAAAATTAATTTTTGACCCAATTTTCGCTTTTTTTGTAAGGGGTACCATCATGATTTTTTCGAAAAATGGAAAAAACTAAAAATTTTCAGGTTAAAACGCCAATCGATTCAGAATTAAGATAGGAGTTCAGCAAGGTATGGCATTCCATATTTGGGCTATTATTTCCTTTGCTTCGGAAAAAAAACTGATAATTTAGGGTCGAAATATGAATTTTTTTTTCGGATTTTCAGTCGTAATTGGGACCAAGCAAGACCGACAGCTAAACGACCGACTGTTTTGAACACATCAAACATAGAGGGCACACATCCACGTTTCAATTGGCCCAGTGGCCAATCCAGTGCTCCTTGTGATCTGAGTGTCAAGACTCCTTGAGTTGGGAGCTGAAAGTCGAAACCTCTCAGTTGATAAGAAAAATTCGAAGTAAATCATCGAAATCATGGAAGTAATAGCAAATGGAAATAACCCCAGTCTATATGGAGATAATCGTGAGATATACATTAAGGACAGGGACTTTTACCTGACCATATACACAGAATTACAGTAGCAGTAAGTATCGGTTATAAATGTATATAGATTATAACTTACCACTTTCTTGCAGGACAAAATAAAGTCTGAGGCCAGAAACCAACCAAACGGACCAACTTTGGACGACTGGCGGATGGGATTCGACTGCCGGACTTGCCATGTCGCCGTCATCCATCATGATCCATTAAATGTCCATCAATGTCAGGCCATCAATCAAGAAATCCAAGGTGGGTCCGGGTCCCTTCTCTATAAATAGAGAGCTGGGAGCCTGGTGACTTGTAACTTGTGACTTATGAAAAACACACATCCGGGCTTCACATAAATACGTTTATTATAATTTCAGATTTTGTTTTTTTGGAAATAGTTCTTGAGATAAGCTTGACGTTTCATAAAATGTAATACATATATATTTCTTCGCGTTAACCTCTGCCATTAACCATTATATCGGATCTTTGTGCTGGCTTGCTCTCTCTATCGCTCTTTCGCTCTTTTGCTCTCTCGCTCTGTCCTAATTACTCGCTTCCCGGTACACATATATCAATAGCTATAGGCTATAGTTATATGGCCTGGCCAATATCATCCAGTTAGCCAGTTAGCGATACTCCTTCGGTTCGGCTATTTTGTTTGTAACAATTTTTGCTTTCTTACTTTCTGCATGCACTTTGCTGTACTAATGATTATATAGAGCAGACGCCCAGATCCACAAACACCACATATCATATCATATATCATATGGCATATAACATATATGTTTGCGGGGGTGTCTGCGTTTAGTATGTATATTTGATTTAAATCGAAGCTGCTAAAAAGTAAAAGCAAATTCAACAAACAAACTCTCATAGGTCATACATATCGTATTTGATTCTTAGACTAATATAAGGTATGATGCAGATATCTGTTTGTTCTCTGGATATAAGGCAAATGGATACATGTGCGTGTGGTGTGTGGTGTGTGGTTTGTGGTGTTATGTGGGTAGTGTATATGGTGTATATAGTCTGATCTGATTGATCTGATTTGATAACGTAACTCAAGTCGCAAACAAAACGGGGGCAAAGTTAACAAGTTCTCATATTTTCTCGTATCTTAGGGGAAATTCGTTTTGTGAAAGGCAAAAAATGTCTTCTGGCTGGGAGAAGAGTTCTTTTTTTTGTTTTTGGGTTTTTCGTTTTAAGCAACATCAATACGCTCAAGTACATATATATATATAGTGTATATAGTTCATGTGTGAGTATTCTTTATCTAAACCTTCTTCGGTTTTTTTTTGTTTTTTTCTTTTGTAGTTTTTTAGTTTATGTTTTGTTTCGCTTAGCGCACGAATTTGGAAAATAATTAATATATATTTAATAAATTTGATCTTTTTGGTTTTTTCTCGGTTATAAATTTAAAATCCTTGAAGCGGAGACTGCAATGCTACTCAATAATCGAAAGACGCTCGATCGGTATATATCGGTATCGGTGATCAGTTATCGGTGATCGGTATTCAATATCCCAATATCCCAATCGCATGTGCTGCTGGTCGGACGGGGAACGCGGTTTGGGATCGATAACGATATCGATATATGGATGCGGATTGAACCCAGGACCAATGGATAGGTCCTATATGGACCCCATCCCCATCGAATGTCGTATCCCCGCCCCTCTTAGCCCTACGTGTGTATAATTTTGCTTAAATTTCGCTGGTTGCTTATCAAACGGTTGTAGACTGGACGGTTGCCAGTGACTGTTGTCTGTTTTTCAGTTTTTTCTATTTTTCTGTTGCTGCCTGTTGCTGTTGTATATATAAAAAGCAACTCAAAAATATACGCGTAGCCTAAAAAGTCTGTCTCGAGTTTAATTTATAATTGTAACTGGCTCTTTTGGACTGTTTTTTGCATTTTATTTTTTGCTTTTCCTTTTGCTGTGGCCTCGAATTGCTTGTTCCGCTTTTTAATGCGGTTTTACTGGTTACGTTGATTAAAATTGCCTGTGTTCTCGTTACTCGTTTCTCGTTCTCGTTCTTGTCTGTTCTCGCTGCATATTTATCTTGTTTGTTTGTTGCAAATTTGTTATTCTATGACTATGAAAAAGTAAAAAAAATATAGAAAAATAACCTTCATTCACTTTGTGTACTTCATATTTATTCGTATTTAGTTATCGACCCTCTGCTCATTCTCATACTCGTTTTTGTCTCACAATAGCTGTTTCACTCCTGTCTCTGACTTCTCGTTCCATTCCATTCGAACCCAACCTTAAAACCCAGCCCCATTCCCAACCCACCCAACCTAAGTTCTATCCCCATCCCTAACCCACTCAGACACTTGTAATCCTTATAGTAATAACATCAGCATTGACTTTGTCGTCGTCGTTTACCGTCCAACTCCTCATCTTATTATTCCACCATCGATCTTCCAGCAACAGCATCGAATCCTTTGTTCTCCTAGCTACATCACCTCACCATCCCAGTTCTTGTCTCCATTCCTCTCCTCTTCTCATTCCCATTCTCTTTTTTTAGCTCTCCCATATTCGGAAGTGGAAGTGTACGTATATCGGTCGCTATAGTTTCTTGGGTTATATATAAGTCTTTCTGCGGCTGCCTGCTGGAACAACGAAACCGAACGCAAAATATAACAAAACGAAACGAAAAGGAAATTAATTTGTGAGAATGAACTACGAGCTTAAATTATTCAATAATTTGGGCTACGGATATTTGGGTTTTCTTGGGGGAAAGGGTAGATCGTAGATCGTAATTGTAATCGCTTGCTAGCCTTCAACATTTGATTAGGTTTAGTCCGAAGGGCGGTTAGTGGATCCGCCTCCGATCTTCTTGTCAGTATTATGATCGCTTATTATCCTACGGCTACAAAGCGCTTTCGCAGTTAGCTGATGCTCGCTTTAAAATTCGAATACCTTTGGTATGGGCATACTCATACGCAGGGTTCGTAAAAGTTTCGACTAATACATATTATTAAACATGAATATTAATTTCTTTATATATAGAGAGTGTCTTTTTCTTTCTTCGTTTTTGTTAGCTTTTCTCGTCTTTTTGGTTTCTTGGTTTTTTCCTTTGTATATTTTAGCTATGCGGTTTTGAAAACTATTTTGATCTTTGGATTACTAGGCAAGGTAGCTTGATGTTACGGTATGTTACGTCAATGAAAGCAACAAATAAGTGTCTTCTGCGTTCTCAACTCATCCACTGAGGATCTGCATTGCATTGCATTGTTTGGTAATTGTAATTAATCGCTTTAAACTAAATATTCAATTAATTACGTAGCTCTTTTTCGTGGTTTGGCAGAAAAGAAGGCGGCGAAAGCTCAATAGACGGCATTGGTGAACAAAATGGCGTCATTCGCGTGACCTCCGTACTCCGCCATATCAGCCTGCGTCCGCCTCGTTTCCATAGCCATATTGCATTGTCTGTCCCCATCTGAATTGTTATTCTTATTCTCATCCTGTTGCTGTGATCTTATTCTTATTTCTAGTCCCGTCCATCGTCCATCGAGTCCAAGCACTTTGTAAGCCATACATGAACTCGATGCTCTCCTCTGATCCTTTCCTTCTCTTCTGGTTGGGTGCGTTGTTGTTGTGGGTTGGCTTCCTTAGTCATCGTCGAATGCAATAAACAAGCCCGTGGCCTAGAACTCCAGGCGGTAGGCGGAGCACGAGGTCTCGTGGTCCTGCAGGTTGATGGTGCAGCGCGAGGCGGAGGGCGAGAGGTCGATGCGGTGCTTGGCTAGCAGCTCCTCGTTTTCGGCCACCCAATAGCCCAGCACGTCGGTGTCGTACGTGGGTATGATGGTGACCTCTGTAAAATGCAATATGTATTAGATAAAATATATATTAGGTGGAGAGGTTTAAAGTAGAGTCCTGCATGAGTACACTTGATTTGACAAACAAGTAAATTTTTTGAAAATAGAGCGAGTTAGTTCAAGTGAGTTAACTTGTTTCACTTGATCAATCGTTTTTTATTTATTTATTTATTTTTTTTTTTTTTTTTTTTCTTTTTTTTTTTTTTTTTGGTGATTTGAAATTATGTTATATCTATTTATTTTATATTAAATCTCTTGTTTTTCCCTTTGAAAGAATCAAATGAAAAATAGTGATTCCAGTTAACTGACTTGACTTTCAAGTACAGTCATGCAAGACTCTACTTTAAGACAGCCCACTCACCCAACTCCTTGTCCTCCCATGTCTGTTTGGCCTCGAGCAGGGCATCGTACACCTGGCGACTGGGCTCCGTGCCCGAGAAGACATAGTAGCGGGCCCGCACCCGCTTGAAGAAGTCCACGTGGGCGTAGTAGGAGTTGCCGTTGTGCGGCACATAGGTGAGATCCACGTAGACGGGCGCCGGCTTCTTGTTGCCCGCCTTGTTGGGCGATTCGCTGCGCTTCGTACGCAGATTCTTCTCGTTGTTCAGCCGCGTCTTGGTGGCCACCAGGCGGCGTTCCTTCTTGGGCGTGGTGCGTATATCCCCGGCACCGCCCTCCACGGGCAGAGGTGCTGGTGAAGGCAGGCCCAAGGGCTTGCCCCACTCCTCCAGCCGATCCTTGGGCAGGGCGCCAGTGGAAGTGGTACTCGCTGTGGTGGCTTTCTCCTCCTCTTTCTCCTGGGAGGCAGCTACACTGCCCACGGTGGCAAAGCCGCTCTCAGCCACCCGGGAACGCTGGACATCGCTCAGCGGGAAGCGCTGCCTTTCCGCAGTGCTGCTCACAATCTGCTCCATCTCCTCGGCCTTCGAGGGCGAGTACGAGTACTTGGCCGTCACGGAGGACATCACCTCGGCACCGCGCGCCTGCACATGCTCCTCGAGCGCCCGCTGGAAGTCCTTGTCGGCCTGGTCGAGGAACTTGTGCCCGGCCCAGGTCTGGCTGGTGCTCTCCACGCTCTCCGACGACTGCTGGCTATCACTGCCGGCACCACCCTGGATGGGAATGGGCTCCGTTCCCGAGCTCCGTTCGAAGCTATCGGGCAGGGCACCGTAGAAGGAGGTGGCCATGGGATCGGGAATAGTGCTGCGAGAAGCTGGGAGGAGGATGGAGCGCGCCGTCGCCAGCTCCTCGCTGCCATACTGCGGCGGTATGTCGTCCTGGCTCTCATCGTCCAGATCGGAGCGCTTGCTAACGCCGGAGCTGGAGTGCTGCAGCTCGTAGCTGGTGGCGCTGCGCGGTGATCCTGGGAGCAGCAGATCATCGTCGTCCTCGCTACCAGGTGTGCTGGAGCGGCCCAGTCCACGCAGCAGGGCCACCTCCTTGGGCAGCAGCTGCTGCTGATCGCGTTCGCTCTCGCTGGTGGTGCGAGTGGTGGTCACCACCACCTTCTCGCTATCCGGCTCCGAGCTATCCGTGGTGGTCACCGTCTTTTGCTCGGTCACAATCTCCTTGCCATCGGCCGAAATCACCTTGGTCACCGTGGTGATGGTGGTGGTGATTATCTTCTCTGTGCTGCCGCTGAGCCCGGTGGTGCACTCCAGGCCGCGCAGCTCATGAAGCTCGGGAAGATCTGGTTCTGCAGCACCGGCCAGCATCAGTTGCTCCTGCTGCTGGAGAAGAATCTCTGATTAAAACTCTGATATCTTATAAAAACTCATGCAAAAACTCACCTGAATCTCCAGGGACTTCAGCTCGTCCTTGGTGACGCGCGGGAAGGGCGACGTGGGCTTGGGGGAGGACTCCGGCGTCTCTGTGTGCGACTCGCGACCCAGCGGAGTGGGTATGGACTGGCTCTCGGAGGTGAGAGCTCCGGGACTGGACTTGCCGCTAATGTCCTTGGGTGACAGCGGTCCCGAGGAGGAGACAATGCTGGCGGCACTTGATACGACTCCAGCTCCAGCTCCAGCTGATCCTGATCCCGTCGAGCCGAATGGCTTGACACTGGGACTGACGGGCGCCGTTGGCGGTGTCTTGCGGTCAGCGGGCTCAGCCTGGAACTGGGCCAGATCCTGATCCTGGCCAGCTGGCTGATCTGTGGTTATCTGGGTGAGCGTGATGGACTCCACCTTGGAGCTGCTGCTGGTGGTTGTGGCTGTGGCTGTGCTGCTGCTCTGTTCGCTGGACTGCAGATGAGTTGTGGTCTTGCTGGTGGAGGTGGTTGAGCTCGAGGTGACCTCATCCCGACCCAGTTGCTCGTGCTCCTCCTCGGCGAGCGTCTCGATTGACTCGCTTTCAATTTCCTCGGAAGGCTTGTAGATGCTGGTCATCATGATGGTGGCAATGGACTTGGAGCGGCTCTCCTTCACACTGGCCCGCTCATCGGCGTCCTCGTCGTCATCGTCGGGATCCTCATCCTCGGGATCGCTGTGGGTCAGGCGGCCCGACTCGCTGGCCTGACTCAAGAGGGACTCGCGTCGCGACTCGTCGGTGCCCACAAAGAGTGTCCGCTGGGAGGTGGTGGATACCTTCTTCAGGCACTCATCCGCCGTCTTGGAGGCCTCGGTGCTGAATGTTTCCTTGGCGGAGACAATCTTCTCGGTGGCCAGAAATTCGGCCACTGTCTCTTTTAAGTCGTCTTTGGTTTCCTTGGTTTCCTTCGAATCTTTGATCTCTGACTTGATTGACTTCAAAGCGGTACTGGTACTGGTGGTGGTCTGAATCTCACTCACAATTGACTCGGAGGAACATTCCTCGGACTGCACCAGGAGCTCCTCCAGCTGGGAGGCGGAGGCGGTGGCTGCTTCCTCCTTCAGACTGCCGATGATGCTTCCCTTTTCGGCCAGCAAACTGGAGAGCGACTCGCGTCGGGAGCTGCTGTCCTCCACCTTTAAGCTGCTCAACGAGTCGCTGGTGGACTCTTCGCGCAGTTGCACCGTGGAGGTCTTGGTGGTGGTGGTGACCACACTGGACTTCTCCTGCTGCTCCTTGCTGCTCTCGACTGTCTCCTTGGTCTCCGTAGTTGTGGTTAGTGATTGGAGCAGCGACTCTGTCGTCTCTTCATCGCCATCCTTGGCACTAAACTGGCTGGTGCTGGATGCCGGTCGAGAGATCTTAATGTCCTTCTCCTTGTCATCGCTCACCTGGCTGGCAACGGACTCAGGGCGAGATTCCTCCTTGCTGGGAAGCTGAGCAGCAGAAGGTTGCTCCTGGCGCAACTGTGCCTTCTCGGACTGCTCGATCTTGTCCTTCTCCTCGATGGAAATGGGCCCGGACTTGGTCTGATCAGGCGATGACTTCTCCGACTCGATCTCCACCTTGACACTAATCTCCAGCGATTCCACATCCCTGGACAAATCCTCCTCCTCCGTGTCGGCGGTTGACTTGAGCTTCTCCTCCAGCTGGCGTTCATCGAAATCGGGTATTATGTCGGTAATGTCTTTGTCCGACTTCAGAACCTTGGCCACGTCCGCCACGATCTTGGCCACCTCTTCCTCGCGCGGTGACAGTGGTCGCATCGGCTGGACTGGCAGAATTCCCGACTTGTCGCTGGGCGGCGAGAAGCGATGCTCCTCATCCTCCTCCTTGATGTCATGCAGCACGGGCTCATCCCGCTCGCAGATCGTCACTGTGAACTCCGGCGAGCCCACGGTGGTGATGTGGGTCTCTCGCAGCTCCGAGAATGTGCCCAGATCCAGGCCGCTGCTGGCGGTGACTTCCTCGGAAGTCTGTGCATCGGTTGTCTTCTCACTGCTCACTTTCTCCGTCACCTCCTGGACTTTTTGCTCGACGGTCTCCACGGCGGAGCTCAACAGGTTCGTCACGCTGCTGATTTTGGTGTCCAGCACTGATTTGATCTGCGTCAGCTGCTCGCTGCTCTCCTTGCTCACCTGCTCAAGGGTCTCGGCCACTGTGGTCTGTACCTGCTTCACCGAGCTCTCTAGCTTCTCCTCCACCTGCTTCACCGAGCTCTCTACCTTCTCCTCCACCTGCTTCACGGAACTCTCGACCTTCTCTTCCACCTGCTTCATTGAACTCTCGACCTTCTCCTCCACCTGCTTCACCGAACTCTCGACCTTCTCCACCTTCTCTTCCATCTGCTTCACCGAACTCTCAACCTTCTCCTCAACCTCTTTCACCACCGAGGTCTCCAGCTTCTCGACTTTCTCCTCCACTTTGGAGGAAATGCCTTCGAACAACGATGTACTCGATGACTCCTTGGTTACGATCTCTGTTTCTAATTGGGTCTCCTTCAGATCCAGAAGATCTTCAACAACCTGGCTGACTTCCTCGAGAACTGGAGAGGCTTCGTCCACTGGGCTGGAGACTGTGTGTGCCGTATCCGACTGCGAAAGCTCCGCTGGCTTGGAAAGTGCAGCTGGAGGAGCAGAGGAGAGCTCAACTAGTACTTGCGAGAAGTCTCCTTCGGCCACATCGACGGGACTCGAGAGAGTGGGAAGCTTGCCCTTGGGAATCTCGCTTGCAATATGGGTAAGGGGCAGACTTAGGTCGGCGATGGACCGTGGACCTTCTTCAATGGGAGATGAGGCGGTCTCGGCGACTGACGCTGGTCGAGATGCTTCCTTTGAGGCAGCTGGTGACAACTTGTCGGCCACCGATTCGGGACGCGAAGGAAGCGGCGACTTTTCATCTTTGCCAGTCTCGGCTAAAGACTCGATGGCTTCTGCGACTGAGGCTGGGCGGGATGAATCCTTGGGTGAGGCGGCCACGGACGCTTCCTTTGATTTCTCATCAGGTACGTGGTCGGAGGACTTGGTGGCCACCTCCGCCACCGAAGCTGGCCGGGAGCCTTCTAGTTTTCCACTCTCCACAATGGACTCACGACGACTTTCTGGCCTTTCAGCTTCGTCCTTGACGCTTTCTACCACGGATTCTGGTCGTGATGCTTCCTTGGAGGCCGGCGCAGATTTGTCATCCTTGCTGCTTTCCGCCTTTACACTTTCGGCCACGGACTCTCGTCGAGATGCCTCCTCCTCCTTTGCCTTCTCAGCTTCATCCTTCACACTTTCCACTACGGACGATGGTCTTGAGGTTTCCTTGGATGCCAATGCGGACTTTTGGTCCTTATCACTTCCTGCTGCCACCGACTCAGGCCGAGATGGTTCCTTGGACTTCTCAGCCACCTCATCCTTGGCACTTTCGGCCACGGATGCTGGTCTAGAGGCTTCTTTGGATGCCAATGGGGACTTATCGTCCTTGGCACTCTCCGCCTTAACGCTTTCGGCCACGGACTCACGCCGAGATTCCTCCTTGGACTTGATGGCCTCATCCTTGATGATCTCCGCCACAGATTCTGGCCGAGAAGCCTCCTTCGACTTGATGGCCTCATCCTTGATGCTCTCCGCCACTGATTCTGGACGGGAAGCCTCCTTGGACTTGATCGCCTCATCCTTGATGCTTTCCGCATGGGCGCTTTCTGCCACAGATGCTGGTCGGGATGCTGGTTCGTCCTTGACACTTCCGGCAACGGACTCCGGACGGGAAGCCCCTGTCGAGACGACCTTGATGCTTTCGGCCACCGACTCTCGTCGGCTCTCTGGCTTTTCGGCTTCGTCCTGAAGACTCTCTACTACTGATCCGGGTCTTGAGACTTCCTTTGAAGCACCTTCAATGGGGGACTTGGATTCCTTAGATTCCTTGGCACTGTCAGCCACCGATTCCCGTCGGGATGGTTCCTTTGACTTTTCAGCCTCAGCCTCGTCCTTGTCCTTGGCGCTTTCTGCCACTGATCCTGGCCGTGAAGCATCCTTGGAGGCCTGAGCGGACTTCTCATCCTTGGTGCTCTCGGCCTTGGCGCTTTCTGCCACAGATGCTGGTCGGGATGCTGGTTCATCCTTGACGCTTCCGGCAACGGACTCTGGACGGGAAGCTTCCTTGGCACTCTCGGCCTTGATGCTCTCGGCTACCGATTCCCGGCGGCTTTCCACCTTCTCAGCCTGATCCTTGATGCTTTCGGCGACTGACTCGGGGCGGGAGACTTCCTTGGAGGCAGGGGCGGACTTTTCATCCTTAGTGCTCTCGACCTTAACGCTCTCGGCGATGGACTCACGACGTGATGGATCCTTTGACTTCTCCGCCTCGTCCTTGGTGCTTTCTGCCACGGAATCTGGTCGGGAGGCTTCCTTCGAGGCCTGAGCGGACTTCTCATCCTTCGTGCTTTCTACCACGGAATCTGGGCGGGAGGCCTCCTTCGAGGCCAGCGGAGATTTCTCGTCCTTTGCACTTTCTGGCTTTACACTTTCCGCCACGGATTCACGACGACTCTCAGCCTTTTCAGCTTCATCTAGAATGCTTTCTACGACAGAGCCAGGACGAGAAGGTTCTTTTGAGGCAAGTGGCGATTTCTCATCCTTTGTGCTCTCTGCCTTGTGGCTTTCTGCTACCGATTCTCGCCGGGATGGCTCCTTGGACTTTTCCGCTTCATCTTTTACGCTCTCCACCACGGATTCTGGTCGTGAGACCTCCTTGGAAGCCAAAGGCGACTTGTCGTCCTTGGCACTTTCTGGCTTTACACTCTCGGCAACTGACTGTCGACGGCTTTCGGGCTTCTCGGCTTCATCCTTAATGCTTTCTGCCACTGATTCCGGGCGGGAAGCTTCCTTTGAGGCGAGCGGTGACTTTTCGTCCTTCAGGCTTTCCAGCTTAATGCTCTCCGCGACGGATGCCGGTCGAGATGGCTCCTTGGACTTTTCTGCCTCGTCCTTGACACTTTCCACAACGGATTCGGGCCGGGAGGTGACCTGCGAGGCAGAAGCAGATATTTCGGGCTTAATGCTTTCTGCCACAGATTCGCGACGGCTTTCGGGCTTCTCAGCTTCATTCTTAATGCTTTCTACAACTGATCCTGGCCTGGAGCCATCTTGGGATGCAGTAGTTGTAGCTTTAAGGCTGCCTGCGATCGATTCTCGTCGGCTCTCCTCGGGCTTTTCATCTTCGTCCTTGGGTAAAGTGGATGCTGGTCGGGAAACCTCTGGCGATTTCTCCTCCTTTGTGCTATCTGCCTTGACGCCTTCTACCACAGATTCTGGTCGGGATGGTTCCCTAGATTCCTTGCCAGTTTCAGCTGCAACGCTTTCCTTTGAGTCTGTTGGAGATGGCTTTGTACTATCGACGACTATTTGTGGAGTGCTTTCGGTTTCGTCCTTTATGCTTTCAACGACGGATCCTGGGCGAGAGACTTCCTTCGATGCCAGCGGGGATTTGTCATCCTTGCTGCTCTCCGCCTTGGTGCTTCCTGCCACAGATTCTGGGCGGGATGGCTCCTTGGATTTGTCAGCCTCATCGGCAACAGCAACCGACTCTCGACGGCTTTCCGAGATCTCTGCCTCCGCCTTAACGCTCTCCACCTTGGTGACTTCCTCCTTGGCGATTCCTGCCACGGATGGTGGACGCGATGACTCCTTGGATGCTTTTTCGGAAACGTCTTTAATGCTTTCCACCACGGATTCCGGCCGGGAAGTCTCCTTCGACGCCAGAGGGGATTTATCGTCCTTAGCGCTCTCGCCCTTAATGCTTTCGACTACAGATGGTGGACGCGATGAATCCTTGGATGCCTGCTCCTTTGTACTTTCTGCCACGGATTCACGACGAGATGCCTCCTTTGAGGCGATTGCGGAGCTGGGTTTCTCAGCCTCATCCTTGGCACTTTCAGCAGGAGATTCGGGGCGCTCCTCCTCGGGAGATCCAATTAGGGATTTCGGTGCCTCGTCCACAGGACTCGATGCTGTCTTCTCAATGTCCACTTTGGAGAGTTCAGCTGGCTTGGTTGCTGCTTGAGAAGTTGGAGAGCTTGTGGGTGTGGCTGTCTGGGGGAAGTCGCCATGGGCCACATCCACGGGGCTGGACAAAGTTGGTAGATTACCCTTTGCGTCAATGCTCAAGGGCAGCACAAGTTCGGCAAAGTCCTTGGGTGCTTCCTCGATCGGCGATGATGCTGTGGTCTCTGCCGCAGACGCCGGACGTGACGATTCCTTGGATTTGGCAACAACATCCTTCGCTTCTGCTGATTTTTCCTCCACTTCTCCGTCATCCTTGTGACTTTCTGCCACTGATCCGGCCCTCGAGGGTTCCTTCGACTTGTCATCCTTGTCATCACTCTCTGCGCACTCGGCGGGAGAATCTGGTCGGGATAGTTGTTGCTCCGGAGCAGACGGGGTTCTTGGAGCCTCGTCTACAGGTGACGAGACCGTGACAGCAGCAGCACCAACCGTTGAAAGCTCTGCCGGTTTGGTGGCTGTGGTGGTGCTTCCACCAGTAGCGACGACATGGGTAAAGTCACCCTCGGCCACGTCAACAGGACTCGAGTCTGTGGGCAGTTCTCCCGCTGCAGGACTCTTTACTTGCAGGCTAAGAGCTAGGCTAGCTCGTTTCACCACTTCGATCTCCGGGAACTCCATGGCCGCCTCCTCGATGGGTGAGGAGGCAGTTTCGGCAGCAACCGACTCTGGGCGGGATGCGTCTTTGGGGGAAATGGAAAGCTTGGACTCGACGGCCGCTTCTTCATGATCACTGGCCACCGATAATGGTCTGGGTGAGGACTCCTTCGAAATGACAGCGACGGATTCCCTTGGAGAGGGCTCCTTTGATTTGTCGTCCCCATCCTTGATGCTCTCCGGTTTTTCCAGCTCATCCTTAACACTTTCAGCCACCGACTCTGGCCGGGAGACTTCCTTCGATGCCAATGGGGACTTCTCTTCCTTGGCACTAGAAGCCTTTAGGCTTTCAGCTACCGATTCCCGACGACTTTCTGGTTTCTCTGCTTCATCCTTTACACTTTCCCCAACGGATTCCGGGCGCGATTTATCGTCCTAATTGGAAGGGGTAGAAAAAATAATAATTTCAAATTTAATAAAAGTTAAAGGAAACCGAGAACATTTTACAAAATTATTTGTAAAAAAAATTGTTAGAACCGATTTAGTACTTTAGCTCCTTACCTCAAATATCACATACCCATTACACTGTTAAACAATTTTGAAATAAATATGGACGTCATGGCAACGTAACTGACTGAAGTTTACGATTTGTGATTACATACTTTTCAAAGAATACAATATACCTTTTTGCCACAAGAGTAATGGGTATCTGATATTCGAATATATGGTAAACTTCCTACCTGGATAGCTTCCGCTTTGAGGCTCTCAGCAATTGATTCCCTTCGCGATGGCTCCTTCGATTTGTCGGCGGCTTCATCTTTCACACTTCCTGCCACAGATTCTGGCCGGGATGCTTCCTTGGAAGCCAGCGGAGACTTTTCATCCTTTGAACTATCTGGTTTAATGCTCTCTGCGACCGATTCTCGTCGGGATGGTTCCTTTGATTTGTCGACTTCGTCCACCTTAACACTCTCTGCGACGGATTCTGGTCGAGAAACTTCCTTCGAGGCTGCTGCAGACTTCTCGGCCACCGAGTCGCGACGACTCTCCGGCTTCTCGGCTTCGTCCTTAAGGCTTTCTACCACCGAATCCGGTCTCGATGCCTCCTTGGAGGCCAGCGGTGATTTGTCATCTTTGGTACTCTCCGCCTTGATGCTTCCGGCTACAGATTCGCGACGGGATGGTGTCTCCTTAGATTTGTCGGCTTCGTCTTTAATGCTCTCCGCCACAGACACTGGCCGAGAAACTTCCTTCGAAGCACCACTCTCTGCCACAGATTCGCGACGACTTTCTGGCTTTTCAGCTTCGTCCTTCAGGCTTTCCACCACTGATTCTGGTCTTGATGCTTCCTTTGAAGCTGCTGCAGACTTTTCTGCCACAGATTCGCGACGACTGTCTGGCTTTTCAGCTTCGTCCTTCAGGCTTTCCACCACTGATTCAGGTCTTGATGCTTCCTTCGAAGCTGCTGCAGACTTTTCTGCTATAGATTCGCGACGACTCTCCGGCTTTTCTGCTTCGTCCTTTACGCTTTCCACCACGGATTCAGGTCTTGATGCCTCCTTGGAGGCCAGGTCCTTGCTGCTTTCGGCTACCGACTCCCGCCGAGATTCTTCCTTGGACTTGCCGGCCTTCTCCTCATCCTTCACACTCTCGGCAACGGATGCTGGTCTGGAGGCTTCCTTGGATGCCACTGGAGACTTCTCGTCCTTGGCACTCTCCGCCTTAACGCTTTCGGCCACGGACTCTCGTCGAGATGGCTCCTTCGACTTGTCAGCCTTCTCCTCATCCTTCACACTTTCTGCCACGGATGCTGGTCTGGATGCCATCGGTGACTTTTCTGCCACAGATTCGGGACGAGAGGCTTCATTTTTGACGCTTCCGGCCACCGATTCACGACGAGATGCTTCCTTGGACTCCTTGGCCACGGACTCTGGCCGGGAAGCCTCCTTTGAGGCCAGTGCAGACTTATCGTCCTTGGCACTCTCAGCTTTCACACTTTCCGCAATGGATTCTCGCCGGGATGGAGTCTTCGATTTGTCAGACTCGTCTTTAACGCTTTCTACCTTGGATTCCGGTCGGGATGGTTCCTTGGAGTCCTTGGTGCTCTGGTTTGGCTTAACGCTTTCAGCGAGGGACTCGCATCGGCTTTCTGGCTTCTCCGATTCATCCTTCACGCTTTCCACCACAGATTCCGGCCTGGAGACCTCCTTTGAGGGAACGGCGACTGGAGATTTGTCGCCAGTAAGAATTTCTGGCTTTGTACTTTCAACAGATTCACGACGGCTCTGCTCCTTTTCAGCCGCATCCTTAACGCTTTCCACAACAGACTCGGGTCGTGAGAGTTCCTTTGCGGCGGCATCGGAAACCGGAACCTTAACGCTTTCCACAACAGATTCCGGCTTATCGGTGTCGTCCTTTTCGCTTTCGGCCACTGAATCCGGCCTGGAGACATCTCTAGACACAGCGGGCGACTGGTCAATCTTGCTGGTTTCCGTCTTAACGGATTCCGCAACGGATCCTGGCCGAGATGGTTCCCTGGACTTGTCAGCCGCCTCATCCTTGGCACTTTCGGCCACGGATGCTGGTCTGGAGGCTTCTTTGGATGCCAATGGGGACTTATCGTCCTTGGCACTCTCCGCCTTAACGCTTTCGGCCACGGACTCACGCCGAGATTCTTCCTTTGACTTGATGGCCTCATCTTTGATGCTCTCCGCTACGGATTCTGGACGGGAAACCTCCTTGGACTTAATGGCCTCATCCTTGATGCTCTCCGCCACAGATTCTGGCCGGGAAGCCTCCTTGGACTTAATCGCCTCATCTTTGATGCTCTCCGCATGGGCGCTTTCTGCCACAGATGCTGGTCGGGATGCTGGTTCGTCCTTGACGCTTCCAGCAACGGACTCCGGACGGGAAGCGTCTTTGGACTTGATCGCCTCATCTTTGATGCTTTCCGCCACAGATTCTGGACGGGAAGCCTCTTTTGAGACGACCTTGATGCTTTCGGCCACCGACTCTCGTCGGCTCTCTGGCTTTTCGGCTTCGTCCTGAAGACTCTCTACTACTGATCCGGGTCTTGAGACTTCCTTCGAAGCACCTTCAATGGGGGACTTGGATTCCTTAGATTCCTTGGCACTGTCAGCCACCGATTCCCGTCGGGATGGTTCCTTTGACTTTTCAGCTTCGTCCTTGTCCTTGGTGCTTTCTGCCACTGATCCTGGCCGTGAAGCTTCCTTGGAGGCCTGAGCGGACTTCTCATCCTTGGTGCTCTCCGCCTTGGCGCTTTCTGCCACTGATGCTGGTCGGGATGCTGGTTCATCCTTGACGCTTCCAGCAACGGACTCCGGACGGGAAGCTTCCTTGGAGGCAGCGGAAGACTTCTCGTCCTTGATGCTCTCGACCACAGATTCCCGGCGGCTATCCACCTTCTCAGCCTGATCCTTGATGCTTTCGGCGACTGACTCGGGGCGGGATACTTCCTTGGAGGCAGGGGCGGACTTTTCATCTTTAGTGCTCTCGACCTTAACGCTTTCGGCGATTGACTCACGACGTGAAGGTTCCTTTGACTTCTCCGCCTCGTCCTTGGTGCTTTCTGCCACGGAATCTGGTCGGGAGGCTTCCTTCGAGGCCTGAGCGGACTTCTCATCCTTGGTGCTTTCTACCACGGAATCTGGTCGGGAGGCTTCTTTGGATGCCAATGGAGATTTCTCATCCTTTGCACTTTCCGGTTTGAAGCTTTCTGCAGTGGATTCCCGGCGGCTTTCTTGTTTCTCAGCCTCTAGGACATCGAGGACATGTTCGAGAGCGGATTCGGGCCTCGAGGTTTCCTTCGAAGCCGGTGCAGACTTCTCGTCCTTGTGGCTTTCCGCCACGGACTCGCGTCGGGAGGGTTCCTTGGACTTGTCGGCCACCGAAACGGGTCGGGATGCTTCTTGGGAGGCAGCGGGTGGAGACTTCTCGGCCACCGATTCTCGTCGACTTTCAGGCTTCTCATCTAGGGCCTCGACTTTGACGCTCTCCGCAACGGATTGCGGACGCGAAGCTTCTTTGGACGCGGCTGGGGACTTCTCATCGGGCTTAGCCACTTCGGATGCCACGGATTCTGGGCGGGATGCCTCCTTGGAGGCAAGTGGTGACTTTGCCGGTTGGGCTTCCTGCTTGGCCTGCACCTCGACTTCGATGGCCTCCTCGATGGTGGCGGGACTCTCCATGGACACGGTGTCCTCGCGTTCTTTGGCCTCCTTGGGATCTTTGGGCAGGGGCACAGTGGCCGCAGGTGCCGATGGTGCAGCCAGCTGTGCGGGAAGCTCATCCTCGGAGGTTATGTCGCTGGTCTCCTTCTCCTCGGGAGTGCTGGCCGACTTCTTGGCCTCCTTTTCGGTAATGATTCCACCTGACTCGGCCTCTTGCTCCTCTTCCTTTTGCTCCTTTTGCTCCTCTTGCTGTTTAGTGGTCGTCTCCACTATCTGTTCGGTTTCCAGGGTGACCAACTGCTCCTCCTTTGGCTTCTCTTCCTTGAGTTCCACTTTAGATTCTTCCACTTCCACTTCCGGTTGCTTTTCCTTTTCCGGTTGAGCTTCCTGTTCCTGCTCGACGACCTCTTCCTTGGCCTCCTTTTCGTCATCGGTCTCCTTCTCCTCCTTGGCCGACTCCTCCTTGTGCGAAATGCTCTTGGCGCCCGCATCCTGGCTGCCGTCCTTCTCGTACAGGCCAAGATCGGCTTCCTCGTGGACGGGCAAATCGGCCACCTCGTCGGGCGTTTTGATGACATCGCGCAAGAGATTCTGCTGCGCCTCGAAGGTCATCTTCATGGGCAGCACCCGTTCGCCGGGTAGCTCGCCTGCTAGTTCGCCCAATAGGTCAATCTTCTTGGCGGCATCCTGGGGGGCATCCTTGGGAGCAACCGCTACCTCGATGGCCGAGGGATCCTGAAGTTCGGGCAGAGCCTGGACGGTGGCCACCACCACAACGGTGGCCTCCACCTCCTTGGTCTCCTCCTTCACGTACTTCTCCTCGATCACCAGATCCTCCTTGATCTGATCCAAGGGTATGCGCTCATCCTCGGGCAGCGTGGGTGCCGTGGTGGCCCCCGACTCAATGGTGGCCGAGAACTTCTCCTCGGGCAGGCTCTCCTGCAGATTGATGGGCACCGCATCGACGGGGGCTCCGCCAACGGGCTCATCCTTCGTATCGGACGTCTTCTTGCTCAGCTTCTCCTCGGGCGTGGGCGAGGAGAACTCCTCCTCCTTGTTGGCCAACTGATCGTCGGTTCGCGACTTTACAATCGTCTTGGCCGTGGCAATGATCTCCTGCACCTCGGCCTTGATCTCGCCGTGCTCCTCTTCATCTCCTTCCTGCTCCTGCTCCTGTTCCTGCTCCGATTCCTGCTCCTGATCCTGCACTAGACGAGCCTTGCGCTCGGCTGCCTCCACCTTGGCAATGGCCGCCTCGATCTCCTCCTCGGCGCTCTTCTTGCGCTTCTTCTCCGACTCCTGCGAGTCGCGCTGATGCTTCTGGATCTCCTCCTCCTTGGTCATGCTGCTCTCCTGCTCGACAATGGAATCCTCGGTATACTGCTCCACCTCCTCCTTCTCGATGATCAGGTACTCCTCCTCCTCCTCGGGCTCCTCACCGCCGCCGGCGGGCATCTCGCGTAGCTCGGCCTTGATCTGCTGATGCTGCTGTCGCTTCATTTCATCCCGACTGAACACAGCCTCAATCTCGCGCACCACCTCCTGCTCCTCCTTGAGGTCGTCCAGTTCGCGCTGCTTCTCGGCATCGAGTTCCTGCGAGGCGGTCAAGTCCTGCAGTTTCTTGGCTGCCGTCGCCTCGTCGACGGAGGGCGTGGAGACCAGGCTGGAATCGGTGGTTCCACCGGCCTTCTCGAGCCGCGACTTCTTGAGCTCCGCCGCCGGCACCTTGGGCTTGGCCTGCTTCACCGGACTGCCGGGTGCCGGTGCTCGCTTGGAGGGCGAAACCCCGCGAGGTCGCCTCGAGATGGGTTTCCTCTGGGCAGCCGCTGCCGTCGCCGTTGTCTTGGCTTCCACCTGCTGCTGTTGGACACGCCTTTCACTGGTGGTCACCCGCCTGCTGGAGGTGGCGCTCTGTACTCTGGCCGCCTGCTGCTTGGACTCTAGTACCTTCCGATTGTTCGCCTCCTTGGCGCTCTTCGCCGGCGTGCTGCTCGGACTGGACTTGGTGGTGCTGCTGGACACCGGTGGCCGGCTGCTCAGCGGCACCTTCGCCTTGGCAGCCGCTGCTCGGGCCGCCGGCGTGGCCGTTGGCGAGCTCTTCTTCTCCTCCGAACGCTTTGCCAGCTTGCGATCCATGGACTTGGGCGGCTTGGTATCGATGCGGGAACGCACCACGGGCTTAACCTCGGCACGCGGCTTTTCCGCTGCCTTCTCTTGCGTCGCCTTCTCCGACTTTGCCGACTTGGCTGCCACCTTGCCAACTGGCTTGGCTGCATCCACTGCATCCTTGACTTGAGGTTGAGAGACCGCCTGTTGACTGGGCTTCATGATCAGCACCTCCACCTTCTTCTCTTCTCCGACATCCTTGTTGTTGTCCTGCTGCTCGGCTTCAGGTTCGTGTTCAGGTTCGGCTTCCGTCTCCGGCTCAACCACAGCCTCATCTCCCGTGTCAGCGGGTTCGGCTTCGGGTTCGTGCTCCACCTCCGCATCCGTGTCCATGGAATCGGCTTTAGTGCGGACTATGGAAGCAGCGCTTGCAGCTGCAGCAGCAGCAGCAGCCGCAGCGGCCGCTTCCTTAGCCTCCTTGGCCTTGTTGTCCTGCTGCTGGGGATGCTGAACAGATAGCTTCCCGGACTTGTAACTAGCACTCGGTGGAGCCGGCGTGGCCTCGATGGCCGACTTGAGCGACTTGCGCGCTCCCACCACCGTCTGAATGGCGGGGGCAATCGACTTGGCCGTGCAGGTGGAGTGCTTCATAAACTCCAAGTGCTTGAGCTTCTCGAGACCCTCCTGGATCTTAAAATCGGGCGTGCTGCCTGGGAAGAGAATGCGGGTGATGGTGTCATCCGGATTGGCCGGCTGCCAGACGAGCAGGGCGCATATGGATACCAAGTTCTGCAGGGGAAAGTTAAAGTCACGCGACTCGCGGGCGGCGAATAGACGCTGATCGCCGGCATGCCACTTTTGGAGGAACTCCTTCACCTCCTTGGAGTCGCGAGCCGGACTTATCACATACATGTCCAGCGTGCCGTGGCCCACCTTGTGGTAGAGATTGACCGGCTCCTGGTTGCGGTAGCAGCCCTGCGGCTTCAGATCCAAAGCCTTCAGGTCGCTGACGATGCCATGGCCGCGCTCGAAGAGATCGATCAGCAGGGGATCGCGATCCTTGTCGCCATCGGGGCTGGGCAGGCCGCGGCGGTCAGGTACGTTGCCAAAGAAGTGCCCAATCTGCGGGTAGACATGCGAGTCCCGCTTGCGCGAGACCACTGCCCCCAATCCCTGGACATTGCTGTTGTTCAGCCGCGTCATCAGCACCGCATCGAGTCGGTCCAGGTGGCGGGCAAAGTCCCAGAAGCAAGCCTTTCGATTGAAGCCGCCATCAACTGGAAAAGGTAAGGTATAACGTTTACATTATTTATTTATCTAAGTTCCTAGCACTACAAGTTAAACTTGTATATTAATGTGCTAGAATAATTTAGTAAATAATCTTAAAAACAGCTGTTTTAACAACAGTTACATAGAAATGACACATAATAAATAAAAATATTTATATATCATACAAAAAAATAAAGAAAAAATAAAAAAAAATAAAGAAAAAAAATAATAAAAAAATATAAAAAAAAAAAAAAAATGGGATACAAATTTTGATTGAAACATATAGTTTCTTACAAAGTTATTTTAGTTAATTTAAATATTTTAAGCCAGACACGCGGGAAACATTTGCGGTCACACGCCTATCTTGTATGGGGCACACGTCGATTCTTTTCTGCGTCGCTGACTGTACTTACCCAGCATGTTAAAGCCGTTGATCCCAAAGAGAGCCGCATCACCCTGACCGCCGGGGAAGACGTATAGCGTGGGATGGGTGAAGCGGATGTTGCCCACCACGTCCGAGGTCTCTAGCAGCTCCCTCAACGAAGTTGGCATTACCATGGGCGCCAGGTAATCTGCATTAGAACATACGAGCCGATTATATTATCCCAAAACCTAGAGTGTTTACTAGAGGTTTCACCTATGAATCCGTTGATGCACTCGCTGCTCGTGTCCAGGACATCGACGGGATTGATCCGGATCCGGCACTGGCGCGCAAAGGCCTTCTCGGGCAGAGTGTGCCAAAGACCGGCGTCCGCGCAGTGGATGTTCATGGTAATGGTGTCCGCATAGGCCCGAATCACCCTTTGTACGTCGTGCTCCTGGAAGGCCTCCGAGAAGTCCGCCACCGAGAAGGTTCCGTCCTGTGAATCGAGAAGGAAACGAATGAGATTGAGGGTAAAAATAAGGGGAATCCCCAGACTGTGACCCACCTGCAGTATCCAGGAACCATTGCCGCTGAAGGTGTATCCGGCGTGGATGATGTGCCGGTGGCGGGTAAAGCTGCTGAGTAGGTTTCGCATGCATTGGATAAGCGTGTTGTACTGCGGGTGGATGAGCACCTCCGTCACCAGATTCTCGCTGGCATACTGGATGAGTCGTTCGCCTGCGAAAAAAAAGAAGGTTGTTCTATTAGTTCGCATGTTAATTTTCCAATTTTCCACTTCCATTGAGAGTAGCGAGTACCATCAATAAAGAGGTGCGAGTAGCGATTGAGAGTAACGAGTGTAGGGTCTAACTAGCGAGTAAGAAAATTCTTGATGTGCTATCAAGTTCATTTTCTCCCTATCCGATATTCAATGGCGGAAATGGAGCTAGTGCGATTCATCCACCCTTTTGTGGGCTGACCTCTTTCTATCAGGGGGCAATCACACCGTCTGGGAGTCACCCCTTCCTTCAAGTTAACGGATAACCAGATAACCAGATGGTCAGAGGTGCTGCCAGCGATGCCAGGCACGGACTTGGACTCGAGCACGCACGCCGCATCAAGTGGATTTGGATTGTCAAGCGTTGGCTTTATTGTCTCGACTGCTGTTGCACAAGTGTCTCCCCCTTCTTGAAGCTCCGTTGCCATGGCTAGAAATTATTTAATGAATCTTTAATTTTAATGCTTTAATTAAGCCCTCAGTTGTATGTGCTCTGCCGCTGTTCATACTCTCAGGTTGAAGCGACCTTGCCGGCGACCTTGGCTACCTCCCCTTGGACTTACCACAATGAGGATGATAATGAGGGGGGCTATGATGAGGCCTTTTCGTTCGCCCTCGTCCGAAATGGTTTTATGCGTATCCGAATGTGAATACGAATGCGTACGTACGTAAATAATTTACGCATTTTCCGCACTAAATAGTCGTTGACAAGCCAACTGCAGGGTGGACAAATGGCTAAAAGGGATGGATGTGTGATGGGTGATGGCTGCACCACCATCACTACTGGTCAAATGTGCTCACGTACGCGTAAAAAATACAAGACAAGAGCATCGGTGGATGGTTAGTTAACTCGTGGGGCTTCGCTTAGTCCAGCTGTTGGCACTGTGAACCACATGTGTGTGTATCCCTTGTGCTTTTTATAAAAGATAATCTCGACGACCCAACCCGACCTGCGTTTTGCCGTATGTGTGCTCTTCTACGGCTTATTTTTAACGCACCGAACACGGAACATATTCGTATATATACAACACACTGTTGGTGCGTATACGCAATTCGCTGAATTTAGGTCGCCAACTACCTCGGGAGCTGTCTCTACCATTTTTCTTCCTCCACTGTGCTTCGCTGTCCCTTGCAGAGGACATTATCGTAAGAATGTTTAGTTTATAACTGGGCTGTAGACGTCGTACGCGTCGTAGCAAGAAGGAGATCACAGGGGCTGTGGCCTGGGGCCAGGCGGCATTAGCACTGCCAAGTGGCCTACACGTCAACGTTTTAGCTCCCCGGAAGGGGAATAAACTGGATTGCATTGGCATGGAATGGAATGGAATTCGGTTGCAGATGACAATAAATTTCTATTGAAATAAGGCTTCAAGTTGACTGTCAATTTGTGTTGGTAATCTCCTTTTGCCTTCTAGTTTTTTGATGTGCCCTGAATTCCAGACACAAGATCCCCGATCACATAAATAACCAGTCTAGTGTAGTATAGTTATAAAACCAGTTTCTTTTTCATATTAAACTTTTAGTTTTTTAATGTTTAAAAAAAAAATAATTTTTTTTAATAAAAGTAGTTAAATTTTCTTAATTTAATTCCTAGCAAACTAAATCGACTTGTAAGGATTCATATTAAATAGTAAGATGAGGACACTTGAAAAGTGTAGCACACCACCGCAGAAGATCAGGTGGTCAGGGATTGAGTGGTCTACTGGCGACTCCTCGACAAAGTTCGCCAAGCCGCACACCCACACACAATGTAAAAAGTTGCACCAAGTGCTAGGTCCGCCACTTGACAAATAATACAGAACGGAAATGGGCGAGGAGGGTCTCTAGAATCGCCGGATTCAAATCCGGATTCGGACTGGGATTCGAACTCGGGACAGGGAATCGCAGGGAATCCGCACCTCGTGCCAAAGTGGCAACATGGCGCCAGATTAACCGTTAATAACTGCAGCCGGGCTTTGGGCCTTACGAACGTGGCCAGCAGCAGAGTTACCAACTTTTTCCGAAAACAAAAGCGAAAAATGGAAAATAAAAAAATTTGCATAACAGCAGCAGCCGGAAACTTTTTGTGTTTTATGATTTCGTTTTTTTCGTTTTCGTATTTTTTTTTCGGTTCTTTTTGTTTGGGCCTGCAAAGTAATTACAGTTACAGGCGCCGGTCAGCCCTTCTTCTGCTTATTCTTCCCCGCCACCCACTTTTGAACCCTACTCGCCACTCGCCACCACAGTTGGGAAAAAGTTTACTGTCAAACCAACGTGGACGTGTTAAAAAAAGTTTCCAATGACCTTTTGCGCCCTCCTCTTGTGGGCCTCGCCCAAAAAAAAGAAATAGGAAGTCGTCTTTCAAATTAAATAATGAGACAACTTATTGAGTTTAAATTTGAAATCTTCAGAAATTATTTCCTAGCTTTAAAGTCAATGTTGAGAGGATGGTTTTCTCATTATTTTTGCTAGGAAGGTCAGGAAATTAGAAGAGCATGTCCCTCCTATTCCATATTTCGTGTAAAGTCACATTAATAATATATCACATAGCTCACATATGGCCACTTTATCCCCTGATGAACATATATAACATATATTAACGCTGTGCATATTCATGTAGCTGTGAATGTGCCACAGTTCATCTTCGCAGCTCCGTGTTTTCAGCTCCCCTGAGTGGGCAAAGGCCTTAATTGGCTGCGCTTATCCTGCGCGTCCTGGTAGCATCGCAATATTTACAAACGTCCAGTACACTAATCCCTGGGAATTATGATGATGATAGTTTAATTAGCGGTTTCGGGGGGTTGTGCACGTGGCATATCCGTATATCCATATATAGGGATACAGGAGCATAGCCATCGGCCATCGGCCATCACTGGCATCATTAATCAGGGCACATAATGTGCTGTGGAATCTTCTCTGGTTACGTAAATGTATATGGACTTGGGCCACTCATGAGGATACTCGGGTTTTTGTTTTCGTGGGGTTTTCATCATCGGCTGATGAGTGAGCTCCTGTTGAACAAAGCCAATAACATGTTGTAAACGTCAAGCGATGTGTTCTCACTTTTCTCACCAACCCGTCCACCAGTCCGTCCGTCCGTCCAACAACCCATAATTAAAAGGATGCGCCGCGAAGAGTCTCCCGCAAATGACAGACGTCAGCTGTTCCTCCTCCCGTTACTCGCTGATATTAATTGATGTCCTGTCAACATGTTACCCGCATTCCATTCACCAGCATAGGGTCCTTAAGGTCCCTATCTACAACACACTCACACACACTTCTCGCTGCATCTCGCTCTACATCATAATAGTTTATTTGCTTATCGCTGCTGGACCAGACCAGTTCTTCTTCCCCACATGGTATGCAAATCATGTGGAAAAAATACGAATTTCATGTGGGTGTGTCAGTTAGTCAGTCTGGCAGTCTGCCTTTGCTATTTGCTCAACTTCTGTCTCTTTCTCTGCTATACATATAGCCCATATAGGCCGTCTCTTTCCTGGCTGAATTATGCATGAGCCTCAGACACACACACACACTAACGGCCATTGTCAATACGGCCTTGTACCCTGCAAGCATTTTCTATCGCGGAAGTCACTATTTAGTGACGTCTAGAAGATGAAAACGATCGTCCGCGATATCGCATTCGGATCGCCGAAGTCACCCCCGTCGGGAAGAACTGTTCCACTACGGCGACACTTCCCGAAGTCACTTCTGAGTGACTCCTAGAAGTGTCGCGGAAGTCACTTCCAGAAGTGACTTCGGCGACGCTTCTAGAAGTGCCGCCGTAGTGGAACATTTCTTCCCGACGGGGGTGACTTCGGCGATCCGAATGCGATATCGCGGAAGTCACTTCCAGAAGTGACTTAGGCGACACTTCTAGAAGTAACTCAGAAGTGACTTCGGGAAGTGTCGCCGTAGTGGAACAGTTCTTCCCGACGGGGGTGACTTCGGCGATCCGAATGCGATATCGTGCAAGTCACTTGTAGAAGTGTCGCCGAAGTCACTTCTGGAAGTTACTCAGAAGACACTTGTAGACGATACCTAGAAGACCCTTTCCCAATTGGAAAATATGTTTTTTGTGCTCATTCTTCATGTTTATTATTTCAACACATTTATTGAAATATATATAGTTGCAAAAGCATTGCGGCATGTAAGCACGGTCCATAAGCTTGTAGGAAATGGTGTTGTATTATTTTATTTAATTCCAGTTCCGTGTTCCGTCTATGAAAATGCTTAAAACAACAAAAAAATAATTAATATTGTGCCATATAAAAATCGGAGGAGGTATTTACCTTTTATAATTAAATAAGTGGAGTATAGTTAAGTTTTCGGTTTGCCCAGAGTTTCACGCCAAGTAATTCCTTTTGCTTTCGGAGGACAGCCTTGTACACGCTTAAATCTGGATTTCTCCAATCACTTTAATTTTTGATGTAAATAAATATTGAATTTTATTTATATTCCACCGGTATGTAATATTTAATAACGGGTTCACTCCGCATTTCAAAACAAACACAGAAACTTAGAATAAATCGCACTGATCACAAAGAAATCTCGAAACGAACTGACGCTCGAATTCAAAATACAAAGTGCGTAGGTCAAAGAGAAAAAAGGGTAGTTTTCAGGTATAAAGAGAGAGCCAAGAGCGGACTGTACCCCAAAGACTTCAAGCCTTTTAGGTAGTCAAATGTGATCTATCGCCATTCTATCGTCCAGAAGTGCCTCAGAAGTTACTTATTCGCGATTTGAACCCTTTTTAGGTAGTCAAATGTATTTTATCGCCATTCTATCGCCCAGAAGTGCCTCAGAAGTTACTTCCTCGCGATTTGAACCCTTTTTGTTTTTGTAAAATGTGTTCTATCGTCTTTCTATCGCCTAGAAGTGTCTTAGAAGTTACTTCTCCACGATCGTGACCCTTTTTGTTTTTGTAAAATGTGTTCTATCGTACTTTAATCGTCCAGAAGTGACCAAGAAGTGACTTCTTCGCGATAGATGTATATTTTGTTTTTGTAAAATGTGTTCTGTCGTGTTTCTATCTTCCAGAAGTTACTAAGAAGTGACTTCTGGACGATAGGCGATAGAAATATCGCCCGTTTGCTTGCAGGGTAGGCACTGCTGTGTGCGTGACTCCCACTCACTTTCCATCTCACTCGCTCTATATATCTGTGTATCCTCCTCGTATAAGTGTGTGTAGGGGGCACGGACGACGGACTCTATCTTTCTATCAATTTTGCATACGTCTTATGCATATCTAGAATTTGTATGGCTTTTCAGGTTAGGGTTGGGTATCCCATTGTGCCACGCCCTCTCTCATCAGCCCATCTTTTCATTGCTTATGTGGGATTCGGCTTAGGCATGATAAGAATGTGTCTAAATCCTCAGATAATCCCAAGACCGGGATGGACTATGAGTGCGGGAGGCGTGAGAACGCAAGGATGGCAGGGTTGGAGAAAATATGTTGGCAAATTCAAATAGTGTCAAAAAAAAAAGAAATCAAACTGAAGCTGAGGACGAGATAATTTAAGAACACTAGCGAGAAGGCAAGTGGAATGTTATCGATTAAAGAGAAGCGAATAAGAGCAACGAGTGAGGAGTTAAAATTGTGAGTATATTCAGTACTTCGAAGCTAAAGCAACGAGGTAACTAGTTTTGAGTAGAAAGAGCGAGTGAGAGTAACGAGTGTAGAGTAGAAAGAGCGAGTGAGGGTGAGTATAGTAAAAAGAGCGAGTCAGAGTAACGAGTGTAGAGTAGAAAGAGCGAGTCAGAGTAACGAGTGTAGAGTCCATATAGCGAGTAGTGCAAGGAAAATCCTGTTTGCACGTCACACCCCCCATTCTTTTGTTTTAACGAAACTCGGCTTCATCACTTTGACGACCCATGGGTGCCTTTTCTTGATAGGGTGCACTTTTAAAGTTGGCAAACTTTTACCGTCCCACAAGGAAACTTAAGTAAACTCCATCAAGCTCAGTTTTTGGCCTGGAGCTTGTCCAACTTTGGACATGAATTTATGGAGTGGGGTCGGGGGAATTATGTGCTTGTTAACGAATTTCTTGGCCATTGAAGACAACCTTCAGTTAGCATCTCAGCACCTTGGTCAGTTTAAGAAGTCCATCCATATTTCGAAGGCGGCCACGCAAGAAGGTGGACAATTTGGACACTGACGCGACGCAAGGCTCCTTTGTCGGGAAATTTTTTTTAGCCCGGGGATCTTAGGTGAGCACAATGAGCTCGGCGAAGCGAGTGCATTCTGTGCATTCTCAATCGAGCCTCGAGTGAACCACCGCCCGCACCACCTGCTCCCCTGGTTTATGCTTATGGCTTATGGCTGTTCCGTTGCACCGCCGCCACCACCATCATTATTGGGCTCTGAACCGCTCGGTGGCGGCACCACTTGAGAATTTTGTTTGAGTAGTTTTCGAGGAGGGAACGCAAACAAAATGCGATTGCAAATGCAAATGGAAAATGAAAAATCCGCTGGCGTTGCCAACTTTTTCCCCATCCGGACAATGGCTAAATGGACGGCATTGAGCGCAGGTGTTGCACTTAGCATGTCCTTCAAGGACAACGCCTCGGCATCGGCAACTCGGCATCTCGGCATAGGAATCAAACAAGAGACCTCCTGCCATTTTTTCTCAATTTTAAGAACATTTTATCTAAAATTCATAATTTTAGCCCTGAGTTATTCGTACTTATTTGAAAGTTTTCGTTCAAGTCGAACTCTTTCAGATTAGGGACAACTTCAACAAATAAAGCTAATCATGGATGGATTTAATCCTTCCCGCAATCTGTGACTTTTCAGACTGCGGGTTTTTGATCCAATTGGATGGAGATGAAGATGGAGATGGAGTGGGAGTCAAATCCCAATCATCTGCAGAACTTGGTTGATGCAGTGGCAACCACTTGAGTGCGTTTCAACAGCGTTTTAGACTAATCTGCAAAGACAACAGCGCTGTCAGCCAGCTTATTGTTGCTCCTGTCGATGACGATGATGATGGTAGGGAAGACGATAATGCTGCTGTTGCTGTTGCACTTGGGCAAATGAAAATGCAGCCTCTCGTTTGGATGCTGCTTTTGGGCCCGAGGTTTATCACAAAAGCCAAAACAACAAAGCAGCCAAACAACAAAGCATGAAAGCGTTGAGCTTTCGGCTTTGTGCATTCAATTGTTGTTCATCCGAGGAGCCCATGCCCTCTGGAATGTGAAATCTGAAATCTGAACACCCCCTCCACTCTACACTCCTCATAACTATTGTCGACAGACAATTGTCATAATAATTCGTTGGAATAACTTTTGTAATTTAAAACACAACACCCATTGTGTGTGTTTGTTGCCCGATTCAAATTCAATTATCTCTGAATGGCACGGCGATTGGCAAATTTGTTTGGCTAATTGTGGTTTGCTTTGTTTAAAAAAATATCTTCTGTTTATAATACTCTTTTTAAAATATTAACAATCAACCCTATTAAACTTAAGGCCATTTTTCGAGCGCAGGTTATATTTAACGTGTGGAATAAACCTTGCAAATGTAAGGGAATTCAGTGTTTGAAGTCTACTTTAAATTTAACATTCGGAAGAAAAAAACGGCCTTAGTTTTGCTACTAGAGGTTGTATCAAACTGTTTTAATATCATGAAAGACCTTTATTAACCATCATATAATCTTTTCGTTCTCAATTTCAAGAACATTTGTTCTCAAATTAATAATTTGAGCCTTGAATTATTCGTGATTTTCTTAGATGGCAGGTAGATAAACAGATTTATAGACTCACCGTGACGGGCTTCCTCGCCCTCGGGCGCATGCTGTGTAATGGTATTGAGCTCCTCTTCCAAGTCGACGTGACAATCGGAAACGTCCCAGGAGAGGAAACCTGCAAGGAAAATAATAAAGGGAAAAAGGCCATTAGATTAACGAAGATCAGCGAAGGAAGTAAGAAGTTAAGTTACTTTAAGTTGGGAAAATTTGATTGGAAATTTTGTGTTCAAAAAGTATGCTACAAATAATTTGTTTTAACAATTCCCCCACAACCAAATTCTGCAATCAAGAATGGTAAATACAATAAGTGTGTAAAGCTGGAAAATACAATGAAAACAGATGGGATTGGTCAACTCCCAGTTCTTCTTCAATTCTTCACATGACAATGCATTAGTTGAATAAATGTTGAGTTTAGTTTGAGAACTGGTGCCAGGATCATTCCGTTTGCCTCGGGCCCCATTCATCATCGGTCGCACATTAGTTTTGTGTAATTATGCACAACGTCTGTGAGCGCAGTTTTGATAAATGAGCCAAGGGGTGGGTCAAAAAGCGGAGACAGAAAGGAGAGGGGATCTGGGAAGTGTCGAGAACTCGAGGTCGCATTACGCATACGCCACGATGGACTGGACTGAACGACTAAACGACTCAACTGAACTGGACGCACCCCGAGAACGCCCTTTGATATTTGTTTGGCCTGCCGTTGTGGCTGCGTATTATGTCATTTAGTCAACAAATTAAGTCAGCAGTCCGACTTTCAACGTGAGCACTTGCAAATACAAGCCACACAGAAAACAAAAATGGCATGGCTAAAATAAATATCTGCACATTATTATTTGATTCTATAAAAGTCTATCAAAAAAAAAAGGGAAGTAGCCAAAATCACCAAGAACGGATTGACATAAAAATCTAAAAACAGGAACATAAATTCGGAAAAAAATCGGTAAAGCGTGCTAATTATAATATTTAACAATAATATATACAACTTATATTAAAAATTAATAGATATAAAACATAGCAAAAAATATTTAAAATGAATATAAAATCTTTGAATTTACTACGTTTTTCTATCAGTGCAGAACCATCCATTTAAATAATTTTCAGGCTCCAGCCGGCTTTCTAAAATTTTCCATAGTTTTCCTCCTGTGTGTGGGCGAACTTTCATTTGTGCGGATGCAGCGTGGCATAAAAAGCAGGGGCAGGTGTTTAGGTGTGTGTGTGTGTGCCGGTAAATTAATCGAATTACTTTTGGGGCATTCAGAAACTGAAGCTGAAGCTTTCCGCTTTCAGCTTTAAGCCCTACGTGACAGGTTCAAGAGGAGCTCCTTTAATTTCCATTTCCCTATGCCTGCCTGCCACGTTTTAGATGTCTCGGAGATCTGACAGATTGTAAATTATCCCTAAGCCTCTTTGGGAAAATTTAATGAACCCTCCAAAGACCCTGGCATCGTTCGTTCTTGTGAATAACTTATTCCAACGATGCCTTAATGAGTGCTTAACTTTCATTTTTATGCCGCCGACGTCGTCGTCAGATGCAAATGAAGTGCTTTTCCCCGCGGAAAAGCTATATGCTACAACTGCTGGCATGCAATATCATTGAATGGTTTTAGATCATCAGTAGAGGAGGAGGAAGCCTCTGCCTAAGCCAGAAAAATATAACAATATTACCCTTTCGCCACCGCTGCTCACTGCGGCAATTTGCACAAATGGCTGGCTGGCAGCAACAAAAGCGGCTAAAAAAAAAACGTAAAATCTTAACACTTTTCAGCCAACACACACACACACTCTGTACTCGGTATACTATATAGTATAAAGCCAGATTCAGGCAGGATCAGGACATTGTGTGGACAAACAAAAGGGAAAGCGAACGAAGAAAAAGGGCAGAGGCAGTCAAAAGCGCCTACAGCGATTGCACAAAAATAATGAGGAAGCGCCCAGGATATGCGACGCCAGCATATATAGTATGTATAGTATATATGCTGTGTGTGTGTATAGAGTAAGGATAAGGATATATGCGGTGGGAGCCTCCCTTTTGAGCAATCATCGAGCGAATGAAGCCACTCAGACGGCGGAGAAAGAGAAGAAAATGAAAAGAAAGGAAGAAAGAAAGCGGCGGAAACAGAAACCGAATCCGAATCCGAGAAACCGAGTCCAAGAAAAACCCCCCTCATTTATTATTTGTGCGTTGAGATATCAGTGAGTGAGACTTCAATTTGCCCAGTGCCATTGCCAGAGACTCACTGCTTATTTATTTATATTTAATTTTTGGCTTAACCCCTGTAGCTCGCTGCTTTGTTTGACCTAAGAACAACAGTTGCTTCTGCATAAATTTATTTAATATATATACTTGGGTATTCATTGTGACTTTGATGGAATCGAAGTAATAAGTCAGTTACTGAAGATCCTTAATTCAGGACTTAAAGACTCTACCCTTAGGGGGAACTCTATATCTCATGAATATATTTCACAATTTACACTATGATTTTACCCTAATAATATGATATATGATACTCTCTTTTAATCAGGGATCCCTTTTTATATATATCACACATAGGGACATTTTAAACCTGTTCTATACCTAATATGATATAATGGAACTATCTTTCAATCAGGGATTCTCCATTTAAGGATAATAATAAACATGCATACGTAGAAAATTACAGTAATATTTCTATGGCTATCTTAACGGCTATACCACATATAGAGAAAAGTCCCAAACCTATTCTATATCCCTTGCATATTTTACAATTTACCCTTTGATTTGCACTTTCTGGGTTAACTCACGATATCGTACGTATAACACGTCACAGAACAGGACCCATCAACTATCCCTGGGCAATCTCATTTTTTCCGCATCCCCGCATTGATTCCTCTTCCGATTTTGGTTCCGATTCCCCTACTTTACCTTACATTACCTTACCTGCGATTGAACGCCCGACAGCCAGGTAATCGAATGCAGACGTGTCAGCCAGACAGACACCTGTTTCCTGTGTCCGGGGCTCTCGGTGCTCGGAGCTCGGAGCTCGGAGCTCGGTCCTCCATCTGCCCCCCGGTGACACATTCCTGAAACCTAACCCCCAATCCCCCCTCCTGATACCACAGCGACACCTCTGTGTTCCGCTTGCCATGGGTGATTACTGATAGGCGCCTGCCTGCCTGCCTCCCCTCCTCTCCTCTTCTTTTGCAGCAAATAGTTGCATAATTCTGTGCGCTCCTTCTCTAAAAGCCACTTTTACTACATCTACATGGGCGTAGGAGGAGAAGGGGGCCCAGTGTTGATTTTGATGTAGCTAAAAAGCCACTTGACGTTGCTCGTTCGTTCGTTCGTTGTTGCCAGGCCCTTGAAGCCAGAAAAGCGCGTTGAAAAAGTTTGCATAGCCAAATGAATGCGCTTCTTCTCCAGAGAGAGAGAGAGAGCCCCCCCCTTCCTCACCCACACACACAGAAAAACCCCCCCGTTTTGGAAGCAGAAAGTGCAACTGTGTTTTTCAGATGGGGGCAAAATGGCAGAGAGAAAAGGGGCTAAATGTTTGGAAATGCATAAATAAACACATTAAAAAGAAATTAAACACTTGCAGCCATTAATTGCGTATTGAGTCAAGTGGATGGCAAAGAAGAAGAACAAGAGTAAGCTCGAGATGAAGATGAGAATCTCAAAGGAGGGGAAGGATCTGGATGAACTGCTGAGCAGCTGAAGGACAGCCAAGTGGAAAGTAGAAAGTAGAAGGCAGAGAGGCAATAACAATTAAAGCGAATCGAAACTAAAGTAAACGAGGCGCAGCGAACAACTGGCTCCTCATCGGATCGCATCGGGAGTCCTTTGTTGTGACAGGTCCTGAACAAGGACGAGAAGGAGGCCCAAAGAAGGACAGAAAGCGAAAACAATGCTGCGCCCGATTGCCCCGTGCCGATAAGGCTCTCGGCTTGATGAGCCAAGACACACGGACAAGGACATCGAACATCGCACATCGAATATCGAACATCGGACACGCTGTTTATGTTATTATTGCGCACCCAGCGATATGTACACACCGATAAGAATTCAAATTAATTGGAACCGAGCCAAGAATCCCCGGAAAGGAGGTCGATAAAGCGCCATCAAAAGATCTTTAAAGTATAGCATGGTAAATAAATAAACAATAAAATCAAATAAAGGTTTAATTTACCTAATGATTTAGTAGCAAGCGAGTAATATTAACTGTTGAAAAGATGATTATAGACTTTGACTTTTATATCTAGCCATTTTTTTTTTTATAAATTTAGAAGCTGTCCTTTGGACAATCACTAAATAAATCGAATCAGATTTGTTTATTAACGGAGTTTAAATATCGTTCAGAAAAAAGCACTGTGAATTTTTTTTTTTGTTAGTACTTTTTTTTTTTTAGTTACACCTCCATCTGTTTTTCAGTTTTTAAGTTATTAGAAAATCGAAGAAGGGCCATGGAGAATTGCGTCATGTCGGTGGATATGCGTCATTATCTAATGACCCCTGTTCTCCTGTTCTCTATTCCCACTGCCCATAATCTTCTCTTCTCATCCATCGTTGCTGAGTCATGTCTAACTTTGGTCGTTCCTGCTGTCCTGTCCTCCAATCCTCCAATCCTCCAATCCCCCAAATCCCCCAATCCTTGGTGGCGATGGCATACATGACGAATGCGCAATATATTTTGAAGTGTTGTTCCCCCTAATGGCTAATCAATGTTTATAGGCTACCGCTAGGCTACAAAACAGCGGAGAACAATAAACGGGAATTTGTGTGTGCAGGCCCAAACCAACTAGAACTCAAACTAAAACTGAAAGCAAACGAGGCCAAATGATTGGAGAGTGTTTTTGGTTTTTGGCAAGAGACTGGACTGGCCCCAAATATGAAATACAAATGCGAAAATTCGTTGGGAAGATTGGTGAGGTGGGAAGAACTAACCAATTTTGCGAAGAGCAGGCAGGGAATGTGGGGATGGCATATAAATATTGCAGTAGCTGACAAAGGCCACAAGAATGTACCAATATATGGTTGGAAATGAAAATGGGAATGGGGGATGTACGAAGAGGATGTGCGAGCGAGTTTCGCATAATTTATGTCACTTTATCGATTCGCCCAATACAAGAACACAAACCCAT